CCCGACCAGCAACCTTCTCACCCCAGAAGGGGCACAACATACCGCACTCAAACACCAACGATCTGACATCTCCCGAGACTCTGTCACCAATATATTCTATAGTATCTGGTCACACGCAAAGCAGTACTGCCCACGCTTGGTACATACCAAGCGTACACCTGCAACCGTTAGGGTCGCAATCACGTCTCCAGGGTGAAGTGACACGTAATATGTATCTTAATCATTACTTCTATTGATGGTTGTCTCGAGGGGATCGAGAAGACTTCCCCTCTTATTCTACTCTAGGGACATCTTGTCCTAATGACCTGTTGGCCTTTGCCAAAACTTCGTGCCTTCCTTACTCCATAAGCGCCTCTCAGCCACCACCTCAGCCACCGCGCCTAGTTACTTATCCTAACATACTACGCGCTTCGTGTTCTCACATATGACTACCACACAGGGTGTATTATCGCTAATAGGGGTAGGGGTGGCGATCGTGTGGTGGGCTGCCATGAGGAGGAGGGCGATGGCCTGGGGAGAAGGCATAGGGAATGCATGCTGAGCCTTGACTGCTGCTTGTAGATGGTGAATTGGAGGTATCGATGAGAGGACTATATAAGTAGATTTAGGAGGAGTGGTAAGAACGGATGGAGGGAAAGGATCTCTGTTTATACTATAATACTTGAAGTTGGGGCGAGCGGGGAAGGTTTGGCGAATGCGCTTTGTCTATTGTTGGGCTTTTGTATTCTGTGGTGGCGTATCCTCTCCATGCACTTCTGCTCGTATTCTCGTGTGCTTGATATATATCCATTCCCCGGTATTCAACATACCGTCCAATCTCGAGTTTTGGGGGGTTGCCAAGGCCACCTGCTAAAGTAGTCTTGGTTTATTCTGCTCTACTCGCGTCAGGGAAAAAGAACCAGAACATGCAAGTGAGAAAGCAGGGATTATTTGTATGGAGTGGCGCTGATCTGCCATACAAACTAGGCATTTGAATTTTCTGGTTCTTTATCCTAGACGGGAGTAGAGGGCACGATTAACTCCCGTCTATATGCCTCAGTAGTGGCGTCAAGTGGCGACTGCGGATTCGGTGGCTGTATCGATTCTATTTCCGAACTGGACACAACCATTGAGCTTTTCAAAAGTGCAACTCCCAGGAGATGGCAAGACGCGCTTTAACGCTACTGCGGGGAAGCCGCAGTAGTTTGTTACTTATCTGGCCGATGGAAGAGAGCTAGTAGACGCCGCAGAGCTATTGTCGGTAGATAAGGGAGTTGAGGAAAGTATACATATCGGTCATGATACGCACGAGACCGTTTTACTCTTGTGGATGTCCTTGCCTTCTGTGAGGGCCAAAAATACTGTTTCTATTTCCATGAAAAGCTTCGAAATCACAGTAGGCGCGACTCCCGAAGCCAAGCCAAAGCTACAGCCCTCTATAATCCTCCCACTGTTAGGTGGCGTGCTGGTCCTCACCAGAGTATATTATCGAGTGAGCTAGCCCATATTGGGGCGGGGGTAGCAACCCTTCGGAGGGGGCAGCACTACGCGGACAGCCCGAGGAACGCTTTCTATGGCACAAAGAAAATAATTACGATGCGGTAGGTGGGTCTATCAGCTCGCTCCCGCTCGGGTGCCGTGAAGTCCGTAACCGAGCCCGGCGGTGAATCATTGTTTATCACTCGGTCTCTCCTGGCTTAACCTTTCAGATCCTTTTTTTTTTTCCTTTTTGTTTAATTCATTAATTGTATGACAGCTCTGAAGATACGGCTTTGGGTGCCGGGATGGATCCGTTATTATGAAGGGCCCTGGCTTCGGTGTGATACTGCGGGCTTGACTGCTTAATGTTCCGCGCGGATATCTGACAACATCTATAAGGAATCGGTGGGATTTGCAACCCATTAGCTTACCCAAGGCCAATGCAGGACTTGACTATCCAGCTTACGTAAACAACCAGCACCCCTGGGATATATGAAAATATCCCGAAGACCTACTCCATACACACTCTGAGTTTCTTACCCGAGCATGTGCGGACTGTCTCGTGGACACCTCCACCCCCATGCCCTCTTTTCCCCGCCCGCGCCGTATCATCCCGCGGAGCCCCTTCCCTTCCTCAGGTTACTTGGTAAGAATACTCCCTCGAGACCAAATGCACGTTTCTTCAAAGGTAAAGCTTACTCAGACTCGACCCTCCCGCTCCATCCAGACGCTGCTTACGGGGGTCCCCTAACAATCCCCGCATTCGTCGACAAGGCAACATCGCGCTCACTTAGATCTCTAGCGCGGATGGGTTGGTGTAGGAAAACAGCGCAACACATTTGTCGTGGCTTCTAGATGACTGTGTTTCGAGTATTTGGTGAACCGGAGGTGTCCTCTGTACGTAGGCGGTGGATGGTTGTTTGCCAGGACTACTGCTACAGAGGCCTTGGCATTATATGCGGTAACCGAATCAACCAAGGGTCGAGTGATTATCCATGCCTGCAAGGAAACAGTGAAAAAAAAGAGATATAGGTCAGTCGATCTATAACTCCACCGAGAAGTGCCCTTCCACCCATCATTGGAGTCGGGCCGTCTCAACCCGGTTAACATGATTTGTCCGGGTACGCGCAGCGGTCTAGCAGCTTCGCACCCCCGGACGTTCTGTACTAGATGCGATACTAGTACATCATTTGATGTGTTCGGATACACGCTCCGTAGTCGAATACATGACGTGCCTAATTAAGTAATGTGAGAAAGTAAAAGCAGGGAGTACAATCCTCCCAGGTAAGAATGAAATAACGTCGTTGTCTTCCTCGTTGTGTTCAGGCTGGCACTCTGGATTGCCGGGCGCAGTGGCAAGGGTCGGTGGAAGTAGGGGCCAGAGATATTGACGATATATCCAGAAACGTATGGGACTAGACTATACATCCGATGAAAGCATTAGAGGCATTGTATTGTTCTCCCAAAAGCTCTGCACAACGGCACCCGACATATTCAGTGTCTTGGCAACAATCTCCCCGCTCCACCGAACCTAACCTCTGACTCTCTCGCCGCCATCAAGCCCCACCACCTCCCCATCATCATCATCTTCCGCCAATGGTTCACCAGCAGCGGCACGTCCAACACCAACACTCGTTACCCCCAAATTCACACAGCATCACAAACCATCACTCGCCTACCAAACCGATGCTGCACGCCAAGACATGTGCGCTCGCACACCGTGCGGTTCCGCACTGCTAGGTCGGGTGCGAAATCGCACGTACGGCAGCCTGGTGCCATGGCCATACATATGGAGGAACCCTTCGCACCCACCAGTGGCGCAAGAGAGACTCTACACCCTCAACACCGACCCTCCTCACGAGACCCACAAGCCACAGCACACCGTGCGAGAGAAAGTCGGTAAGTCAAACAACCAACACGAGCCCATCAGCACCAGCCATCGTTAGGCCACTAGACTGGGCGATACAGCATGATCCAGCCCACCATGGTGTTAGTACCCAAACATCGGCAAACTCAACCTCCTTGTGGCATTCGCGGAGGGTTAGGGTTTTTTTGTTGCTAGCTCGATGGATATTTCTAGCTGCTCTCGGAGAGGATGATCTTCGTTTAAATCTACCCATCGCCCGAGGAGACCTGGAACGCCTCAAACCAACATATCCTCCGCCTAGTGACCGTTGCAACTTGAGACCAAGTCCGCCCAGCTCCCCTCAGCTTCTACCAAACCAAGCTGGAAGCTGCTTAGCCACACCCCCATTATCACCGCCCCCACCCTCCCCACCACTCCGCGCTCACTCGCCCCCGACCAAGGACGTCCGGCCCTCGACTCCCCGCCTGCTCAGACCAACACATCCAGCACACCAGAAAGCCATACACTCACCGATTTGATCCTCCCCCGTAGGCGAGTCCGTATTAAATATCAACCTATCGCCCAGTCCCCAGAGCTCACTCCCCAAAATGGACTCACCAAATGTGGAGATCACCCGCTAACACCCTTTAGTAGATAGAGAACAACTACTTAAAGGAACGTAGTAGCATAGAATTACGTCTCTCATCATCACAGGTGGAACTAATCATCTTACAACCTCGCGTATTGCTTCACAAAACGCACCCCTTAAACACGCGAAGGACATATAATTTAGTTTCCGGAGCCACTGTAACTTCGGGACCGCGCTACACTGGCAGAAGGGTTTAACAGGGTCTTGGAGGGGTGCTGCTCAGGGTTTCCAACGGTTGTGACCAGTTCTTATTTTCAGCGAAACTGAACTGAACTTAACTGAACGGAATAAAATGGCCCACAACTGAACCGACCGAATAAGAACTGGTTTATAGTGCAGAACCGTTCTGAGGTCTTGGCGGCAGTCTAGCACATCAAAGGTGTTGCTGGTCATGTCATCAGAGGACACGCAAAAAGACATGTAGCTATCGAACGTGACAAAGAACAACATGGCAGAAGGACATCAGTATTTATAGTGATAGAATAGGCGATCACTTGAATAGAATCATCATCCTACTCTCGCTGCACAATCATCTATCATTCTGATCCACTTTGAAGAACTCGGGCCGCAGTGTTCAGGGTTAGGGTTGCTTCTAAACAGCGTGTTCGTACTTTGTGTGAGGAGTTCCAACTGCATACAAAACCGGTTTTGCCCAAGCCAGAACTGAATTGAACCAAATACTGAGGAGACAAGACTAAACTGAACTGTTTTGTTAAACGGTTCTAAAAAACCGGTTTGAACTCATAAACCGAAGAACCGTTGGAAACACTGTAATAATACGGGGTGTGGTGAGCTGCCTAGAATATTCAGAAACTAACAAATAACAGGAGCCCGGTGCTACCAATTGCGACGGGAATAGATCAGTGATTTGGAATCAAGTGAAAGACTTGGAGCACACTGAGGAGCACACTGACGGTACTTGTAAATATATTATCCCAACGCGAGAGTGGTCCCCGAGGTCTTGTAAAATGAAGAAAAGAGAAGGTAAGAAAAGATATGCTATCACGTTCGCGAATCCCTGATAAATAACACACTCCCCACTGCCAGCCCTGCTCCTCTTGGGCTTCCACCGCCCCGAACATCACCAAAGCGTCCAACTCACACCCAAGCGACTCGCAAAGCAAGAGAAATTCAGAAGACAATGAAAACAGAAGAGAAGGTCAAGGACACAGTCCCCTCAAACTCTAACATCCCACTCAACAAATAGAAAGATGAGATGCTTTACAAAATAACAAAGCAAAATCTCAAAAAACCAATCCATACAGAAGAAACTACTTCAACATCCTGCAGTTACAATTCGCTGCAGTGGGTCGATGGACCAACTAAACAACTCACAAAATAGCCGGGAAGAAAGGCAAAACAATCCAAAAGAGAAAGAGTAGCAATGATGACCGATGAACTTTGGCCTTCCCCTCCACAAGATTGTCGTGGAACCTTGACATAATTCCTGCTTGATCCATCGCTCCTGAGAGAAATATTAAAATCCACATCAAGAAAACATAGTTCTAACTCACCTTCAGGAATGTCGATTAGATCGAAGAACAATTGTTGCCCCCTCAGTGGTCAGCTTCTTCCTAAATTCCTTAGCTTCTTCGGTTGTTGCTAGCCTTACTGAAATCGACGTTTCCGGCAATAGAAGGGCTCTGAATATATAGAGGAGACGGTTATCCAGTGTGATCCAGCCTTGATCACGGAATTCCACTACACGAAGGGGGTCATATGTAGCAATCACCGCTCTCCGCTGATCATTGGTTAGGCTCCTCAGCGCCTCGATTGCTATTCGGATGTCCTGGCCGTTACCGAACGACCCTGAAACCGAGTCCTGCGACCAGCCAATTAGGCCCACCGGCAAACACATGTCACGATCAGACATGGATGCGTGCTTTTGAGGAGATGGATATCTTTAGGTCTATTCCCTTTGAAGCTGTTTGGGGAGATCGTGCTATTAGGATTTGCTTAATTTGAAGCTGTTTGAGACGGTGGTGGTCTCAAGCTATGCTCACTTTGTGCTATAATAAAGGTGGGATGACTAAGCACCCTTTTTGATGGGATACACGGTATGACCAATCTAGTTCTAAAACGGCCCTCCTCATCTTTAATGCAATGATAGGTATCGAAGATATGACTAAATTCAATCAAACAAAAAAAACCAAAAACAAAGGATATGACTAGATGGAAGAAGGAACGCGGGGAATGGAGAGCGGGGAAAGTAGAGCTCATGGTTGTCAGCCTGCAGGCGCACCTTTTTATTCTGGCCTATCAAATTACAAAAAATAGCTCTGAACTGTTTTAGCGTCGGGACCCATATTTCTGTGGCGTACTGCGGCAATATGTGGCTTCTGCGTGAAAAAATGGTGCGCGGAGGGTTGACAACCATACGGGACTTGGATTCTCGCGCCGTAGGGGGTATGGGAGGGGAAGGGTGGGAAAGGAAGCAAACCTATTGGAAAACTCTGGATCCCTCGCCTGCCAGCCTTATGCGCGCCATTGCTCCACGACCTCACTCTACCTCCCCCCCCCCTACAACCCCTCACATCCTACATCTCTACTACCTCCCTTCCTGACTTCACAATCCTCTCGAAAAAATCGAGACAAGTCCTGGCCGGATTGACCATCGCGGATAGGACCATTCCTTGACACCCCGAACGCATCGTACAATATAAGCCAATTCTTCGACCTGTATAAAGCATATCTCGACCTACTTCCACAGCTATCACGCACTATGAAATATGTGTGTGGCATTGATGTCGTTTACGGCGATAGTTCGAACGCAATAGATGGAGAAGATATCAATAAAGGCTTTGGCGGTGAGCTCATCACCAGGTCTTCACATCTTACCCCAACACCGATACTCATTTTATATCAAGGTCAATACGTCTACCTCGTCCCAAGATACACGACACACCGTAACAAAGCCGCAAGTGGTTTCTCCCTCTACACCTCGTACATTGAGGACTGGTGTGCGAATGATATATCGAAGGGGGATGGATTGGAAACTTTTCGCTATATCAATACTCACTACTATTTGAACAATAGTAACATGAGGGTAGTCGGTTCGGTGTATCTCAGAGAGAAGGAGATGGGCGATGGGAACACTGACGATCTCAATAAAGATAGGGGAGGCAGGTATTTGTTTCTTTGCTGGAAATATGCGGAGTAGAGTTGGAGACTTGGTAAATAACGAGCAAGATTTGTCGAGAAAAATCTATTGAGTAACGAGATCAGAGTCAGTACTCACATGTTAGATCTAGGTTATTGATGAGATAGGTAGCGATCGCACTGTTCGGTCTTCAGGTATCCGGAAGGTTTATTGATATAACCTATAGTAATAAACGTAACTGATCTATTTCATCTTCTATTACAAAGTGCGTGAAAACTCTCTTCCTCATATCGCACCGTACTCCCTTGCTAGAAATCTCCGTGGGATAAAGAAACAAAGAAAGAAAGCAACTGCGCTGTCATCAAACGAACATTACAACAAAACATAAATCAACACTTTGCAGCATTGTATAGTTGTAGGCCAGTCGTGAGCGTCAGGCGCAGCATCGCAACGGTTTCGACCCGCCGCGCGCGCTCACAAACCATCACTCGCGCCATCACTCGCACCACCACAGCAGCCCCAATTGATCCTTTGGAGAGCTGGTTTCTTGTATAGTTGTTAAATAGTAGATAAATAAAAATAATTTGACATTTAATATCTTGTGTACTAACCCCTTGCCTTTATAACTGCCTCAATCCTCCTAGGCTTGCTTTCAACCAGCCTACCAAATAACTCATCAGGTAACAGTTCCCAGCAATGAATAAGAGCTTCCTCCATGAGGGGCTTAATGACTTTGGATGATCTAGTATCATGCACTAAATGGGGATAGTGTTGATGGTAGAGCCTCTTAAGGTGTACCGAAACATGCTCAATGGGGTTTAAATCGGGTGAATAGGCATGCCAGTCCTCAAGAACAGCTACCCCATCCTCCTCCAACCATTGAGTTGTAAGGCTGAAAATGTGTATCCTAGCATTATCATGCATGAAAATTGGTCTGATACCCTTCTCCCATAGCTCTCTCAAAAAATCCAGGAGAGAAAACTTAAGAGTTCTAACATATGCCTCTGCATTTGTCCTCCCCTCTTCGCCCATCATAATTCTGTTACAGGTCTCCTTCAATTCCCCAAAAAAGCATGCCCATATCACATTTGATACCCCTCCAGACTTTCTAGCACCTTTAACATGCTCGGGAAGCCATTTTTGCTTTGCAATTCTGAATGCTCAAGAGACATATGGATCTGCATATTTCCCAACACTGCACTCATCGCTCCACATCACCCTCCTCCACCTTCTTATATCCGAATCTCTATATCTAATACACCACTATAGCCTCTTTTTTGCATCATATGGGATCAATTTGTGTCTCTCATCCATGATGTGTTTTTGAATATCAAATGTAGCTAGCCTCCTCTTGATTGTTCTAGATGAAATTTAGACTGCGAATTCCTGTCGGAGTTGCTCATAAGAGATTTCCCTCTCATATCTACTGCAGATGAGAAGCTATCTATCATCTCTAACAGTAGTTATTTTGGGTCTCCCATGCCTGAGTGTGGATTTAATTTGACCAGTCTTCTCATACCTTGCTATGGAACTGGCAAGGATTGACTTTGGTACTTTGAGGAGCTTCGTAATCAGTGAATAAGAGATCCCATCACGCTTAATTCCAATTCCCTGCCAAAGCAGCACCTCTGGCCACTCCCTCCTATCTGTTCTGCGGTCTTTGGTAGGCATAGTTGTCATGGTTGTCGATGCGCGATTTTGTGCGACGTCGTCGCGGCCCTCTCGGGTTGTGAAAAATTTGGTTGCGCGTGTCCACCCTTTACGCCTGACGATCACTTCTGGCATCGAATAGCGTATCATGAGTACGCACATGTTGCTCGTATATTCGTTTGCATATTGAATGCATTAGGGAGGAACAGCTCCTTGCTCTGAGAGCAACTATTCTAGCTCTAGAGTAGGTAGTGTATTTATATCGCACTATAGATTTCTACCACCCCGAGGAGTGAATCAATTAGTACATTATCGCACGATGCAACGAAACAAAAGCGTATAGTGAAACACATCTTGTGCGGTTAGTATAAGTACATGTTGCTTACATCTCTGTATATTATATACTTGCAATTGTCAAAACAATAGGTTTCATTTTTCAAAAGAGTATATGGTCAATTAAGGCTAATTATTGAGCCGCGATTCTCATTCGGACGGTCAGAGCTTCACTTGGGTGTGATCTATAACGGGTATTAGATTTCCATATTTTGTTTCCTGTTATCCGTAATAAATTAGTCTTCCTCTAATTTCTTGTCTTGATCAATATACTCGAGCAGCCGGTTTGAAGCCGCCCAAATATCGGACACATTACCTTTTTTATCTGAGTGCTTCAATCTGGTTGTGAGGGTAGGTATATTCCCCCTAAACCTCTCCCTTCCAGAATGAATTATAGCATTTTAACTTGCAGTAATTTACTTTCTGGCAGACTACAGAAGAATTTATGTCAACTGCTACTGTACCATTTCATTTTTGCTTTACCCCACCCCCGCAATCGGTGGACTATTCTAATCAGCTAGGTATAAGTTACCTTCGGTGGGATCGGTACGGACAAAATACTTGTCATCTAGGAATATTCGAGTGCTACGAAGCAACGGCTTTAAGACTTCTTAAGTTTGATAGCTATTTGGTGAGGTGAAGTCATTGCGACTCTTCTATAACAGGAAGAATAGACCCGCTAGACACAAGAAAGAATTCGTCAAGTATACCCAAAAATCCCGTGGCATGAGTGACTAACTATGACTAGAGAGGTTGGTACAGCGTGAAACGGAGTAACTCGCACAAAATATCAGTTCCAGTGTCTGTAGAGCTCATAAGAGTATTTTTATTTCAGATATGGCTACTTGGCCATGAGACAACGACGATAAAAGGCTAACCGTCGTGAGCCTAGCTCCGCCAAGGATCTGACTAAGCAGGGCTGCCACGGCGGAACATCAGATAAGGAACGGTTACAGCCGGCTTGGCACTAGGTTGACAACCTCAGGAACGGTCGCGATAGAAGTTTTTTTTGAACATAATTCGCTTTAGAGGGTATTTGATCTGTTGATCTCACGCCCAAATTCTGATCTCGTTATTGTATGTACATATATGTGTAAATATCTACAGGGCCAGATACTGGGAATCAAAATAGCCTGGCATAGGCTGGTTGCGACCGATGTTTCATTGGGCAAACGCTGCGGCTCCAAAGTGCCAACTCACCAAGACTACTCTCGGGGAGGTATAGCGAGCCGCACTCAACGCAGAGCCTTTGTCAATATAGGTTACGGGAGCTCGAGAATGGCAGATCCTCTCTCAGTTCTTGCGTCTGTTACTGGTGTTATTGCAGTTGGACTACATGTCGCGCATGTCCTGACAAAAAGTATAGAAGACATCCGATCTGTGCCGGAAACAATTAGCTCTCTCAGTCGAGAGCTTGAAGCACTCTGCAAAGCATTAGGATATCTCGAGGGTATACTCAACGATCATGATGCCTCCACCGAACCCCTCTTCCCGGTAGATGATCTGAAACAGGTCTTGGATAGTATAATGATAGACTTCAAGACACTATGAGAAATAGTTGGCAATTATAGGGAAAGACCGGATGATGGCTCATTGAGCCGTTTGTGGAAGCAATATCGATATGGACCTCAGGAGGAACTTATCTCTCACATAAGACACAACATCGGAGCTTACAAGTCGTCAGTAAATATTACGATAGCTGCTGCAAATATGTAGGTGCTTTGCTTATAAGTATTAAGTGTACCAACTTATTCTCTTCTAGGATTATCGCAAAGTCAACGTCTGGCAAGGCCGGGGACGTTCTCGCACACCTCGAACATGTGAAAAGTGAGTTCGCAGCCTGTAACAGTTCGATATGCCAATTACATGCGATTGTATCTTCGGCTACCACACACGTATCGTCCACAGGATCACCGGCCGTGAACAGGGTGCGCCCTACGACCAGGCATGATACCTCCGTCCAAACCACCTTCGGTAGCGCGATATCCGCATATATAAATGACAACGATGGTGTATCCCTCAGTAGTAAGGCCTTCAGGAGGAGCATAAGTTCTACCTGGCGTGCCTTAACATCCAAGGATAGGTCGAGATCGAGAGAAAGCCTTATCTCCTATCGTGCAGGATCTATTATCGATATGTACTGTGAGAGTGTTGCGTCCATGTGCCAGGAAACGCTCGACACGATGGACAAGTCATTAGAAGCACAACCAAAAGTTGGAGAATCATGGGAGAAAGCGGGGACCGATCAATCATTGCCTCTTGAAATTGGTGACGATGGTCAATCTTCAAACTCATCGGTGAGGCCTAGTAGTGAAGGCCCTATTTCCATCGGAGCAATTCTGGCCCCGGACCCACTTTTCAAAATGCTGGGAGCGTCCACTCCAGCGGAGATTCCGGCAGAGCAAGCGACTAGCTCGCGGATAGTATCGGGTTTGTCTCACGAAACCTACAAAGCATACAGGTTCTTTCTCTGACATGTTATTGCAGAACCAGTGCGGATTTTAAACCTTCAACCTTCCGCGGCCGGCGAGCAAGCTATGGCAACACGGTGCAGTCATCCGGTGTGTTCGGCCATCGAAATCATAAGTGCATCATGGATGCTCAGACACGAAAAGCTTATATCCGATATCAATAACGTGCTGCACCGTCAGGAAAACAGAAAGCTAAACGATGACAATATTATTGAAGATTTAATTGAGCTGGATAGAAACGCTCACCGAGTAGAAGTAGAGAGCGATCTTTTCACCTGGGTGCGTGGAGAGTTGCTAGCCCGACCAAGCAAAGCTGGCGAGAGTGCAGAAGATGACTTTGTACGATTCAAGATCTACGTCATGAAAGTGGACGCAGGACAGCAGCAACAGCGAGAGCTTGAACTTCGGCAATGGATCCATAAGAGAATACTGGGCCATGCAGGTTTACCCGAAGATGTACTTAATATTCCAGGCAGCGGGAGCTTAGAGAAGATGCAATAACGGGTGTGCTGATGTATTTAAGGAGAGGGGCGTCAATCTTCGAATTTCGCTAGTTGACTTGAGCTCCTACATAACGTATTTCATCGTGTATCCGTTTTCATTGTGTAACCGACTGCGACCTGAAAGAAGTAAAAATATCATTGCCTCAAAGTTGCAAGTGGCGACTACTACCCCTCAGAAAATACTTTCTAATTGCATTGTTTACACAAATAGGTGAAGTCTGATCTTGACTATTATAATTTACCACATCAGGTTCAGAATCCTCCCATAGTTCTTCTGTCTTGTCCTCCTCACTAACAGGGTCCTCCACTCTCAGAGGCTTTCAGCGCACGGTTCTTTACTGAGCGGGCTCGGCGGGCTTCACAGGCTTGACGCGGAAGCACCCACTGCCTTTGCAGCTTCTTTTGATGCAGCTTTGGCGATCTTAAGTTCTAGGGCCTCAGCCTTCTTTGTGCGTTTATCTTTTACTTTTCTACCTTGACCCTTTCCTCCTCTTCCGCCTGTTTGCACAACCTAATGACATCTTCTGTAGTTAACATCAACGCTTTAGACAAAATATTTCTACTATTTGCTTTTTCAGAATTAGCAGAAGCTTTATGCTTCTTGCGCAGGTAATCAAGCTCTTACTATAATACTACTACCTGAGTCCCTACCCCAACTCCCTACACATGTGCGTAACCCTAGCCCTACTACCTACCAGCATTGGTCCAGCAACCTGCCTTCGGTTACATAACTATTACTAAGGCCAGTGGAAAAAAACAAAACGATCGGTTTTGGCTGTCCACTACTGCACATCGAAAGGTAAACCCGTACTCTGTTCTAACAGAATCAACACCTACCACAATCCCTCCCGACATTCAACGATCAGAAAAAGCCTGGGTAAGAGACAGAATTCTCTCGCTTTCTGGTCCGGGGGTTCTGTTGCCGAGAAGTACCTGGGTTAAGGGTAATCGCGGCTGAGCACAGGACATTTTGGCAAGCGGGGTCTAAGCTAGAAAATAGTTAGTCATCGAGCGTCTTACGGGCATACTCTACTATGCCTGATGACGGCGTAGTATTTACGCTACTCCTGCCCGTTATCACCGAGGTTTCCGAAATATTGAAGACATTCATATCTTCACAGGATGCCCCAGTTATTCTCCAAGAAATGCTCGATGAAGTCCGTGTATTCCAGCACCTCCTGCAGGACCTAAGCCCGGAGAGCGTCGGTACCTCCCATGCCTCGCAGTTATACCTAGACAACATTCTGTACACTTCCTTGTATATTTCTCTTAGCCTGTGGTGTTTCCTGTGGACCTTTTCGCGGTTGGGGGGGAGTCTTGATCGCGTCGTGGTGCGGAAGGAAGTAGGACAATCGAGCGGGGCGTTGGTAGAGGGCAACCTTGCTCAACTGCTCGAGCATATTAAGCAGCAAAAGGAGGCCCTGGTACTAGTTGTAACTATAGTGTCGAGATATGGTAGATATTTCCCTTTTTCTCTGCGAAAGGCTGAGATCAATGAACTCACATAGACAATAGCAAGGACTTTGCAGAAGCAGAAGTCGCAACTCGTGCTTTGGGGCGTCTTTTGGTAAGCCTCGTGGATCCAGAATCCAGATCAAGAACCGGAATGGTTTCGCCTGCCTCTTATGGCGCCAAGGTCTGCCGCATTCACACAAAACCACTTCCCTGAAGCCATCGACCTTTCATTAGAGACAAGTAGAACCACGCACAAAGAACTTCTGGCCATCCTTCTACAATATGCCACTATTGTGCGCAAGACTCTACGTATGTTGTTTTACGGCGCAAGGGCCCAAATGGCTCCCCCGTCGATCGTGAGATTTATACTTCCCGAGGTTCAAAAGCTACGTCGTGCCTTCAAGAAGCTTTACCTTTCTTGCCACAGTGCTACCTGCGTTGCATTCCAATCAAAAATTACCCAGGTTGATAAGAATCATCGCGATCTCTTCATCCTATCCAGTTGTGGTGTTACCCTATCATATGCGATTGTCCTCTTGCGTCAATTGCCCGAGCTCAATACACACCAAATCGCATACCGGACAGTACTGGGGTGGCGAACAGTACTCAAGTGGCGAACAGTCAGCCAGGGTCTATCCGATGTTCTGGTTCGTATAGAGAATGATACTGCGCGAATCATGGGGGTGACTGCATCATACGCCCAAAGCGACATCAATTCGTCTGACCCACAGCTGCATGGCTTTCCCCTACTTATTGCGGTAGCCGGAGGAGATGTGACAAAGGTTCAGACCCTTCCTAGTCATGGGGCCGAAATCAATCAATGCCATCCTATGTCCGGGGACTACGCATTACAGATTGCTACCACCAATGGATCTGAGGATGGTTGATACGCTTTTAGGTCATGGGGCAGTAACATACAAGTGTCACCCAGTGACTGGCGACTTCATTGTTAAGAGCGCCATCATCGGGGGAAATGCGGGAGTTATTACTAGGCTTCATGAAACCGAGTCCAGCTTAATCAGCATAGACAGTGAACTCAATGCTTTGAGCTTCGCCATCGAGCTAAACAAAGAGTCCATTGTGGACCTATTTCTCGATACGTCTCTGGTTGGAAGAGGCGAAGTTGATCAGACCCAGTTAATCGCCGCTTTACATCACGCAATCCTTTACCAGCATGAAAACATTATCGCCAACGTACTAAAACGAGGTGCTTTGCCGGACGAGACCGCAATTCGCTTAGCCGGCAGAACCGGGAAGGCCGATATCCTCAAGCTTCTGGCAGGGGATGACCGGGAGACGACTAATCCTCCGTCTGGGGAAGAAACGCTACCACGCATCGGAGTCGAGTGTGGGGATATCAAAGCCGTGCGGGAGCTGGTTGGTGCGGGCGCCGATATCAATGAAACGACATCCGATGGAGAAACCTCGGAAGCTCTGGCCCGTCGTGGTAAACACAAGGAGATTCAGATCTCCTCCGAGAGGGGACTACGGGTGAGTGATACGTCTTCATAGGGAATGGGTGGAAAAGGGTGCGGAGAGCTTGGATGATATGCTGCTCGTGAATTGAAGGAGATAATTTTCAATGTTTCAGGGTAGGAAGGTTGACTGTATCGTTGGTAGTGTGTGACAGAAGTGTTTATCGAAATAGACGTAGTGTGGTCGACCAGTTTGATCGAGTCGATCTTTGCTATTGGCTCGAGCGGCTCGTCCGTTTATCAGTCTTGCTCTGATCGACTCGTGAAATCACTTCTGCTCGGAGAAACTCGAGTTTTCCAAATTCCAATAGATATAACTTAAATATTCAATAGGAAAAATTGCTTTTCATATGTCTATATGTGCACGAACTAAATATGATTAAAAAGCTGGAGCAACCCGAGTCGATTTTGATAAATTGCTCGGGAGAGCTCAGCTCGTGACTCCTCTTGCTCGACTGTACTCGAGGATAAAGCTCGAGCTGTGAACTCAAGCGGACTCGGCTCGTCGACCACACTAAATAGACGGATCTTTTTATTCTAAAGCGACCTATATATTGACTACTAGTCGGACCTTCCTGCTGGCACTGGATCTTCCCGAGGGTAGGGCATGTCCACGTAGTCTTTTCGCAGGTCAAGATCCCGGCCCAAAGCGGCCGCGGGTCGACAGCCCACATCACCGTGTATGAAGCATACGGTCACTCAACCGTGTTCTCGTTTGAGCGGCGCTTGTAATTAAGACTTCTAATCCTCCACCTCTCCCCCGACTCATTACCAAAGATAACCCCCCCCCCCCCCCCCCGAGTATGGCAGGCTCTAGGCCCATCGAACCTCATGCCTGAAGTTTAATGGGGTCTCGAGAGTATAACCCTAACCCTGTCCCATACCGTGGCTTGGCGTCATTCGGGAACTGTTATTTTTACGATAGCGGCGTTTCAATACTGCATCTAGAGTACAAGCAATACTGATGGAGCACGTGGGACATTCATGGAAAAGGATCCCTGGAAATCTTTGTAGCAAGTGAGAAAGTTTTAGGATAGCCGCGTACTTGGGAGACTGCTCATAGAAACGGTTTCGGTAGCTAAATTCGTATTTGCTTATGGTAGATAGAGTAGTAGGTGATATAGTAACCGATCAAGTCCCGTTTTCATAAAACTGGTCTTGAAAATGAAAACACACTGCAACAGAGCCACAGTCCATGACCCGCACCACACATCAAACCAATTCAAATCTAACATACCCTACCATCCTCTCCCCCCCGCCCACAATCCCGAATTAGCGCACCCACAGCCGAGGGGCCGGATGGAACCCTTCCGGCACGTGGCTAGAGCTGATCACTGGCAGTCCGCATGCAGATTGCACGTTCCAGCGCCGTGGTTCTGGGTCCTCGCTTACATACGTCCGGGAATTGCCGCTGATCGCTGCGCAAAAACATGTCAGTTGCAGACTCAGGAACTAAACTTGGCTGGCATGGGAGCCGGGGTCTCGGGAAGCTGCACGACCGTGTTCCGGCGGATCTGGTCTTGGCGCTAAACCCGATTTCGGGAGGGGGTGGTTTCGCTTGCATGCGGAGAAAGAAGACTGCCGACTGATACATGCAGGGCGTCCAGTGGCCGCGTAGGGATAGGTTTAGTCTGCGACTCCGGAGGAGGGAGAGGAGGGGTGGATGTAGTCAATACAGCACCGCTACAAGTCGTGTAAATTGCAAGTACCCTGTCACACCAGCTGCCCGTACATTCCCGCTCTGTAGACAGAGCCAGGAATCCGTTCGTCTCCGACAAATGACGCGAGCTCTTGAAGAGCCGTGTTTGTTTCCACTGCCATGTCTCGGTGGAAGAGGGGGCGGACTGGGAGGACGCAACGTGGGTGGTTTGCAGAGCGTCTGCGGTGTCACTCGTGGGGATGGTTGTCGGCGTTTGTTGTAAATATATAGAAGAGAGAGCAATAAATAATAAGTAATGCGGAAGACTTTAACTTTCTTAATTGACCTGAATAGGACAGATCAAGCCCTTACATTTACAAAGATATTGTGACTAGAACAGTCTATATATGACTACATATTGACATATATACTGAGTATTAGGACATTGCACCTAGGCTCGCAACACAATTCCAACAGCGTTAGTGAGTTTCGGGGATTGGTGGGCGGGGGGAGTGGGTGGGTCCGTTGCGTGGCTAATTGTTATGGGAGGATAGGATGTTTCTGTAAAAACCACCAACAGAACAAGATGCCTCAACCTTGGAAAGAATGTCTTGTGTAATTGAGTAATCTCATTTTGTGATTTCTATTATTCTTCTGGTTTGTTTATTTTTTTCTTAGGTTGCATTTTTTTCTTTTTCGGTGTTACTTATTATTGGGAGATGAGTGAGACTCAAAATGAATTTGCCAAGAATTGCAAATCGAGTTGCCGTGGATTACCAAGAATTGTCAAGAATTAATGAGGCTGAAGATAAAATCTTTTGTACCGGGCGTTGAGGGTAAATACGAAGAATCTGATAAGAGAATCTTGCTGTGAAATAGGTGTGTTTATCTTATCAGATTCTCGGTATTTATGGTTGACCCCCGGTACAGCTCCTAGCCAGAAGTGTTCTTGATCATTATCGATTACTAAGCATGCGGACGCAGGCATGCCCCTCCCCCATAAATTTACGTTCCGCGAAGAGCTGTAGCTCGACTGTAACGGGGGTCTCTTCTAAGAGGAATAGAATAGAATAGAATAGAGGTGGCAGTGCAAGATAGACAATCAGGTTGCAGATTATTCAAAGATACTATCGCTAGAACTCAATAATTTTTAAGGGCTCTGCTACCGATAAGAACTTGATTTTTTCTTTCTGATGAAGACTGGAGAGAACAGGACTGGAAGGCGAGAATGAACCTCAGTACTTATACTCCGAAGGCTTCTATTCTCTGCTCCTAATTCCTTACTAAGTTCCGGGGAAGCCTTTCTTCGGTGCCAGAAACAATACCACTGCTACCCCGCTTTTCTCTAAGCGTCAGCTGGTAGCTAACCACACTGCCGGTACTTGCATATCACCGTGCAACTGGCTTCTAACAATAACTCTCAGCATGTAACCGGGCCCTGTGTGTACTCATACACCAGACAGTTGAAATGGCTCCGTTACACTGGGAGAGTGTGTCTTTGATGGTCTGGGGATTTTTTTGGGGGCGTAGCAAGGGCACATTCACACCACTTATTGTCAAATCAGTCAAGAAAGAAATCTACCTACAGATGCTACAATACCTCCTCTTACCTGTCTTGATTCGAGTCAGTACACAATAGGTGATGCTAGATTCCTGCAAGATAATGCACCTATTCACAAGGCAAAAATTATCACCGAGTGGTTTGAGGAAAATAATATAGAGGTGGAGGTGCACCCACCTTATTCACCTGATTTGAACCCAATGGAGCATGTCTGGGTAGAGCTCAAAAAAGGCTTCAAACTCAATACCCTCAGATCAAGAACACACCTGGAGGACCTGATAAAGTAAAAAAAAGGCTGGCTGAAGTCCTGCCCTTGGTTTGGGACACAATACCTGAGGAGTTCTTTGAGAAGTTATGGAGGTCTATGCCTGACAGAGTGGCAGCAGTTATTGAAGCAAGAGGGTGGTATACAAAGTACTAAATTGTATTTAATTCTATATATTCTCTTATCTCTCTACGCTCAATTGTGGCCGGCGTTGTCCATCACCGTGACCGTGCATCCTCGAAATCATCGCGCTCGACTACCTCCTTGAGGACGTCCTCGACGCCGGCGCAGCGACGCCAGCGCAGCAGCGCAACGACACCTCGCTTACTAACCAATCACGAAGACTTCTTGGTAGGAGCTGTATGTACTCCACAATTCCAGTTGCAATCATTTACCGTCCTTGGCTAATCCGTTTATTAATGCGCAACCCAATTCTTGGCATCAGTTGACTCTGATGTCTACCGTTGCCTGGCTGCCCGGCGTAGTTGTTGGCATCCCGCAGGCTGAGGCTGAGGCTGAGGCTGCAGGGTTGGTTAGCACCTGTGCTAGATTTCCGATCAAGCTTTCCTGCATCCAAACATTCACAGCGAGCCCTCGCATTCACCAACAACCACCTAGAAAACCCAAGCCGGGCGAAGAATGTATCAAAATGAATGTGAGAGTATTTTAAACTTGTACCGGACCTCTGAGGTTCTCTCAAGATCTCTCCAACTCTCACCCGCGATAGAAATATACATTTCACCCCTCTACTGTTCTGATGGGTTAGAAGTATAGAGCAAACTGCCATGACGCAACCCCCCAGCTTCAAACCTCACCCCGGGTCAGCCCCCGCAAATAACTTCGTGCCGGCATGGAGTCCGACGAGTACCGCCTCGAGACAGTCTTCTTGCCCGATCACGATTCCGTACTTCATATAAGACGTAGCGCCCGTGATCCGCCCACCACCGCCGTCTGGACCAACACACGTACCATCGGTCGCGGCGGTAATGGGGTCGTAGAGCTCCAATCCGGACCCTCTGGCTTAGTCCGCGCCGTAAAGCGTGTCTACGAGCGTGCCAGTTACATGTAGGAGGTTATCGCCCTATCAAAGGTTTCTGATGTAAGCCTACTTCTTTATTCCCTTCAGTATCAGCGCCATTACTGAGTTAAAAATAGCGTCATGACCTGTTTGTAGTTTTCTTTGGGTGGTATGAAGATCAGCACTCCTTGTACATCGCTATGGAGTTCGTTGCAAATGGCGACCTGGGCGAGTATATAAAGGCACATGGGAAGTCGCGGATACCAGAGGCAACATGCCAGGCAATATCGAAGCAGCTGCTCGAGGCGCCGCAGGTATTGCATGAGAGGCTGATATGCCACCGTGACCTGAAGCCCCAGGTGAAAACTCCCCGTACGTTTCCATTCGCCGAGTTTCACGCTAATCTCGAAATTCGTCAAGAACATTCTTGTTGCCGCTCTAGAACCGATCCATGTCAAGATAACAGACTTTGGGGCATCCAAGTATTTGAAGGGTACTGAGTCTCGCACAAGAGTGGGTACTAGTGGATATATGGCACCGGAGATATTGGGTGTATGGTCACCGCCGAAGGGGCGCGTTCATTTTGGACGTGCCGTTGATCTATGGGCAGCGGGGTGCATTATATACGAGTTGTTGTCGCTGCACCGGCCGTTTGATAGGCAGTTGGAGGATCCGGACGTCACGACGGAGGTATATTCGGGGGAGGATTCTGATCAAATGTCGGTAGAAATAGATATGGCTCACCTGATGTGTTACTGCCAGGGTCAATTGCCGCTGCCTGTAGAGGCGCTGGAGCGGTCTGGCGTCAGCCAGAATTCGACACAACTCGTGAGAGCTCTGTTGCAGGCCGATCCAGCAGCCCGAGTGAAGGCAGGGAAGCACTGGGGTATCCTTGGTTGTTGCGTCCAGAGCAACCCTTTGTAGATCCAGTTAGGCTGGAACCCATTGGACGGCCAACCTTTACCGACCCGCCCCAACCGGAGCCCAATTTGGCTGAGTGTGGGGTACCACTGGAAGACCTCATCACACCGACCCACTACCCTCACAGGGCAAAGGCGTTGTTTCCCTTTGAGGGCCTCAGACACCCATCAAATGAGACTGTGTTGCCATTCACGATGTTCGAGATACTTGAGATTCTAGACGTTACTGAATCACCGGCGTGGTGGAGTGCAAAGAACGAGAGTGGGGATAGGGGTTGGGTACCATCAACATGCTTTCTTGTCATCGACAGCCTCCCGCCTGCTCCGGTGGCGGTGCATGGAGATGAACGGCAGTACAAGATTAGAATTTATTAGAGAAAAAATGCGTGTAAAGAGGTGAAGTAATTGAGCGTGTTAATTGATACTAGTTAAGGGGGAATGGCCCCGTATTTATACTTAAAGAAAGGTAGTATAGAAGTATAATGAGGGTCATAGACGTATGAGTAATAGAATGACTAAAGAGATATGACTAATAGGAAATGACTCATGGTCGACATGATGACCAACATAATAATGAAATCCTCATATACTATTACCACGTGCCGAGCGTTCTATTTCAAGAGGAATAATACTATGTCCCTTAATATGCGCGCTCTTCGAAACCAATGTTGTCAGGTCCAGGCCGGTCTTGTCCACAATGTCTTTTTCAATCCAGACCTACTTTGTAACTCTAATCTTATTGATATCGGTCCCAAGCTCCTGATGTCTCCAGATGTTCGCCTCCATTATCAATCCGTCGGGGGTATGACCGGGATGAATTTGTGGATGCCTTTTCACATGGGGCTATGAGGGATCAGGAAATGTTGTCGTACATGCAGCGAGGACCGTAGATTTCAAGTACTGTTGGGTTTATATGCTTAGTTTTGATTATGGTTTCGCAGGCAATTCCGGTGGCTTCGTGTTGGAAGAGTTGCATCAGAAATGGTTTCATGGCGCAAGAGATACCTCCAGTGAAGTGTGCGTAAAAGACTTTGACAGTAGTATTCATGATTGAAGGCATAGACCGGTTTACCGCTTCTTATCCCAATTACATGAACTGGGTTTTATGTCATCTCGCCAGCCTCACTCTAGATACACATACAGTTGCCTCTAGCCCCACACATAGCTGTATACTCGCCATAATACTGTCCACATGTTTTCTGTGACTTCATATCGCGACCCTTCCTCCAGAATTGCCATTCAAAGTAGATCTATATGCAATCGAATCTCGCTATAAGTAGGGTTTCCAACGGTTGGACGGTTGTACTACGAAACGCGGTTTGAGGAAACCGGTTGAGGGACAATTCGGGTCAGTTGTCCAGTGTGGCTTGCTTTGGTTTCAACGGTTCCCAGATTTGCTCACTCGGTTTAAACTGATTCCTATAACGGTTCTGGTATATAACAGAGACAAATATCATATTATGAGAACTGATAGCTGAGTAGGATATTGGTGAGGAATTCGGCCTTCAGAATATATATCAGTGGGCATTCCTGCCTCGAGGGCAGCATAGAATCCAGCAAGCAATCATATCAAAGGCCACTGAGTTTATTATTTGACCAAATGACTTCAGACAAGTCTTCAGACCATGGCTCAGTCGCATCCAGTATGATCTACAGTGCTATTCATCTATCCTCCACTGCCCCTAATCTCTTGAGAGCTCAGACAAGTATTACACAATCATCCATATCAGCCCTTACCTCTCTGGCATCCTCAGACGATGATAATCATTCCCTGTATGCACCAACACGAATGACACCTCCTGTTACTGTATCAGACATGTCTCAGGAACGCGAAGGCTTAGTATCAGATCCTACACCACCAACAGTAAATGCAGCTCCACCACCCGTCACACCACTGCATAATAGAAGAAAAAGGAACGCTATGGAAACCAGATCTTGGACGTGGGGTGAGGGAGATGTGGTACATGTTAAGAAGGTAGTGTTGGACGGGGAGACGTATGTAGTCATAATCTATCACTCACATTGAAAGATTCTAACATCAGTTTAGCTTGTGGGAGTGTTGCCATTTCAGCAATAGAACAAAGCCATAGCGTTATTTGATATCCACCGGGTCAACATCCAGAGCCCAATACCTTCAAAAAACTCATAATATTGTTGAAACTATATCACGAAAGCAACAGAGACTACAACAAAGCAACATATCCATTCAGAATGCGATGTAGCGTGCAGCTGAGGTGAGGGTACGGCAGAAGCAATTACACCGGTAGTCCAATGACGTCACATATACTTCATCAGGCAACCAGCCTGATCCGGCAGTAATTACCGAGTTGTTTGTTTAGATGACGGCGAAGCGGAACCTTCCTCCGAGCTTTGTTACTAGCTCTGAGTTACGAGCTTGAAATCAATATATCAAACCTGATATCATATCCCTGCTGCCTACATCATCAAACATGGTTCATTCCTGGGTGATTCAGTCATTTGGGGCGTAGAAAGAGGCAATACGTAATGAGCTGCATAGATCTGAGTCAGAAATCCATCTGACACTGGATTAGTGGCAAAGCCCCAACAATTACTCTTCACTGAGGGTTATCGGGCACTTTGTGGGGGAGGGGGGGGCAGCTTTCTAACCATGTGCTGGGCTTAAAGGTTATTGATGGATCAAATTCGGGAGAAAATCTATCATTACCACTCCGTGAGCTGCTAGACTCATATGGGTAATGTCAAAGCTTGGATATGTGATTATGGATAACACAACCAATAATGACAGCTGATGGAGGTTTCTTGGTATACACCTACAGGAGATGGGGATGTTGGGTTGGAGTCATGATAAGAGACGATTGCGGTGCACTGGCCATATCATCAATCTGTCAGTCCAGGCCTTCTTATTTGGATCAGATCACTCTTTAAGCCCGGAACAGTTCTGTTTAGAAGGATTCACACCAGATGATATTGAGCTGTGGTGGAAGTTGTGTCCCCTAGGGAAGGTGCATAACCTCATTGTGCACATATGACACAGTCCTCAAAGGGCGGCCGAGTTCAAGAGGAGGAGTGGTGGCCTGATGTCCTATCGTGACTATGAGACAAGGTGAAACTCTTGGTACAAGTTATTGAGCAGTGTTCTCCGTAGAGAAAATGTATGTAGAGAAGTGTAGTAATTGAGCGTGTTATTCCAACTAACTAGAGGGGGGAATGCCCCATATTTATACTAAAGAAAGGTAACACAAAACATAGTGAATCATAACCGTATAAGTAATAGAACGACATGACTAATAAATAGCAGAGAGAAAATGAGTCAGAACCCGTGACTCATAATGACAAATGAAAATCCTCCAATACTATGAAATGTGCTGAGCGTACTATTCAAAGACGCCATCCAGACATGCATGAAGCAATGGATTTGTACGCCTACAATCACTATTTAGAGCAGGACCGGCTCAGTACAGCAGACTGGGGTATATTGAAATATATCCATCAATATCTGGAGACTTTCGAAACCGCCACTCTAGCTACAGAAGGATGGAACTCTTCCCTCAGTCAAGTCTTACCTTGCATTGACTACCTTCGCCAGCATTACCTTACATCACTTACCAATACAACTGAGCCATTGCTAACAGTGTTCGTAACGGTCAGGCCCGGATTATAGATATCTACAGATGCCTTGGCAGGGCCTCCAGACTGGACGGACTATATGTTCGTGGTCGGTCTAGTCCCTGATTTTGTCAGGACTATAGCTAAGATGCCGGACTATAGATATCTATAGGGTCATGAACGATCACTCAGTTCTAGCGACAATATAGAAATATACGTGTGGTGGAGTTAATATATTGGGCTCATATACGCAGCTTGTACGTTGGAAAATAGTTGAGCCTTGCAGACTACAGATAGGTGCTAGAACTGCAGATATCAACACGAAACTGTGGAAATCTATGCAGGACTGTGGATATCTATGCAGGACTGTAGATATTTATGCAGGACTGTAGATATCTGTAAAGCAGCGCCGTAGTATATGCCAAGCTGCAACCCCATAATCCAGACTATAGACAGTAGTCCTAGCCCCATGGTCGGTAGTCAGTCCCTGCGCCTGTTCAAGACCGACTACAGCTCGTAGTCGGTCCGGTCCTGAGCTTCAGGACCGACGGATTACCCCGTTGCGAACACTGGTTGCTAATCAGCATGATAGAGAATGGAAAGGCAAAGCTGGATAAATATATTACTATCTTACATTATTCCCCTGCTTATGTTGCCACTGTAGTGCTCAACCCAGTTTGGAAATGGAAATACTTTGAGGACAGATGGACTGAGGGTGAGGTCATACAAGCATGGGCTCTATTGAGACAGTTTTGGGAATCAATGTATCGTGGAGTTCATGATGTGACAAGAAACTCAAGACCGGCAGTTGGGGGTACAGATTTTGATGCATGGTGTCAGTTCGATATGAGGCTAGGTACAGCAGATTCTGACGAGCTTGATCAATATTCCCTATCAATCCCGGAGCTAGGTGTATCTAATAGTAGATTATGGTGGATGGAGGCTAGAGTGCGAACCCAATACCCTACCCTTTCCAAAATGGCAATTGATATCTTGTCAATACCTGCCATATCTGCTGAGCCAGAGAGGCTGTTCTCTGGCACGAAATTGACATTGTCTACTATGAGGAACCGCCTTGGAACTGATTCTTTGGAGGCATTGGAATGTCTGAAATCTTGGAGTAACCATTCATAGATTATGATATATATTATCTACATACAGTTAGCTGTTAGAACTGCTGTACGCTTAAAACCAGTTATCCAAATACAAGTATAGTTCAGTTCTCCTCAGTTCAGTTCTACTCCTTATTCAGTTCAGCTCAGTTCGGTTTCGATCGAAATCGAAACCGGTCACACCCGTTGGAAACCCTGGCTATAAGGGTACTTACTCTAAGAACAATCTCCCGTAACGATAGGTGCAGGGTTCTCAATGATAGTGCGATACCGTGACATGTATCGATAAAGTTCTCTGGTGGTACAGTGGGTAAAGTACGATATGATCACCTCTAGGCAATGGTGAGTATGATATGGTATCCTATCTGTATCGATAATATCAAGATAGAGGCTTGGCGCGCGGATGAACAGTCTGTCCGCCTGTTCTTTCTTTTTCCAAGTGCTTAAGTTTGATCTATCCTTCTCACACATTTTCCGCATCGTGGGACATCACTCGTTTCCACTATGATATACCACAGTTAGTATTTACAATAAGAAGTTCGCAAAATATCATGTAGTTCGATAATGATATGAACACATCGCAGTTGGTGCAATATGACACGACAATTACACCGATACATACATATCACTAAGAACCCTAGGTAGGCGCCGGGGTCTTGTTGGGCTCGGCGGGTACAGATTTGCCTGTTTTGAAAGGTATGTACATGCTCTAAAACGGAACAAAATTTAGTCCCGGCGCAGTCTTACGGGGAACACTTTGTATTTTCCTGGATTTCCGATTTAGTATCGTTTTCTTCGCCTGGGAACCACTGATGTTCCGGAAGAAGAGAAGAATAGAGCTTAATCACCTAACCACTACCATGTACGAGTAATGAGGTACCAAAAATAACTAATGTCCAGACAAGTCTTGTGCCACGCTGTGGCGCTCGGTAGGCGATCACTCTTGGCACATGAGGATAGAGACCTCTGCATGCGATCTAGCTTGTTTTTCCTTTACTAGTCGCTCATTTTCTTCTCTTCCCTTCTACTATTGTCCGTACAGTGCCTGTACTATTTAAAAGATTGAATTCAGCTTCCGGGGTAGATCAAGTAACTCTACGCCCAATCGTACAGCATGCACGTTATGGTGTAGTCTGGTCTGTGGTGTAGTCTGGTCGTAACTGTGTTGTAAACAGATTTAGCGGTTACGTGGCTGAACTGACTCAACGAAGCGTGTCCCTTGCTAGACTAGGATAAAGCAAGACTCTGTAACCTAGACCAATTGATCATCATCTAATTCACCAACTATCTCGAGCATAACCCATCGAGGCAAGATCACGATCACGAACTGCCTGAAAACGTGACATGGTCGGTGCTGGCCGTATCGCTAGAAACAAAGACGGAGGTATTGGCATGAACCACACCAGCATAGGCCAATTATGTAAGAGCGAAAGAGGACGACTTTGCCTTAGCAGGTACCTAACCACACCCTCGAATCGGATGAATTAGGTTCCTCACAACAAAGAGATTGTACCGTAGGGTAGGGTGGCAGTTGTGCGGTATGGCTAATAAGCTGCAGGTCTGAGTAAGATGACCTGTGAATCGATACCTTACGGGGGTTTGATATAAGCCTTCCGCCTATCAGTACCAAGCGCGGCTGGCCAGGCCGAAGCCGAGGCAGTCGTATAAGCCCATGCCTGTCAAAGCACCGTTATGGCCACTTTGGGCTGTGGTTTATGGTTATGAATCAGAGGTAAAGTATAGGGATCTCGGTACCTCGCGGATGGGGAGGGGCGCTGCGGTCGTCTCTTGCGGCCGGGGGTGTCGATCCCGGTATGTGGAAAGCCGAGGTACAGGAAAATAGCTTACTTTCCATTGCCGAAGGCTTAGGCTCAAATGCAAGAGCTAGATTCTGGATATGACTTACCAGGCGCCGTTTTGAAAAGATTTAATCTGTTTCGCCGATTTTATCTGCCTACAATGCCGGAAAAATCATCTGTACACCAGGCTTCAAGGGAATGGTGTGGTTTTCGTTGATTTCAAAGTCTCCTTAAAAACATCAAGACGGGGTAGGAAAGGAAATCAATGGTTTTACAGTTCAGTATATTTCTCATCGTTCGGTATCAAGAACTCTTTACTGTCGGTTTGGGGTAGCAAACAACCTCAATTCCGCCCACATCACAGTATATTCCCAACCGCTACAACCACAATAGCATCGATATTGCCGGTCATACGGTGCATATAAAGTAGTCCGTATCTATAATGGATGCTCCGTTTTTCGTTGAACCATCTTTGTCACGCCTAGTCACAGAACATCACTCCCTTGCCAAGACCCCAGCATAAAGGATGCCAAGTCGCGGATGTCTGTCATGTCACACGGTGTGCAACAGCAATCCATACGCTAGACAGCTAGGGTGCTCTATCGCCACAATGATAGAAAAAAGAAACACAGTTCATCAGAGCAAATCAACGATATCACGCTCGGTAACGCATTAAAGTAGTTTTGCAATAAGACTGTTGAATTCAATTTGGGATGTGATATGATGTGGTTGGGGGTTTATGCTCTTGGACGCAGCAAAAATTCTTCTTATTGAGGATAAAGTCTCCCAATGTCCGTTGGTCAAGGCTCAGAATCATCTCGTTAGGACTAGCAATGCCGACTGGAATATCGGTCACACGGGGATACAGCTATAGAGCGGTAAAATACATGCATACAAGCTTCTACTCTCACCTCGTCATTAGTGGGCCGAGACTCAAGTTGGCATAGCTAGTAAATTGCGTGGGGTTTAGAGGATTGGCTGGGATTTTGTTTGACGGCCTTTTGGTAATGTAAACCTCATAGGAGAAGGGACCGCATCCTCCAAATCATAGGTCACCCCGAATTTAAATCAGAGCTTCGCTGCAAAGCCGCTCTAGTGGGATCTGGGCTGACCGCTTGAGGGATATGTGAGGAGGGAAGGATCATACCGCATTCAGGGCTAATATTGAGCTGGTAAAATAAATATTCTACACAAGTACTTTCGTCGGAGATCCCCACGTGTTGCGTAGGTGTTGGGAAGCTCTATATGTTGTTCTAATTGGCTTGGTGTATGTATTGGCTCAGCCGGGGAGCCTATAGAGTTAAGCTGTGGAACCGACTTGATCCAATAGTCGTCACTCTTATGTTCTAGCATCCAGCCTGGCGGGCATTGAAAGCGAGATCTTGATCAACAATAAATTAATAACGCGAGTCTAGAGAGGAATGTAATAAAATAAACGCGGGAAGTATTTTAACTAGTACAGAAATTCAGAGATTTCATAAAGGTCGCCCCAAATGTTCCTCTACATGTAGGATATATAATTCACCTCCCCGTTCTTGATAGGCTGAGAGTATCAAATAAAGCTGCCACGACTTAACCCCGCTTCCAAGGCTTACCCCATCAACCCGCAACACACCCCGTACCGCCAGAGGGTCAGACAGCTACTACCTCGAGACCCCTTCCATTACCCGACAACACATTTCCAGTATTCGACTATTGTCGCTGGGTTGTCAACTACTCGCAAGCAGAGATCAATCATTATATCTCGTCCCAGGGACAAGCTCATCGACCTGCATGAGGCACATGCGATGGATCCTGCTCCCTTCGACTTTGATGATGACGAGAAAATCTCCTCTCGCGCTATAAAGGCGCAGGGGAAAGTGGTTCCTGATCGAGCACTGCTAAGAGCCAATCACAGCCAGATAGATCGTGATTGCTGCATCGTTGGCAGCTTGGGGGACCCGAGAATAAGTGGGCGTTTTTATTGCAGGCTTGCGGGATGTCCAGATTCAGATGTTCCGTTAACCTCTTTGCCCGCGCTCAAGTATGTAATTGTGATAGCCGCTTCTATTATTACCGAGACTAAAGCTCATATTCATCCAGAAACCATGAACAGGAACACTTAGTGCCAAAATCGCAAGACACAGAGCTCTCTCAGATGTTTAAGACAAGCCTCACCGTGGACCAACACTCTGAGAAGAAATATGTAAAGAACCCTGAGTTTGAGGAGAGGTTAGCCGAGTTTGAGAAGGCGCTAGCCGAGCCTGTGAAGGTGCCAGCCGAGCCTCGGCAGACACAGGATAATGACTCCGTTGCTGCTGTTAAACGTTCGAACCTTGGTCCCGGGCCTTACCACTGCACGTCTGAGGGATGTCGAATATTGGATAAACCGTTTAAGTATTTAAGTAAGCTTAGGTAAGTAATTGTAATAGTCGCCTTTATCAGTACTGAGACCGAAGCTCATATTTATCCAGAGATCATCAACGGGAACACCTACCGCCGGCTTTCCCATGCCCGGAGTGCGGCCAGAAGTTCAAACAATCTCGCATCCTTCAAAAGCACCTTGACAGGGTACATAAGTCCAGCCAAAATCAACGCGGCGCCGGAGACGCTCCTAGATGTGGGACAACCTTAGACGTGACCTACGCCGATCTTGATCTTACGTCCCACATGACTACTCTTACTATACAGACTCTTCAAAACCAAACTTATCAGCTCTATGGCGGTCTTGACACAGATGTCCTTTTCCCTCCAGACGTTTTCGTTAACTCTGATTGGGTTGATATCCACCCTGGGCTCATAAGGTGTCCAGTCCTCTATCACACATCCTCCGAGGGCGTGGGCGGGAGTGGCTTCGAGGATCTCTTTCCTGACGGGACCACAGAAGCGGGAGCAACCTCGGGAGGGGATCTTTACGTGTAATAGGGGGGACAATAGGTGTGAAGTGGTTTTGGGTTTATATTGTCAGTTTTGATTATAATATCTAGGCGATTCCGGTGAATTCAGGTCGTGGGATTTCCTTATCTTTTGTTGTTTCATATCATAAAAAATCCATATATAAAGGCTCTATTTAGTGAAGTTTCTGCGGTGATTACCATCCGATTCAGCTATATACCTTTTGTCCGCAAAGCCACCACCGCGCAGAGTTTAGCGCGTACGGACTTCCGATTTGCTGTAATCTCAACGCTATGCACAATGAGCATACCAGTCACGTGTCAGCTGGGATGAGAGGAGAGGACAAAGGAGAACATAGTAAGCTATAGGCCCTGTGCTAGGTACATGTATATATCCCTCTCCGTTCTGATGTTGTCTCCAGGCCTCGCCATGGTCGGATGGCACGAAAAGGTGGAAAACTGTGCGTGAGCAAGGCCTGTGCCATAGTAGTATGGCCGACCGCCGCTGCTCCGCTCAATTCAACTTGAAGGACTTCAGTGCAGCTAGAGCCACTTGAACCTTCTCAGTACATGTAGTCTCCGATATTACTTGTAGTCCTTGAAGCCATTCTATGTCTCTTTATTGGAAGATTTACAAGTTCCTAGGGTTAGGGTTCGCAACTGCAATTGACAAAAGATATTATTGGCATCTCTACTGTGATAAAAAGAAAACACCGAGATCATCAAGTCAAGCAGCGGAAAAAGCTCGAGCCAACTCCAATGGTGAGGATGGCTGCCCGCAGGTCCACCAGAGTCCAACTCGTTGTCTTCGCTACGCCACGCTGTGGCGCTCCCTCGACAATTATGCCAAAAAGGGTATGGTGGGCATAACGGGTCAGGGTCTGCAAGGCAGGAAAACACCCGCACAGGCCGCATAGCACTCGCAACTCAGGTCGGTCAATTAAAGCCGGCACTGCAAGCAAGCACTTCGCGTCTGGCCGCTTCGTCTATCGCGTCGGTTTCGAAGATACTGAGGAGAAAGGTTTGATGTATGATGAGTGACGACGAGGCGGGAACCTTCGGGAGTCTTAATCCGACGAAATCTCTCTTATCGTATGTGTGTTCCGAGCATCCAGAAGTAGATAGCTGTTTGTATTTATGTAGGTATGGGACGGGGAAGATAGAAGTATGTATATATGTGGATTAGTCAGTTAGGCGAGAATCACACCTCCCTCTCTCCCGTCTGCGAGAATCAATGCTACCTTCGCTGGGTCGGGAGAGAGAAATGGACATGGCTATAAACACAATGGCCCCTTGAGTCTCGGTGGTTGCGCATAGAAGAAGAAGAGAATTGCTGCGAATATGTCCCGGGCGATCGTCCATCTTGCCTGGCCATCTTCCTACTACTTGTAGAGTGCGTGCTTGTGTACGACTAAGAGCGTAAGGGTAGCAGGAACTGTGGCTAGTTGGCGTGGCCTCGGAATAAGCGAGGACACGGCAACGAGAGGACACTTGTAGCTAGTAGAGATATGGTCGGAACTCCGAGAGTATAAGGGAGCGGAGAAGGACCTCTAATTAGGATCATCATCATTATAAGATTCACGTCTATTATACCACGTACTTCACTAGTGACCAAGTATAACCTAAAACTAGTAATCATCCGTGATGCCGGTATAATAATAATAATAATAATAATAACAATAATAATAGTAATAATAATAATAATGTAATTAAATAATAATAAGAATAAGAATAACCGTACGGGCAGACCCGTTTACTGGCTGCAAGAACTCTGAGCAGTGTGGAGTGTGTGTGAGTAGAACTCAATGAATTAAACCAAACAAAAAAAAAAAAGAGTAAAACTCACGAACCAACCCGGTCGAGTGATGACCCATGATTCAAAGCAAACACAAAGAAGCAGTTTGAAAGGAGATCAATTTCCAATTCTAAACCTACCGATCCATGATTTTTCACACTATAAAGAAGGATTCTGTTCATTCGTCATCTTTCTAATTCGTCATCTTTCTAATCTGTACCCAACTAACTAAATAAAAATTCCCACGCACCCAACAATAAAATACTCCATACCAAACCCAAGAAATCAGTCCTTCCTCGGATATCCCCAGGTTACCCGCTCCACATTACTGGGCCTGCATTTCCGCCTCCTCACGGTCCGAAATCCTGTGGTGGGGTGGGTTCCATGCGATTCAGGGTTAGGTTATGCGCTCCCGATCACTCAACATTCAGATTGTATGGGGTGCCGAGTCGGAGTCCTGCCACTGCCGACCGCATTATATAGAGTTAACCAATCAGAGGCAGTTGCCGTCCGAATTAAAACTGTAACGGCCAGAAGTTAAAAGGGGATGGGTACATGCATTGAAACTCAGTCGGGAATGTACCCTGCATGATTGTCCATGGGTCACGGCTGCTGGGAGATCTTTCCTGGTGCTTTAATCGATCTACAAACGGCCTCGTTGAAAGCGGGTGAGGGGTAGCTTTTAATCCATGGACACAGGTGTTTTGGGCAGCTTAACCTCCGGTCCAATCTTTGTAGCGATTGAGGACGCAACCGCACTTCACGGGTGAAAATCTAAAAATCGAACAATACTTTATATATAATGGAAGATTTTGGAATTGGTACCAGTTCCAGAAGATAGAAGAACCGGTTTATATCCCTCTTGCCAACTAGGCAAGGGGAAAGAAAGATCAAAATTAAACTAAACTATATTTTCGCGGCAATGTTCCTTTGTTCGCATGAGGTTAGCTTCGCGGGGAGGACAAGTTATATATGGCCTGCACGCCGGAATAAGATGTTGTCGGTATGGAGCCGCACTTCACTCTGCTAGACGACTAGCAAGGTTGGGTCCAATTCCTATGGGATAGCCGATATCCATGTGGCATTCAGGATGGCATATCGAACTTGCAGTAAAAAAATAGAAAATCTCAGAGGGTTTTGTATTGGACATAGCGGGATCCGGAAAGTCCTCGTGGGGGGGGGGGGGTATCAATGACCATCTTTCTAGGGACAATTTCGAACTGTGCCAAGTGAAGTGCAACGTCCTCGCTCCTGGTCAAAGTGAAAATTAGTGTGATAACGGCACTGAGCCTTTGCTTGGTAAAAGATATGTTGGAAATATCTAGAAAAACCCCCGGTGTACCGGTAGGCAACTATACTAAGGGTATCCCTTACAAGGTTACGTTAGTCCGAATTGAATTATAAAACTAACCGTATATGGTATCCGTTCTGTGCTGAAAGCCGGCCATGTTTATCCTCTCATTAAGGCTGTGAACGTCTCCAGCGTGTGATAAGTCCGCTTGAGTGCTAAGATTTACTATATACCTATAGAGAATTGATTTATTCGGTCCCTATGAGTGGCAGTGGAAAATAGAAAAAGGCTACACCTACACACGGGGTTTGATAGGGCTTTCCATGACAACATATCGGAGTCCACAGCTGCAATCAAAAACAGCTTCAACGTCGGCCGATTGAGATTATATGGAATAGGTACCCTTTTTCCGCACAATACATATAAGGAGTTAATTCGCTCACACCAGGCAAAAATCCATTGGTCCACTTATCAAAAGACCGACAGCGCACAAGTATTTTTTATATAGAGTAGCTAATTCTGGTCATCATTACGATCACACACAGATAACATCACAGCACCTCCTATCCACAAGGACCTACCGTCGTCCAAAAGCTCTGACTCAAGACCCCTCCAACAGAGACATCGCATCTCTCCTCAAGCGCAATAAACACCCCGAATAAGTTGCCAAGTTCTCTACCAGCATCAAATCCAACCCCCTATTCTGACCCCACACATTCAAGCAGTTCCTCACGAAATCCACATAATTTCTGCCCATCGACCGGCAAACCTTTCTGATCGCCTTCTCTATCTCGAGCTCCGACGAACGCGCATCCTCCGCCGCCCCTTGAAGCTCATCCACACACAAACCCCCCAGTTGCAGTAAGAGGTAACCTAGCCTATACACATCACGGTTCCGGTCGCCTATGACGCTGTCCCCTGGCCGCAGTACTAGATATGGCGTCCACCGCCCGAACTCCGCGTTTTCGTCCTCCTGCGCCGTGAAGTAGTAGATCGTTCCGATGCCCCAGTCCCGTATCCATGAGGAGCAGTACAGATGAAGCAGCGATTGAGCAAGGGATATCGTCATGAACAAGCGGTCGTGAACGGTCAACTCACTGGGACGCGTCGTGATGACCTGTTGAAGTGAGATGTAGCCGCCACTGCCGCCACTTCCGAGTTTGTGCGGGAACGACGGTGCTAGCCAAAGACGGAAGCCACCGCTGGTATCGTGCAAGTACCGTTCGTAGCCCTCGCCCTTCCCCGCCACCTCCGTACAGATGCTGGCGTGCCCGCTGCTGCCGGGCGGAGAGCCAGTAGCCACCGCACCTCCGCTGCCGTCGGGCTGGAAACACACCAGGCTTGATCCCGGTCTCATAGACTCCCCGCTCCCATGCGTAAACAGGAACGAGAACTGGGCCAGTATATCATCAGCTGCAGCTGGCGTTTGTGTCTGCTTTGGTCTCCCCTTCCGATCAACGACCCCCGGTGGGGAGCTGCCGGTCTGCCCGTCGAGAGATAGGTGCACAGTGTGGCACTGGCAGATCAGTGCATTGGAGATGGCCTTGTGGAGCCGGACACCAGCCGCATGGACGAACGCCGTATTCCGGCGCGCCGTGGCCATGTCCGAGACGGAGGTCATGGGAGGTGCGTGTTCATCGGTCGCGCTCCCGAAGCTCAGTGATATCTTGATCACGTTGAAGATCGATTCCAGGTCAGTGATATAGTCTCGGAGCTCTCGGCAGAGGCTCTGGACCTCTTCAACAAGCCCTTTGACGAGGTTGGCAAATCGCTCGAGTGGGGACGGGTGTTCGGCGGGTGGGGGCGACGCGTGTTCGGCGCGTGGGGACTGGTGTTCGGCGCGTGGGGATAGGTGTTCGGCGCGTGGGGACGGTTTTTCGGCGCGTGGCCGCATGCATGGCACGCCCGAGAGAATGCACTGGAGTGCGCGAGTCCGCTTCCGTGTCAAGACCACTACCGGTGGGGGGGCCACCACCGGTGGGGGGGGAACTGGCTGTGCGGGGGAAACTGGCGCCTCCGCCGCCGCCAGCCTTTGCTGCGAGAGCAGCTGTGAATCGTGGATCCTCTTCAGGGTGAGTGAACAGTTCTGGATGGCACCCTTGACCGGGTTGACGTACTTGCCCAACTTGTTCTCGAGGCGTGTGTTGAGGTCCTCCTCCTCCCAGTGCGGGCTGTTGAGGTCGTCCAACAGGGCATAGCGCACCCTCTTCTCGACAAGGCTCCTGAGAAAGAGTTCCAGGTTCTGCTTCAGGATCGATTCGAGAACGAGGACTCTACGCATTGCCTGCTGCGAGTCCTCATTGTAGTCCTTATACTTTGACACAAAGGTAGTGACTTTGAGGTAGCCCTGAAAGACCAGTACGGCGAGAGGGAGGATACCAACGGGATCGGCCATGCTGCCGTAGCGCGGAGGTGTCGGTTTCTCCGCTGGGATAGCACTGCTAGCAAGCCAGGGCCGCTTTAGCGGGGGTTGGAGGAAAGGAGAGTGTTGATATATTACTCCCAGGGACGGACCAGGTAAGTGAAGTCACTGAAGTCTTAGTCTTAGTCTTAGTGTGCTCGTCCTGCGATCACGAATGAGAAAGCCAATCATGATCTGGCACATGCACATTTCCTATTCGCCTTGATATTAGGTGAAGTACTTACGTCTACTACTCGCCATAGGCATGAAGTACCCGAATATGCAGCTGCAAGTTTTTGGTGTATTTTTGACTTCTAATCCAATGGAAATCGCAGGTTAGGACGTGCATTTTCGGGTACTTGTTACCTGCCGCGAGTATGTACTGGATTATGGTTTTTCGTAGGGCCTTGTAATCTGATTGGTCGACAGCGACAGGGAGTGGTGTAGTAAGCACAAACTGCGTAGCAACCGGCTCACCACAGCAAAAATTGGGAGCGGGCAGTGAGACTGGCCGTGGCATTAACAGGATGGCAATATTGGAGGTGCCATTAACTGTAGCTGGCATTAATTGGAGGTGGCATTGGAATTGGCCATGGGAGATACACATCTACAGATTGGGATTGGAGGTGGCATTGGAGGTGGCTAAGTGGGGGTGGCATGAGTCGAGATACCTCATTACTAAATGAAAGAATTGGATCACTACCGGAGGAGGTGGACATTTGCGGGAGCTGGCTATGGTCAACTGTGGGATCTGGCCACGGCCCACTACGGAAGCTGGCCATCGTCAATTATGGGAGCTGGCAATTATGGGAGCTGGCTATGGCCAACGATGGGAGCTGGCTATGAGTTGAGATGGCTAAGGGCGAAATTAAATACCTACTGGAGGTGGTCAACTACTACACGGAGGTGGAAGTGGGAGGAGACCTCGCGGTCGCGAGGTATTACCGTCCAAGTACCGGCCGGGGTGTTGAGGGTAGATCAGTAATCGGAATCTGATAAGTGAATGTTGCGGTGAATACGTGTATTTGCCTTATCAGATTCTGATTACCTTCTCGCTACACCCGCACCCGCACCCCCACTAGAAAATTCCCGGATCCCACCCCATAGCAACTAGACTACGACCCACCGAATATCTCAACAACCACAAATTGAATTGAAATGAAATTGAAATTATTGCATAAATAGATAGTAAAGAAATGAAATATAAAACGCTATTATTTTGTGTGGCCCCCATTTGCCTCATAACCCTGATTCACGCTTGGCATACTATGAACTCAAGGCGCATTGAAAGTCTCTTGGGGGATATTTTCCCCACTCCTCAATGGCAGCTCTCCATAGCTCATCTACACTATGAGGCCTTCTCTACCTCTTGTGCCATGGATTTCGTGGTGGTGTTTGGTCTTGATCTGGTTGCTATGGTGCGGGATCCGGGAATTTTCTAGACACGGGGGTACATGGTCGTTTGCACCTTCAATCCCATCAATCTCATTGAATTATCTATCGCTTCATCTGATTCACTTTGTCAAACCTCGGAAGTCACACCCAACCCCTAACCTCCTTAAAAAAAACCTAAACCTAAACCTAAACCTAACCCAACCTAACTTCACCTCTCTCTAGCGTCTGTCTCCTGTCACACTGGATATTCGCGAATATCTTCGTCACAGATGTCTTCCCCGGAAACACCGCGCATTGCTAGTGGTCTCATCACTGCATGCACCACCCACATTCGCGAGCTTTCCAAACTCTCCAGCGAACGCAATAAAGATGGCTACATGTACCGAACACCGCTCTGTCACGAGTTTGGGCGCTTCCGCCTGTGGACACGGCTTCGACAACACCCCCCCAGCGGAGGGCAATATACTGGAGGAGGTTCTGGAGGAAGCTGTATACCTCAAGGAGCCCACAGTCCTGCTCCTGGCCTCTTCCGCTAGCTGTCTCCTCGATGACTGCCTTCGGAAAGGTATGAGCGCGCTCTGTGTGATTCTGTGAATGTGGCGGGCACTGGCGCTGACATAATTTACAGTTGGCAACGACTACACCCGCACGCTCCTACGGCTGTCCCTCGGCGAGGTGGCTAAGGCGTATCCACGCTTGGACAGCAGGTTGAAACGTGGGTGGAAAACTCCCGATGCTGCCATCGGGGAGCTACGCGAGTGTATGGATGCGCTTTTTGACGTGCTGTCCACCCTTGACAACGTCAGAGAGGAGATGAAGGAGGAGGAGGATGAGGAGGAGAAGGTGGGGAAGGAGGAGGGGGAGGTGGAGGATGTGACGACGGCGGTCAGTCTCGTGGAACCGCTCATGCCCGGGACAAGTGCTCTACAAACAGGTGATCACGCCACTCCCCAGAGATTCCTACTTCCGGAACGAGCCAGGCGATACCCGAAGAGCTCGAATCGGAGTACTCACTGTCAATGGTGGGAGGATATTCTTCGGCAGAGGATCAGGATGGGTTGGAGAGGGCTTTCTGGGAGGAGCAAGCAGCACCCCCGACCAACGGGATGGGTACGCACTGGGAAATATACCAGCAGTATATCCGGGACAGGTTCCCGCAAGCGGTTGGAGAGCTGGATGCTGAAGGGCTTGCGAAGGGGAATGTCGACTGCTATGACAGGCTGGTGAGGCTGGACGAGGATCGACTGAAGGAGGAGGAGAATGTCGCGCAAAGGTTGGTGCGCTCCCCTCCCCCCCCCCCAGTGCATGATGTCATCAACAACATTTACGATTTCTTCTTCCTAGTGCCTATTTACAACCTGTGCTCGAGGATTCTGCCATGCACATTCAAACAGCCCAGAAAACGCTGGAAAGACTGAAAGCTTTACCATCGGCGGGTGTCGCCACCACGTTAAAGGACTCCGTAGAGAAAATGTATGTAGAGAAGTGTAGTAATTAAGCGTGTTATTCCAACTAACTAGAGGGGGGAATGCCCCGTATTTATACTAAAGAAAGGTAACATGACTAATAAATACCAGGGAAAGAATGAGTCAGAACCAGTGACTCATGATGACAAATGAGAATCCTCCAATACTATGAAATGTGCCGAGCATACGATTTCAAGATTCCGGACTCGGGAGCTCGATTCGCACTCGCGACCAACTGCCAGCCACCAACATGTCCCTTGCCCCATCCTCTTCTGTCTTTGGCTTGTCGCAGTCAACCATCTGCTCTGTGTCATCGGAACCAAGCAAGAGACGCCTCCTTCCCCGTGTACCTGAACATTCACGATATGGGAGCGGTTTCAAATGCACGTTTTGCGGGCTGAATCAGCGCCCAACTACTCAAGGCCACAAGTGGAGGCATGAACGCAGCCCTCCCTGACATTCTCCATCTTCCGGGTCTAAGACTGAACCAATTGCGATTGCCGTTGAAATATCCAGAAAATATGTCTTTGCCGATCTCACGCCATACATGTGTATCCGCGCCCGCTGCCCCACCTCGGACACGTTCTACAGCTCAAAGAAAGCCTGAGTCGCACATGACATAGACTGCATACGAAGCTCACGGGAGACCAGCGCAATGACTATGACAGGCAAGTGTCCGTTTTTCCTCAAGGGGGTCGATGGGAACAGCGGATGATTCTACAGCCATGTTCATCAGCAAAAAATGGGTTTCCCCAAGACGAATTCCGGCACCCAGATGCCCAAATTCATGTTTTGCCACCAAAACCTCGTCTTTTGGCTCTGGGATCTCATCGTATGTCCCCCTATTTTTGGCCGCTCATCATTCGAATACAAAATGTTGTCCATTTAAAGCTCCAATTATGAAACCGGTCATGCGACCTCATTAACTCGTATTTTGAATCAATCTATCCTACGCTCATCTTATGCCAAATGTCCCCATCTTCACTACCAGTCAAAAGACGAAGATGGCTCAATTGGGAAATCCTCGTCATTTGACTCGGATATAATTCTGTCCAAAATCCAACTCCAATAATCATTTCATCTAAAATACAAACTCTAATGACTTCTGAGCCCATCTAATACCTTCCCACTAATATGTACAATACAATCTAGTGCGTCGAATATCCACTGTTTAACATATCTAAGGACTCCCGTCTAATTCCCGTTTGTCTTCCCCATTCGTCATAATCCCCCCTGCTCAAAACCTATCGTCAGAAGTCCACCTGTCTAAAGTCTCTTGTTTGGTGTTCATGTCGTCAGTATCGTTATAAAGAGCTCAGTCCAACGTCCCGTTTTACTTCAGTAAATTGATCCATATATGGATGGATCAATCATACTATTGATAAACCATCTCTTCTTCGTAGATGATGTCGTCTCAGGCACCAAATAAGCAGTGCCCAAAATGCTTTTTATGTTTACTACTCATATATCATCAGGAGAGCTTGAGCAGCGTGATACCTTTATTAGCCCGTAGTCGATGTTGAGGTTTCCATTGAAGTCCAGCTTCAATGGTTGTATCGCATCCAGAAATGTGGCCCTCCTTTGTATTGGGTCCCTGAGCTTAAAGAGCGCAAGCAGCCTTGCTGGGCATAGACCCTGCAAAGCCTACAGGTTAGCCGGCTTTTGACTAAATCAGACCCAGTCTTTGAGCAAGTTTCTCCGTCTGTAACCCGAAGTTCCCGTCGTACGAAGTCTGTGAATTATCCTCTCGTCGGCCTCGCCATGCAAAAGGACGGGTAAATTTAGGTGTTTGAATGTGTTATCCAACAGCTATCGATGTCTTCGGACATATCTTCGTATCCAAGACATAGTCTCTCCTGAAATACCGTCGGATGTAATATTCCAGTCTCTTTGTAGCACCTGCGATATTCATCAGCAAAAAATCTTTTTGCTCCACGGGCTCCATGGAGGCGACGGAGTCTACAGAGTACACGGAGGAATTTTGTCTCCATGGAGCGACCCTATTTATTTCTCCTCCGTGAGCCAAACATGTAATATCGTCTTTTCCACGAGCCAAACATGTAATATGGTCTTTTCCGGGAGGCAGATCTGTATATTATCTTCAATCCGCCGAATATCATCTCTTGAAGTACGATTTCCGTAAGTACTCGGAATATGGTACATCTCCGCCACATACAATTGCACTCGTAGAGATCATCACATTTCTCTTGAACATAGCGTAGTAAATCCTAACATGTAGAGGACGCTTGTTGGCGTTTAATTAAATTCTACCCTACTATCTATGTACAAAACAATTATAATTCGTCGTCATCTGATTCCCCTTCAGACACTTCCAGATCTTGGGTCTCCTCCATCTCTCCTTTAAATCTATGATCCCCACAGTGCTTTTGTGGATATCTGACGTCTTTTTCCACCTCCTCTCCATCGGAACTTACGGCTTTGAAATCCAAGAATTCATCTGCCGCGGGGTCTGTGTAGGCTTCTGTCCTCTCCAGAGCTTGCTTCCCGTTCCTCGCCAATCACTTTGTCAATGGTACCTTGAGGTTGTTAATGAGCCTGACTTGATTCAGGATCGGTAACGTCTTCAAGCTGTGAAGATGACGTTGGAACATTGCTGACCAGACAAATTCAGTCAGTTCTAAGACGCAAGATGTCGGAACTGGTCTTACTAAAGCATGTATCTCGCTTGAATTCAAGGCCGCTGGTCCACTCCCCCATTGCCCAGTTCCTCAGCCCAAACCCAATCACACTGGCTGCCAATGCCACAAAGACGTCGTTAATCTTGTCCATGAATTTGGGGTCAACTAGATCCCTCTGTCGCTCACCATAATAATATTTGCTTTGGATGAATTGCCGGATCGCCTGCGCTGCGAACCGCTATCCACATACCTGATATTGATATTCATCAGTTTATCAGCCTTTTAGCTTCCCCTAGCTGATAGCAAATAGATATAGATGAAAACCCAGCAACGCGCAAAGTTGATACCGTGAAGCCCGTAGGTCCGGAAATGAAACGAAACACTCGACGCATATCTCTCGTCGGATGAAACATTCTGGGTGACGATTGTCAGCTGAAACAAGGGAGACTTACATCGTACTTTGTCGGATGCCATATATATCTGTCACTTTGTAAGAGGTATTCCACTCGGTCCTGTATATATATTGCACTACGTCCTTGGAAACCAAAAGTGATGTATATGAATCGTTCTATTCCTTGGGTCATCATACCTCGCGAGGTAGAATGCCGCTGTTTCAACTACAGGGGTACTATTATCAGCTTCTACTCGACATGGTTCGTCTGACAATGGATTACGTACATTAGCCAATACCTCCTTTCTTACCGGTATATCACGGTAGTTATATGCCCTGCACACCTCGAGCCATGTGTTTTCGAAAATCTGATCGATCCTGTCGGGGGCAGAAAAAGGCTCCTTGAAGAGGGCATCATCCAGTAGGTCATTCACGGTGCCATTGAGAACTGACCTCTCCAGTCCTCGCACGTAGGTGTAGGATAAGCTTCTCCGAGTTTGGCCATTGACTATACTATTTTCCTTATCGCTTCTATCCTCTTCCTACTCCTGCCCTTGACTTGATCTACCACCAGACGCACCGTGTCCCTGATAAGACGAATTCCGTTCTTGAAAATATGGACTATCATTCAAATACTCTCACAAATGTTCCCTCCAGGATGAGGATGGAAAGGTTACCTTAGTCCAAACCTTTGGATCAATCCTCCGCAACCCTTCTCTACCCTCATCTAGTCGGATTAGTTTCCGAGGACATCTTCGGTCTTCAGGCGTGGTAACAGAGGTGCCACGAGAGGCGCCGAAGGGATTAGGATATAAAGACTGGATCCTACTATGGAATACAGTAGGCACAAGGGAATCATAAGGTGGATGCCCAGGTTCCGATACCACCTGTCTAGCAGTTCATAATGCCTGCCTTGGAATATCAGAAGGACCCCGATCCCTATTCTCCACTGGGGTGATACTTGGAGAGGGAGGAGGAACTTCACGAGACCGGAATTGTTGAGAGATTGGGGAAATAGCCTGAGGACCCGAACGTACAGCATGGCGAGCCGAACTTACAGTGACGGTCCTCTGATACGCTATAGGCAATGGGCAGCACCTGGTATATACAGTGTCTGTTGTCTGATACTGAGAGTCCGAAGTAGTATGAGTTACGGTTGGTTGTCGATTTGTTGGTTCGATTGTCTGAATCCTGATGTAGTGGGCCACGGGTTTTCGTGTAGGGGGAAGGAGGGTGAGAGAGTTTGAGGAAGGGGGGCGAGGAGAGACTTTTGTCCTCTGATTCTTGCTCGGCCCAATCCTCCGGTTCCTCTGTCTGTCTATCAACTCTTTGACTCTTTCGCAGCTGAGCCCAGGTTAATAGAGGATGTGAAACATCTGATACTGTCCTTGACTGGATGGGTGAACTGAGGCGGGTGGTCAGGGGTGTCTGTACGGTGTCATTATTCCCTGCTACGTTTGGCGGAGCATCGTTTACACTCTTTCTTGTACGCCCTCGCTTCTCTGAGTTGTAGATCATAGCCAGTACAGCTGGTAGTTAAGAGTAACGACTTATTTTAGGTGCAATCGTTGGGCATTTTCTTATATCGATTTCGTTGTCGAGGGGACGTTTGAAAGAGGATGGGGATGAAGAACGGGAGATAGAGGACACGAGGCGTCAGGTAGTGGACAGAGTCAATGGGAATCATTGTGTGATATCACCAATATATAATTTCTTCCGATAATAGTATCAATACAAGACATAGCTCCCCGAAGGTTACTTCACACGTCCGAAGATAGATGATATTCGTCTCCGCGCAAACCATCAGACTGAATATGAACTATTATCAATTAGCGATAGGCACTAGGCTGCGCAAGGTTAGAAATACAAGGATAGTGGCTCATAATAGTGATGCATATGAGAGTATCCAAATATATACCATTCAGATGGAGAAGAGACGTCAACCGTTGAGAGAGAAAAAAAAAACCCAGTCCTACCCAATACAAATGGAAAATGTAACGATGTAATAAAAAGTAAGAATAAACCTCCTTGAATCAAACAGGAATAGAAAGGAGATGCCTGCCATCTACCTGGGAACGTTGTTCAGGGACGTCCCAATCGAAAACGTGATCCAGTGAGCACATAGCCTCCCGGAGCAACCTTCTTTCCATAGTAGTTAGGGTCACTAGGAATTGGAGTGCCGGCCGCCGTCACTGCTACCACGATTGGATTGACTGCCCAGCATTCTGCGGCGGCCACCATATTCCACGTCTTCAACGGGATTTGCCTTGGGGACTTTATATCCGGACACCAGCCCTCTTCGTCCGACTCAAGGATATTTTACCCTCCCAATTTTACACGTAGGTGCAGTTTTACCTTCCTTTTAAGGAGAACCTGTTGGTTCATCCTCTTACGGATCAAATCGAGCCTGTGCTTAAGGCTCTGTCGAGTGCTGGGCATGGGACGTTTCCGGGCATCTGGGGGATGAATATCGCGATCGTTCTGCTCAGCAGGGTCCTCGTTCCATACTGGATCTTTAGAGTGGATGGCATTCAGGAAAGAATGCCTAGTCGGAAAAGGCGTATCAGGTATCCCTAGCGTTGCGGTATGGCGGAAGACGACACAGCATGTCAGCTTCACCGCAGTTAAAATCTTGATCTATGCATGTACAGTCATATTGTCAAAGAGCTTAATGATGTCCGAATCATCAGGGCAACGAAGGATGACGATATTATCTCTCAATATGCCGTATAATGCCCGAATCTCCCTCGCTAGGTGCAGGTCCCGGCGGACAGCATTGTAAAGGTGAACGAAGGTCAGATATCTCAACATTCCGATCATGTCGGTGTTGGATGCACCTTCCCAGGGGCGGTGCACAGTGGTAGGAGCTCTGATGACATTCGGCTTGTCAGGATCAATAATCACGAATCATACTGCGACCTCCGTGAACTTTGGGTGTCTTCGCGCAACTTTAACCTCAACGTGTTCGTCACGCTCTAGAGGCGGGATTAGTTCTCTATCAGACTGGAGGCATCCGATCTCTTACCCGCTTCGTCCTCCGAGTTTCTCTCATATAGGGTTTCGCCGGCCTTATTCTTGCCTTCCTTCACCTTTTTCATGCAATCCTGTACCAGGGGTTTGAGAGCTCTATGGAAGCGGGCATGGAGACTATCTCAAATCTTAACGGTGAGGTATTTCGGCCTAAAACCAACGAGCTCAGGATGGGTCATCGCGTAGTCGAGTAGCTGTTGGTATTTGGGGTTTTTGACGTTGAAGCACTTATTGGTTCTTGCCCAAGCTGAGATATGAGCACGAAGGGCATTCGATTTCTTCGTGTCGTGCAGATTGAGCTCAATTTTGTAGCCCTTTACATTCATCTTGCCATCGCCGGCCATTATTTATACTACGAGTAGATTAGTCACATCCGCCGATGCTCTCTTTTCTAAATGGGGTCAGCAAGTTGGTCATGACCATAGAATATAGATCTCTTCATACCTTGTAATGGGCTGAGAGTCTGCTAGAGCCTGGAGTGGAGGGTATGCATCCTATTCCCCCCAGTTTATTACTGAAAGCTTACTTTTTGGAGGAGGTTTGCAGTGTTTGGGCACGCGAGGTTGAAGCGGAAAACTCTGCCATCTTATAGAAGTTGCTGGCAAGCAATTGTGTTATGTCATATGTGAATTAGCTGGGGTTTGATAGATATAACAACAGCCACGAACAGATGCTAAATGTCTGCTGTTGTCCCTTTCAAAGCCCTTATCTCATGATTCCACCATTGAAAATATATTCTTTGTCTTCGGTAAACATTTGTTTGATCGGTAGTTGGTAGAGCGAGTAATTTTGAAACGTCGAGTTCTTTGAGGTTTGTATTCAGGCGATGAAGATGCCTCGGGGGTGTTGTTTAGTGGAAAGATATTGTGGTTGGTGTTGTTAGTTGGAATTAAGTGACGCAATTTGTTGAACTAAACCTAATCCGGCGAACAGGGCCCGTGTTTCTAAATGACGTAACCGGCATCTTGCTCCAGAAAGTGCGTTGAGGTATGCCTGCCATCTGATTGGTACCTTCAAATGTCGGTTTTATCAAAGGACGATATTCAGCATGTCTGCTATTCGAGGATCGGCATCTCCATGGTGCGGAACTATCTTCAAATATGGAACGAGCTATCGAAAGCATCTCAGAACCAGACATCCCTCAAAATCTCTCCTCCGACGGGAAGAAGGAAGACTATTAGACAATGAACGACAGCCATCAGAGGATGAGAGCGAAAATTTGGCCGACAATTACGACCTTGACAGTCTTTCAGATGAAAGTGTCAACGAGGAAAACGAGCAACTACCCTCCGAGGTCACAACTTTCCCTAGGGCTGAAGAGATATTAGGGGACATTGAGCGTCCTGCAGAGGACGAAACAAATCGATGGGCACCTTTTGAAAATCAGCAGGACTTCGATCTGGCAAAGTGGTTCATAGAATCGGGGGTGTCGAGGGAACACATCAATGGCTACTTCGAGAAAAAATTAGCAAGGCAGGAGGTCTCCTACAACTCCGTCTAAAAGCTAATTATGAAAATAATTGGGCTCAGTGATGGGCTAGGTTCGAGTAGTTGGATGACTGGTCAAGTCGACTTCCAGCCTCCAAAAGATGGTAAACGTCCTTTTGGGGACTCCAGTACCACCGAGGATGAATGTAACGGCAGCTGTGTATTGTGGCTAGGTGATAAACTGGAACGAGGAAAGGAGGTATTGTGTAGTGGAATTGGTATTTGTAATGAGGATTTCTATTATGTTCTTTTAGTTTCTGTTATGCGGAGGTATTAGTCATCATTGGACTATGGTTGGATATATAAGGGGTCGTTGCTTTGTGCTTTTATCTGTTTTCCTTCTTCCCTTCTTTCCTTACGCAACCTCTGTATTCTACTTGCTCGCTAAGGCTCGCAAAGAACTCCCTGATATTAAACCTCGCTTCAAAAACATTTTATTTTACCCCCCTCGGTTTACCTTGGTATACCATACCAGGCTGAGCCACTTCGTCCCCGATCGTACGGTCGCGTTTTGTTGTTCCAAGCGAAAGAAACCTACGAAAACTGGCTTCTAGCGAAGAATTCTCCAGCCTTGACCTCCCGAAGGGAAGGAAAAGAAACCTATCCGAAACTTCACTCTACGCCGCCAGAAGAACTGGACACTCAGTTATGTCGCAGCAAGCTTCGCTCCAGTCCTTTTTTACCCAGTCTTCCCAGCAAGGGACAGCCCCTCCGCAGAACAGGAATACTCCGGTTCCCGATCCAACCCCATCCGGAGCTCAGGAACAAGAATTCTCCTCGACCTTTGCAACACAATCCGACTACAACGACCCATACCAACCGAGAATTGACTACCTCTACCCAAGCATCGTTCCCCAGGACACTCACACCCAGACGGACCTGAACTACATTACCTGGGCCATTAGACATGCCACCAGCCGAATCTGCCCACCCACCGACAGGATTGAAATCCTCGAAGAGCAAACGACCACACTCCGGAGAACAGTGGACACACTGAGGCACCAAATCGAGGCGCAGACAAACATGATCACCAACATGCACTCGGCGATCCATCTTCTCCTCAACAAACAACCACAACCGCAGCAACCGCAGCAACCACAATAAAACCAACAACAGCAACAGCAGCAACAACAGCGAAAACCACAACAACCGCAGGGACAGAGAATGCCCCCTCCAGCGGTCCCCCAAACAGTTCCCCAAGCAGCGCCACAGGCAGCTCCTCAGGCCCCCCCACCCGCACCCCCCCAACAAGCCCCACCCCGTAGATGGAATGCAGGCACCTGGGCCGCCGTGGCCTCGGCACCCGGTCCCGCACAAGGAAATTTCCAGGTTGTTGAGAGAAGAAAGAAGTCCGCAAAGCCAAAAGCGGACCCTCTCTTCAAGCCAGAATATACCAAGATCAACAGAGAAATCATTGTTGAAACCACTGCTCCATCCGACGTCAATCCCTCCGAGATCAGAACCCTCGTCAACGCAAGAATCCAAGACGAGTCCTGCCATTTCATCTCGGCAAGAAGGACACCCAAGGACAACTTCATCCTGGAAACAAAATTCGTCACCCCTGCAACAAAGGCAATGGAATATGCCAAAGAAATTGAGGAGGCCCTCCTCACCCTACAGGTACCGGTCGCTGTCATCCGCGCAAACTCCAAGTGGTCAAAGTTTCTCCTCCATGGAATCCCCACGACGGTCGGGGAGGGCATTGAGGCGGGACAACTAGTAGCATCAGAAATCAGAAGCAACTATGGAGAGAACTTCCAACTTGCCCAGGTTCCCCGCTGGATATCCAGGGCAGAAACTCGAATGGAGAAAACCCACTCATCAATGGTCATCGCACTCCCAGGACAAATCACAATGGAAACACTAGGAGTTAAATTCCTATCTCTCTTCAACCGAAGCTGCCATATCGAGGCCTTCTTTCATGGATCGATCAGTGGAGGTACGGGGTTATGAAGAGTCGGATTAGTCAGAAAGGTTCTATTGGGTTCTACCGGGTTCTGTTGATCGTTGATGTATGAGTCATGTTGGGTTTGTCATCGCTGGGATTTCCTTGAGTATATTAAGGGGGGTGTTCGTCTGTATTTTGTGTTCTTCTCTTCTTTCTTTACGCAACGTCTTCTGTATCTACGCTGTCTATTGCTATATAATACTCTCGTTCTCTTCTTTCCTCAAGAAGACCACCGCCTCGCTTTGTTCTCGTCCCCTTCAAACCTTACCGACGCTAGAGCCCCGTAGTACCCATATCGTGGAGCTCCCACACCGTCCCCTGCTACGCTCTTCGTGCCCTGCGGAATACTCGCTACTCACTCCCTTGAGATTACGTTGCGTCGTCATCCGCACGGTACGATATGTCCACCCCCGACCCACCTGCATGGAATGCACCCAAAGATGTAGGGGAATTCAGGCAGATGTTTGAAGCCGGCCCTGCTGAACTATTCGACAACATCGCCGCCCTCGTCCAGCGTGTCCGCCTCCAAAGGGACACCCTTCATACACAACTCACCGCCGCCAACGAAACCATTGACAACCTCGAGGAGCAGATAAACCGGCTCAACCTCGACCTCAATGTCGCCCGCGCTGCTCCTGCCCCTACTGTCGCTGTCCCCGTTGCCCCCGCCCCTCCACCTGCTCCTGTCCCCGCCTTCAGGTCCGAAAAGTTTCCAGACCCTGAAAAATTCGATGGCACCCGTACCAAGCTCCCCGGATTCACTACCCAACTTCGAATGAAACTTGAAGTTAACCACGATCGGTTCCGGAACGAGGCAGCAAAGGTTATCTACGCCGTCAGCCGCTTGGAAGGAAGGGCCCTTGACCAAGTCGTCCCACTCGTTAACGCTAACCCTGCCGCCCCCTTCTCCTCTGTCACTGCCTTCGTCGCCCATTTGGAAGCCTCCTTTGGGGACCCAGACCCCCGGGGTACCGCCCGTCGCCAACTCGTTGCCCTGAAGCAAGGCAAAGGGGACTTCGCTACCTATTATTCGCAGTTCCTCCGCATCGTGGCATACCTGGACTACAACGAGGGAGCCAAGATCGATGCCCTGGCCGAAGGACTGTCGGAAGACCTGAAGGATGCTATGACATACCGGACAGACAGGCCTAACACCGTCGAAGCCTATGCCACCATGTTGATGACAATCGACAACCAGGTTCGGGGCCGCAAAGCTGAACAACGGGCCATTCGGAATACAATGGGACAATTCACCGCCCCCGCTGCTGCCGCACACCCATCTCCTACCGCCGGAGGCCTCGCCCCAATGGACCTCTCCGCTCTCCAAAGCCGCCCCACTCAACGTCCTGCCATCGAACAACGATATACTTTTGTCAACGGGCAACGCAAAACCTCCGCCGCTGAAAAACAATGGCGAAGGGACAACAATCTCTGTATGTACTGTGCCAACCCCGGTCATGTCTTTGCCAACTGCCCCTCTGCCAATCGCCCGCGCGGTAACCAACCGGTTATGAGAGGCGCCCTCCTCGCACCCAGCCATACGGCCGTCGACCCCGCTGCTCCACCGGTCGCTAGTCCCGCCTCCTCTGAGTCGGGTTTTCAGTAGTCCCGGGCTTGATCAATGGCCCCTGCCCGGGACCTTCCAATGTCTCTCCTTTGTCTGCGTTTTCTATCTCTGGCTTCTCGGTATCGTCTGTGGAGGATAAGTTGGATGGGGATCATTTTGTTGCTTCTTGTAAAATTATAAACAATAAAACATCCATTCAAACCCACGCACTGATCGATACCGGTTGCTCCGGATTCGCATTCATTGATGAAACATTTGCGCGCCATAACAACTTCCCACTTCTCCCCCTTAAATCACCCCGTACTCTTGAAGTCATCGACGGTCGGCCCATATCTTCCGGACAAATTACCCACCTCTGCTATCTGCCGCTGTCCATTGACTCCCACCATGAAACTACCCCTTTCTTCGTCACCAAACTTGGCTCGTATCCACTCGTCCTCGGAATCCCCTGGCTTCAATTGCACGATGCAACATTACGGTTTAAGGACAACAGCATACTGTTCGACTCCGAATACTGCAAACGCAAGTGCAACTCTTCCCCGATACCCGTTCCCATTAGAGGGGTCGCACCACCGCCCCGTTTTCACCTCGTCAGTTCAGCTGCTCTTTGTCGCTTTGCTCGAAGAGACAAACTCCAAATCTTTAGTACAACTATTGAAGAAATAGATCAAGCAACGGGCGTGGCCCCTAAGCAAGACTGGAGGAACCGGGTCCCAACCCGGTATAAGAGATTTTATAAAATGATGGACGAAGAATTCGCTAACGGGATGCCGCCTCGCCGCCCCTATGATCATAAGATACCGCTCAAGGAAGGGAAAGAGCCCCCTTTTGGGCCACTTTATGGTATGTCCCGCGAGGAACTCATCGTGCTGAAACAATACATACAGGACAACCTTCAAAAGGGGTTCATTCAGGCCAGCTCTTCGCCTGCCGGTGCCCCTGTCCTATTTGTTAAGAAGGCCGATGGAACACTCCGCCTTTGTGTCGACTATCGTGGCCTCAACGAACTTACTGTCAAAAACCGCTACCCGCTACCACTCATCCGGGAAACTCTCGATCGCCTTTCCAAAGCCAAGTGGTACACCAAGCTTGATCTTCGCCAAGGGTACAATCAGATTCGAATGGCTGAGGGTGAGGAATGGAAAACAGCCTTCCGAACGCGTTACGGACATTTCGAATACACCGTAATGCCCTTCGGCCTTACCAATGCACCAGCCACCTTCCAACATTTTATTAATGATTGCGTCCGTGATTACCTGGACATGTTCTGCACAGCCTACCTTGACGATATCCTTATTTACAGCGACACCTTCGAGGAACATCAAGTACACGTCGAAAAAGTACTGGAAGCCCTACAAAAAAATGGAATACTGCTGAAACCGGAGAAATGCGAATTTCACACACAAAGCACCACCTATCTCGGCCTGATTATAGAACCCAATGGTATTAAAATGGACCCAAGGAAAGTGGAAACAGTGAAGAATTGGACCGTCCCGAAAACAGTTAAGGATGTACAAGCATTCCTGGGTTTCGCTAACTTTTACCGCCGATTTATACGCGGATTCTCGGAACTGGCTTCTCCTCTTACCAGACTGACACGTAAGGACACATTATTTGGATGGACACGCGAAGCCCAAACCGCCTTCAATGCCCTGAAAGAAGCCTTTACCACGGCGCCCGTTCTCACTCATTTCGACCCGGAAAAGGAAATTACTGTGGAAACCGACGCATCTGACTATGTCTCCGCCGGTGTACTCTCCCAATACGATGACAATGGTATCCTCCGACCTGTTGCGTACTTCTCGAAAAAACACTCCCCCGCCGAATGCAACTACGAGATTTACGACAAGGAATTACTGGCAATCATTCGGTCTTTTGAAGAGTGGCGACCGGAACTTGAAGGGGCTGCACACCCAATCGCCGTCATATCCGATCATAAGAACCTCGAATACTTTATGAGTACTAAACAACTCAACCGGAGACAAGCACGGTGGGCAGAATACCTGTCACGATTTAATTTTGTTATCAAATACCGACCAGGGAAACAAGGAGGGAAACCGGACGCGTTGACAAGAAGATCAGGAGATCTCCCTGGAGAGGGGGATGAAAGACAATTGCATCAGAGTCAAGTTGTGTTGAAGAAGGAGAATCTTGATGCAAAGCTAAGTTTGTTGGCGGGTTCTTTCTCAAAGGAGCCCGCTGAAAAGAACGCCTCACTGCAGGAATTATTTGATGAAGGATATAGCGCTGACCCGTTTCCCCAAAAAATACTGGATATGCGGGATAAAGGCGATCGACAATCAAAAGACATATCACTCGCCGAATGCACCGAGGTCGAAGGCCGATTGCTTTACCGAGGCAGCATATATGTCCCTGATTACGACCCCCTTAAGCTTCGAATCCTCCAACTTTACCATGACGCTGCCTCTGCGGGACACCCGGGACGTGAAAAAACATTCGAACTCGTCAGTCGGGACTACTACTGGCCCCTCATGCGAAATTACATTGCCCGCTACGTTCGGAACTGTCACACCTGTCAACGAAGTAAACCCAACACCCATGGAAAACTCGGCGTACTTCGACCTTTACCGATTCCCGAACAACCATGGCGGGAGGTATCGATGGACTTCGTTACGGGCCTACCGGAAAGTGAAGGGTACGATGCAATTATGGTAGTGGTTGACCGGCTAACAAAGATGCGACATCTCCTGCCCTGCAATACTACTGTCAACTCCGAAGACGTCGCCCGACTATACCTGCGAAACATATGGAAGCTCCACGGGCTACCCACACACGTCACCTCCGACCGCGGTACGCAATTTACAGCTAAGTTTTGGAAGGCTCTTTGTAAACACCTCAACATCGAAGCAAGGATGTCCACCGCCTTCCACCCAGAGACCGACGGCCAAACCGAAAGGCTGAATGCTGTAATGGAGCAATATCTACGTGGGTATGTCTCTTATCAACAGGACGATTGGGTAAAATGGCTTCCTATGGCAGAATTCTCCGCCAACAATCAGGTCTCCGCATCCACCAAAGCTACACCATTCTTCGCGAACTATGGGTTCCACCCCCGGTTTACAGTGACGATCAAATCGTTGGACAAGACCCCACCGAGTCTTAACGCTAAGGACTTCGCCTCGAAGATGAAAGAACTCCACGAGCACCTACGTTCCAATATCCGTACAGCGCAGGATCAACAAGAGCAGGCCGTCAATACTAAACGAACGCCGGCCCCACAGTACGATGTCGGTGATATGGTGTTTGTTTCAGCAAAAAACATCCGAACCACGCGTAACTCCCGGAAACTGGACTGGAAGAAACTGGGACCGTTCCCCGTTAAGGAAATTATATCGCCATATGCGTATCGAGTCGACCTGCCTAGAAGTATGAAGATGCACCCCGTCTTCCATGTGTCGTTGCTGGACCCCGCTGCGAATGATCCTGTCCCAGGGCAAATTCAACCACCACCCCCGCCCATTATCGTCGAACAAGAGGAGGAGTATGCAGTTGAGGAAATCTTGGACTCGCGAGAATTACGAAACACTGGCCTACAATACTTTGTTAAGTGGACGGGCTATACCGACCCTACCTGGGAACCCGCCGCATACCACGATAATACCGCCGCCGTTGATAGCTTCCATATACGCTACCCCGACAAACCTGGACCATTGGAAGGAAAGATTAAGGTTAAGGCTCGCAGGAGCTCGCGCTTGAAGGGAGGGGCTACTTTCATGGATCGATCAGTGGAGGTACGGGGTTATGAAGAGTCGGATTAGTCAGAAAGGTTCTATTGGGTTCTACCGGGTTCTGTTGATCGTTGATGTATGAGTCATGTTGGGTTTGTCATCGCTGGGATTTCCTTGAGTATATTAAGGGGGGTGTTCGTCTGTATTTTGTGTTCTTCTCTTCTTTCTTTACGCAACGTCTTCTGTATCTACGCTGTCTATTGCTATATAATACTCTCGTTCTCTTCTTTCCTCAAGAAGACCACCGCCTCGCTTTGTTCTCGTCCCCTTCAAACCTTACCGACGCTAGAGCCCCGTAGTACCCATATCGTGGAGCTCCCACACCGTCCCCTGCTACGCTCTTCGTGCCCTGCGGAATACTCGCTACTCACTCCCTTGAGACCTTCCTCCCAACCTTCCCGGATACTCAGTGTGCGAAGTGCCTCGAATACGGCCACCGCCAGGAGAAATGTAAGAACAATGGGAAATGCGGCCACTGCGCCGGAGATCACCTCACCAGTTTCCACCCATGCAATCAATGCCAGGGAGGATACAGATGCACCCACACCCCAATCAGATGTCTGAACTGTAAAGGAATCCATAAGGCCTCCGACCCAGCATGCCCTGAAAGAGTTAAACGCCGATTCCTTAACAAAGGAAAGGAAAACGCCCCACCCGCCCAAGACCCACCTGCCGCACCTGCCCAAGAGCCAATTTCAATAATCCAAGTTCCAGCCACCGCCCCGGTCGGAGCTACACCCGTTCCCGAAGACGACCAACCCATGACGAATAATGCCTAGGCTGCGAACAACCGCGCTCGCACACCAACTTAACTGTGCACGGAGCGAATTAATCACCAAGGCGGCGGTGGAAGAAGCAGAAACAGACTCGAGCATTTATTTCCTACTATTACAAGAACCATGGACCTCAGCAGAGGGATACCCACCAGAATCAAATCTCTTTTATATTTTTACGGCCAGCAACACCAATACAAAATGTGCAACATAAGTCCGCAAACATGCCAGTCTCAAACCAAAACACCACTACACACACGATAATTTCATAGTATCGATCACGGTAGAAATCCAAACCAAAAAAACACAAATCCTAAACATATACTCCCCAGGCCGAAGTGGCCCCTTCGCTCAAATAGCAAGTACAATCCAAACCCTTGATAACTGTCTAGTGATGGGAGACTTCAACTGCCACCATCAAATGTGGTACGGAGTAAATTCACATGAATACAGAAACAACATTCGAGCAGACCGCGCCAACGGCGCACGGGTAAAACGATGGATAACCCGACAGAAACTGACCCTCCTGAACGAACCAGGCGTCTTCACGCACTTCCCCAGAGACAGAGGGAAAAGGCCCACAACCATCGACCTTGCATTCGTAAAAGGCCCAACACTCGACCACAACCTACGATGGAGTATTGAACCCTACGGAGCGGGCTCAGACCACGGGAGAACCTCCGTCCACTTACACCTGGAAAAACCACCCTTTGTACCAAGACGAATGTGGCGACAAACGGACTGGAAGCTATTGGAGAACCACATGTCAAACATTTCCATCCCTGCAGAGGCATGGGAAACCAAGGAACACACGGAACAAACTGTCGATTTCTTCCTAGAACTGGTAAGGTCAACAGTCAGCATAGTAACACCACTCTCGAAGGAGGGGGTAAGAGCCAACTCCTGGTGGTCAGAAGAGATGAAACAGATGAAGGCAAGAGTAAACGCAGCAGAAAGGAAGGCGAGAAATACAAGGAAATCCAATCACGTGGAGGAACACCGGAAGGCTTGCAGAGAATGGACAGTCATGATCCGGAAAGCAAAAGCGGACCAGCGGGAAAAGACGATGAACGAGGCGAAAGGTAGTGAAGTCTGGAGAATCCTAAGCGCAGGAAAGAGACGAGACACAATCATACCAACCATACAAGGTGAAGAAACGTTTGCGGGGAAGTGTCAAGCTCTAAGAGCCCAACTTTTCCCCTCGAAACGGACGTCCCCCGACCATCCCCTCTTGAACATTAGACCCCCCTCTTTTGACCTTAGCAACACCTTCGACATAGTCACCCCCGAAGAACTTAACAAAGCAATCGACTCCTGCCCAGCGCACTCGGCGACCGGCCCGGATGGCATCCCTTATACCTTTATTAAAGCTATAGTCAAAGCAAATACAACTCTAATCCAAGACATGTTCTCCGCTATGCTCCGGCACGGTGTACATCCAGCGGAATGGAAAATAGCTAAGTGTATCCCGATCCCGAAACCCGGAAAAGCAAATTACCATGAAGCAAAAGCCTATCGGCCCATTTCCCTTCTACAATGCTTCAGCAAAATCCTGGAGAAGATAGTGGCCCAGAGACTCTGCACCGCTGGAGAAATCCTAGGCACACTCTCAGCAAACCAATTCGGAGGAAGACCAACCATTTCGGCAATCGATGCCCTCCTGAGAACCTTGACACCAATACAACAAAACCTACTACTGAAAAACAGTACCGGAATCGCCCGGCGAGATAGACCAGCGATCCTAACCAACGACATCCAAGGAGCATTCAATTGTGTCGATCACCTACTCCTCGCGGAAATCATGCACCAACAAAAATTCCCCACCTATCTGACAGAATGGTGCAAGGAATTCAACACCGGCAGAAAACTACAGTTCCAATTCAACCATGAGCTAGAGGAACCACAGCCCTATGATTCCGGAGTGCCGCAAGGTAGCCCCATGTCTCCGGTACTATTCATGATCTATGCCGGAGTAATTCTGGACCCAACTAGCAGCCCAAAAGAGATGGACACAACTTACATTGATGACGATGCGCTGGTGCAAATATCCAAAACACCAGGCTTTACAATCAAGAGAATGGAGGAACGAATGAGAGAAAGACTAATTAAAGCTGAGCCACTCCAAATTAAATACGACCCGGATAAATCCGATCTGATCTTCTTCCGGCCCACCACATCATCCACACAACAACCACGACTTCCTGTCAAAGTCAACAACATCAATATATACCCCAAGGAGAGGCTGAAATACGTAGGAGTCTGGATAGATCCGACCCTTTCCTTCCGGCCCCACATCGAAGCAGCAATCGCAAAAGGCCTAAAAGCCCTCCACCAAATCCGAAACACCGCCCGCCTGCCAGGGATAACAGTCAAAACAGTTCATCACCTTATAACACAAGGCTTCCTTCCAAGCCTGCTCTACGGATCTGAGGCTTGGTGGACTGGCGCAGACCACATCATTAGATCGCTCGAACCACTATACAATGAAGCCGCCCGGATCATCACGGGCTTACCTCGATGGACCAAGAGAGCTAAACTCCTTCGAGAAGCAGGACTACCCCCCCTAGAACACCTCCTAACATATCGCTCAAGAAAGTACGGAACCAGAATACTCTGCACCGAGGCAACCCACCCCAATAATGAATCCCTGATCGAGCTCCTCCCATACAGAGAAGCAAACATCAAAGGAACAGGCCTATACCGAATCGCCTCCCTCCTACTCCCATATCAAACCCCCGGAAATGCGAGAGACAAGTGGAATCAAAATAAACTACTACGCGACCACCTCTTGAAAGAATGGAATACACAACCAATACCGGACTACCATCACCGGGGGGAATTCTGCCCCCCGTCCAAGATAGCGAAACTCTCCCTAACGGAAGCGAAAAAAGTTTTTCGAATCCGGTGTCAAACCACCCGAATCGATAAACACGCGGTATACACAGACCCCGAACCATGCCAGTGTGGTATGGAAAACTCAGCGAAACACATACTTATGGAATGCCCAGCGTGGGCTCGAATCTGCGCCCCTCTGATAGAAAAGATCCCCGGAGCGATGACCTGGGAAAACTGGATGTTTACAAACTTGAAAACGGATCTTATCCTACAATTTGCGAAAAATTCTCAACTCTCGAAATGGTACGAGTCGGTGGAAGCGGAGGTGGACCTAGAAGAGGGGATGGAAGAAAATGAGTAGGGACGGGATTAGGAAGGGTGGTTTCCTTTTACCTTTTAACTTTGGTTTTATTTTATCTTGATGGATCCAGCGCCCGAGTTCGCTGAGATATGTTATTTCTCCTTGTCGTCGGATGGTTCCTGGTTAAGCGTCGTTCTGGAATTTCCTTACTTTTGTTTGTGTTCGCTTGTGTTCGTTTCTGTTCTTGTCTGTTCGGTTGTGTTTGTTGTTTTTCTTTCCTTTCGTTCTTTTGTTCGGTTCGTGTTTAGGCGGTCGGGTCGGCGTGCGATAAGTCTTGTACTTCAAAGCAATATAAGTTTCTTCTTCTTCTTCTGCATTCTACTTGCTCGCTAAGGCTCGCAAAGAACTCCCTGATAACAAACCTCGCTTCAAAAACATTTTATTTTATTCCCTTCGGTTTACCCTGGTATACCATACCAGGTTGAGCCACTTTGTCCCCGATCGTACGGTCGCGTTTGTTGTTCCTAGCGAAAGAAACACCACGAAAACTGGCTTCTAGCGAAGAATTCTCCAGCCTTGACCTCCCAAAGGGAAGGAAAAGAAACCTATCCGAAACATCACTCTACGCCGCCAGAAGAACTGGACATTCAGTAATGTCGCAGCAAGCTTCGCTCCAGTCCTTTTTTACCCAGTCTTCCCAGCAAGGGACAGCCCCCTCGCAGAACAAGAACACCCAGGTTCCCGACCCAACCTCATCTGGAGCCCAGGAACAGGAATTTTCCTCGACCTTTGCAACAGAATCCGACTACAACGACCCCTACCAACCGAGAGTGGACTACCTCTACCCGAGCATTGTCCCCCAGGACACTCACACCCAGACGGACCTGAACTATATCACCTGGGCTATTAGACATACCACCAGCCGGATCTGCCCGCCCTCCGACAGGATTGAAATCCTCGAAGAGCAAACAACTACACTCCGGAGAACAGTGGATACACTGAAACATCAGATCGAGGCGCAGACAAACATGATCACCAATATGCATTCGGCGATCCACGCGCTCCTCAATAAACAACCACAACCGCAGCAACCGCAGCAACCGCAACAGCAGTAACAACAGTAACAACAGCGAAAACCACAACAACCGCAAGGACAGAGAATGCTCCCTCCAGCGGTCCCACAAACAGTTCCCCAAGCAGCGCCACAGGCAGCTCCTCATGCCCCCCCACCCGCACCCCCCCAATAAGCCCCACCTCGTGGATGGAAGGCAGGCACCTGGGCCGCCGTGGCCTCGGCACCCGGTCCCGCTCAAGGAAACTTCCAGGTCATCGAGAGGAAAAAGAAGTCTGCAAAGCCAAAAGCGGACCCCCTCTTCAAACCAGAGTACACCAAAATCAACAGAGAAATCATTGTTGAAACCACAGCCCCATCCGATGTCAACCCCTCCGAAATCAGGACCCTAGTCAATGCAAGAATTCAGGACGAATCCTGCCATTTCATCTCGGCAAGAAGAACACCCAAGGACAACTTCATCCTGGAAACAAAATTCATTACCCCGGCAACAAAGGCAATGGAATATGCCAAAGAAATTGAGGAGGCTCTCCTCACCCTACAGGTACCGGTCGCCGTCATCCGTGCAAACTCCAAATGGTCAAAGTTCCTCCTCCATGGAATCCCCACAACGGTCGGGGAAGGCATCGAGGCGGGGCAATTGGTAGCATCAGAAATCAGAAGCAACTACGCAGAGAACTTCCAACTTGCCCAGGTTCCCCGCTGGATCTCCAGAGCAGAAACTCGAATGGAGAAAACCCACTCATCAATGGTCATCGCGCTCCCAGGACAAATTACGATGGAAACACTAGGAGTCAAATTTCTATCTCTCTTTAACCGAAGCTGCCATATCGAGGCCTTCCTTCCAACCTTCCCGGACACCCAGTGTGCGAAGTGCCTCGAATACGGCCACCGCCAAGAGAAATGTAAGAACAATGGGAAATGCGGCCACTGCGCCGGAGACCACCTCACCAGTTTCCACCCATGTAATGAATGCCAGAGAGGATACAGATGCACCCACACCCCTATCAGATGCCTGAACTGTAAAGGAGCTCATAAGGCCTCTGACCCAGTATGCCCCGAGAGGGCCAAACGCCGTTTCCTCAACAAAGGGAAGGAAAATGCCCCACCCGCTCAAGACCCACCGGCCGCACCCGTTCAAGAGTTGCTTCCAATAGTTCAAGTACCAGCCACCGCCCCAGTCGGAGCCACACCCGTTCTCGAAGATGACCAACCCATGACAAATAATGCTTAGGCCCCGAACCACCGCGCTTGCACACCAACTCAATTGTGCACGGAGCCAACTTATTACCAAGGCGGCGGTAGAAGAAGCGGAAACGGACTCTAGTATTTATTTCCTATTATTACAAGAACCATGGACCTCAGCAGAGGGATACCCACCAGAATCAAATCTTTTTTATATTTTCACAGCCAGCAATAACAACACAAAATGTGCAACATACGTCCGCAAACATGCCAACCTCAAACCAAAACACCACTATACATACGATAATTTTATAGTATCGATCACGGTGGAAATCCAGAACAAGAAAACCCAAATCCTAAACATATACTCCCCAGGCCGGAGTGGCCCCTTCGCACAAGTCGCAAGTACAATCCAAACCCTTGACAATTGTCTAGTTATGGGAGACTTCAACTGCCACCATCAAATGTGGTACGGAGTAAATTCACATGAATACAGAAACAACATTCAAGCAGACCGCCTCAATGGGGCACGACTGAAACGATGGATAACCTGACAGAAACTGACCCTCCTGAACGAACCAGGCGTCTTTACGCATTTCCCCAGAGACAGAGGGAAAAGGCCCACAATCATCGACCTTACATTTGTAAAAGGCCCAACACTTGACCACAACCTACGATGGAGCACTGAACCCTACGGAGCGGGCTCAGACCATGGGAGAACCTCTGTCCATTTACACTTGGAAAAACCACCATTTGTACCAAGACGAATGTGGCGACAAATAGACTGGAAGCTATTGGATAACCAAATATCAAATCTTTCCCTCCCTGCAGAGGCATGGGAAACCAAGGAACATACGGAACAAACGGTCGAATTCTTCCTAGAACTGGTTAAGTCAACAATCAATATAGTAACGCCACTCTCGAAGGAAGGGGTAAGAGCCAACTCTTGGTGGTCAGACGAAATGAAACAAATGAAGGCAAGGGTAAACCCGGCAGAAAGGAAGGCGAGAAATACAAGGAAACTCAACCACGTGGAGGAGCACCGGAAGGCATGCAGAGAATGGACAGTCATGATCCGGAACGAAAAGCGGACCAGCGGGAAAAGACGATGAACGAAGCGAAAGGTAGTGAGGTCTGGAGAATCCAAAATGTAGGAAGGAGGAGAGACACAATCATACCAACCATACAAGGTGAAGAAACGTTTGCGGGGAAATGCCAAGCTCTAAGAGCCCAACTCTTCCCCACAAAATGGACGTCCCCCGACCACCCCCCCCTAAATATTAGACCCCCCTCTTTTGACCTTCGTGATACTTTCAACATAGTCACCCCCGAGGAACTCAAGAAAGCAATTGACTCCTGCCCAGTGCACTCAGCGACCGGCCCGGATGGCATTCCCTATACCTTTATCAAAGCAATAATCAAAGCAAACACAACTCTGATCCTAGACATGTTCTCCGCCATGCTTCGGCACGGAGTACATCCAGCGGAATGGAAAATAGCAAAATGCATCCCGATCCCGAAACCCGGCAAAGCAAACTATCACGAAGCAAAAGCCTACCGGCCCATCTCCCTTCTACAATGCTTCAGCAAAATCCTGGAGAAAATAGTGGCTCAAAGACTCTGCACCTCTGGAGAAATCCTAGGTACACTCACCCCGAATCAATTTGGGGGGAGACCAACCATCTCAGCAATCGATGCCCTCCTAAGAACCCTAACACCAATACAACAAAACCTACTACTGAAAAACAGCACCGGAGTCGCCCGGCGGGACAGACCAGCGATCCTAACCAATGATATCCAGGGAGCATTTAACTGTGTAGACCACCTACTCCTCGCAGAAATCATGCACCAGCAAAAAATTCCCCACCTATCTGACAGAATGGTGCAAGGAATTCAACACCGGCAGAAAACTACAATTCCAATTCAACCATGAGCTAGAGGAACCACAGCCCTACCAATCTGGAGTACCGCAAGGCAGCCCCATGTCCCCGGTACTATTTATGATCTATGCTGGAGTAATCCTGGACCCAACAAGCAGCCCGAAAGAGATGGACACTACATACATCGATGATGATGTGCTGGTGCAAATATCCAAAACACCAGGCTTCATAATCAAAAGAATGGAGGAACGTATGAGAGAGAGACTAATGAAAGCCGAGCCACTCCAAATCAAATACGATCCGGATAAATCTGACCTGATCTTCTTCTGCCCTACCACATCATCCATACAACAACCACGACTTCCAGTCAAAATCAACAACACCACTACATACCCCAAGGAGAGGCTGAAATATATAGGAGTCTGGATAGATCCGACCCTCTCTTTCCGGCCCCATATCGAAGCAGCAATCGCAAAAGGCCTTAAAGCCCTCCACCCAATCCGGAACACTGCCCGCATGCCAGTCATAACAGTTAAGACAATCCACCACCTAATAACACAAGGCTTCCTTCCAAGTCTGCTCTACAGATCCGAGGCTTGGTGGACTGGCGCAGACCACATTATAAGATCCCACGAACCACTATACAATGAAGCTGCCCGGGTCATCACCGGCCTACCACGATGGACCAAGAGAGCTAAACTCCTCCGAGAAGCAGGCCTACCCCCCCTAGAACACCTTCTGACATATCGTTCAAGAAAGTACGGAACTAGAATACTCTGCACCAACGCAACCCACCCCAATAACGAATCCCTGATCGAGCTGCTCCCATACAGAGAGGCAAATATCAAAGGGACAGGCCTACACCGAATCGCCTCCCTCTTACTTCCATATCAAACCCCCGGAAACATGAGAGACAAGTGGAACCAAAACAAACTATTACGCGACCACCTGTTAGAAGAATGGAATACACAACCAATACCTAACTACCACCATCGGGGGGAATTCCCCCCCCCTCCCAAGATTGCGAAACTTACCCTCATAGAAGCAAAAAAGATATTTCGAATCCGACGCCAAACCACCCGAATTGACAAACATGCAGCACATACAGACCCCGAACCATGCCAGTGTGGTATGGAAAACTCAGCGAAACATAGACTCATGGAATCCCCAGCGTGGGCTCGAATCCGTGCCCCCCTAATAGAGAAAATCCCCGGAGCGATAACCTGGGAAAACTGGATGTTTACAAACCTGAAAACGGACCTAACCCTACAATTTGCAAAGAAATCTCAACTCTCGAAATGGTACGAGTCGGTGGAGGCGGAGGCAGACCTGGAAGAGGGGACGGAAGAAAATGATTAGGGATGGGATTAGGAAGGATAATTTCCTTTTACCTTTTATTTTTGGTTTTATTTTTGTTTTTGGTTTTGATGGATCCAGCACCCGAGTCCGCTGAGATATGTTATTTCTCCTTGTCATTGGGTTTTTCCTGGTCGTGCGTTGTCCTTGAATTTCCTTGCCTTTGTTCGTCTTCGTTTGGCTCTCGTTTTGTTCTTGTTTGTTCGTGTTCGTTGCTTTCCTTTTCTCTTTGGTTCGGTTTTGTTTAGGCGGTTGGTTTGGCGTGCGATAAGTCTTGTACTTCAAAGCAATATAAGTTTCTTCTTCTTCTGTATTCTATTCCACGAATATTACTTTTGTTCTACGCTACGTCATAGGGCTCATCTTGGATCTCCGATCAGGATTGAACCATCCCATAGTCCATAGTCACGAACATCTTCTACTACGTTCTCACCTCGGTTGTATTCCTTGGCACTATAGTCTCTCGTCCATAGACCCACGTTATAATGAATCCCAACGGTGCTCGACCACCTCCACACCATTTTTTTATCGAGATGTAGTGAAAGCGGCAGCCTATCTTATCAGACAGCCTTGCTTCTCAGAGAATACAGTGTAGTCTCCAAAAATCGAAAGAAATGGCGAGGTGCAGAGGATATATAATGAGATACATACTGGAGAATGGTGGTGAGAGACGCAGGTGAGCCCTTTTCCGACATTTTACCTCCTTCGCTTATCACTAAAGGAGAAATCGCCGACCTGTGACACCATTATCCCGTTGTTGATCTCTTCAGATGAGACACAACTAACCAATTTCTCTGGACACAAAAAGGCATGACCGATATATCTCACGATAGAAAACATCTATGCGAGGACGAGGAACAGACCGAGCATGCATGCAAACGTCCTCTTAGCGCTTCTATGCATCTCCGCCAAGATGTCTGGGGATAGAAAAAGATACGAAGCATTGCGGAGAAGGAGCAACCGGATATTGAGAGAGATCTTTGAGCTATTATTAACCCACTGAGGGAGGTAGGCAGTGAGGGAGCCGAGATGGATTGCAGCGATTGGTTTGTCAGAGATGCTTTCTCATCCTATGTGCCTGGATCGTGGACCACAAAGAGAACATGATGCTCAACAATATCACCGGGAATCGCTGCCCTGTCAGTGAAGCAGATAAATGTACATTTGGAAAGTACATTATGCGACCTGCACTGACCCGGGAGACCTAGAGATATTGGGACCTCCATCGAAGGTTTACGGAAGAAGAGGCAGGAGCAGAGGAGGAATTGAAGGCTAGTGGCATAAAGCAGGCAAGAGGCGTCCTCTGGAATACCCCCTTCATCGACCCTATGCAACTTCCCAAACCGGATATCCTACATGTCCTGTACTTGGGGTTATTCAAGCATATGATGGACTGGTTGATGGCATTCCTCAAGAAGCATAAACGAAAGGACGAATTTGATACTATCTGGGCCCGCATTCCATCTTACCTGTATTTCAACGCCATGAATAAGCCCTATAGTCAGGTCTCCCAATGGCAGGGAAAAGAGATGCATAACTTGGTAAAGATCCTTTTACCAACCCTAGTAGTCTCTTTACGTCGCCCGACTGCCAAACAGCGTCCCGTCTTTAATAATTCGATTAGATGTGTTCGACACCTTGTTGATTTTACACTAATGGCTCAATATCGAAGCCAGATAATAGAGACGTGAGAGTTTTTAGAGAGGTATCTCATGGGCCTTCAAAGGGAAAAGGACATCTTCTTGGAGTTTTGAGGAGGTAAAAAGCTTAATCAAGAGGCGAGGATAGTCGGCAGCCAGCTGTGGAGAGAAGTACAAGACACAATAGCTAATGAAGAGGAGCCTTCCACTGCCAAAAAGAGGCGCTTAGAGGACGCTGAACTTCTGGCAATAGATTCTCAGGTTTTGGAATTCACAGGAGACAGATCGGATTTCAATTTTCCGAAAATGCAAATGGTAATTCACTTCCACAATCATATCATAAAATACAGTAACATACTCCAGTTTTCCACCGAGCTTGGCGAGCCCAGCCACAAGGCTATGAAAGTGGGACACAAGCGGTTGAATAAGGTAGATGCTTCAGAGCAGATACTCACCCATATTGTGACAGCTGAGAGTTTCGCAATGGCGGAACTCAACCAGTTGGAAGAACAAAAGAAGGACACAATATGTCGGCCAGCGGACGACTTACGGCATTTAGGGTCCTTGATGCGGAGAGATATTGCTAATACTGCGGTAAAAATCTCCGAGTTTTGCAATATACCAGATCTATCCTTACTTCTGACAATGTACTTTAGATGAATATCGCATAATATAAACGAAACTCTTCTCCCAAAGTACCCGGCGCAGCACTATCGACTTTTAAACGTGGCTGTAGTTAACTTTTAGAATGAGACTGAAAAGGAGATATAGATGATCCGGACCTCCGGTACCAAGTTGTGGAGATCGTCCAAGCAACCGGGGAACGATAGTATATGGGTTTGGACGGGGGACGAAAGACGTTATTCGTCTCTTTAGGGACAAATGCTAGCGATTCTTAGATGTCTGATAAAGGTACGGATACCTGAGTCGGTATCCGACTCTGAAAAGTAGTGTACCTCTCGGATCGCTATCGTGGAATTAATGACCACAGAAAGAAGAGGTGAAATACAAGAGCCACATGGGCTGGTAATCGTCTGACAGATGACGGAGCGGAACCTCCGATGTATTAGTATAAAAAATATATCATGGCGGATGCAGTTAGTACGTGAGAGTGTCAATAGCGATAACCGGTGGTTTGTGAATAGTAGAATAGATATCAAGAATTTCAATCTTGTATGCTAGAACGTATTTTATTTTTGTACCATAGATATAGGTAAGTCAGGCGGACGAATAACGTCGGTTGGAGGACGCCAAAGGGCTGAAATGTAACCTTAGTGATATCATAATAGACATTCGCAAATTCTTTAATGTGACCGTGAAGTTCATATTAATACAAAATTTTTGAATAAGTACTCGACAATAGTATTTTTACAGATGAGCTATGGATGTGATATTTAGATTACACAGAGTACGAATGAGGACGATATTTGGCTCCGGTTGCCATATCGCTCATATGAGCTAGATTAGTACCGGATTAGCGTGAGTCAAAAGCCAATTACAAATCAGTGCTTGATTTTTTGCTGATGGTCGGGGTGTAGGTGGGAGCCTCATTGGCTAATAAATCAAATCATTTGAGCACTCTGCAGCCGCACCTGCAAGAAAGAGCCTCCTCGCCCTTGGCAGAAAACAAATTTTCAGAACACTCAGGAGTACTTTGGTAGCATCGTGAAACTTCAATGAAATAGTCTTCCCCTTCTTGAAGCAAGTGGTACAGCTCCTCCACCAACTTCGATAAACATCTTCGAACTACACATCCATTTAAAGTAGATGAATGGCTGAGAAACCAGTTTTTACTCCTGGAGCGTGATCAAGAGATACCCGATGACACTCACGATGGCTCGGAAGGCATTCACGATTCCTATTCAGATACCCATGATGACTCGAATAGTTCGGAGACCAACAGTATCAATTATCATGACCAAGATCCTGATAATAATTCAGATCTGGAATCCGAATCAAATTTTATGATGAAAGAGGCAGATGGAGATGCAAATAGGCATGGGGCAGCGACAACGATTTATGAGGGTGCTGGGGTGCATCCCTACCACACGGAGGACTACATCAAATGCTCACAAAACCTTTCACAATACCTGTTATACCCATTCAACTCAGCATATGAATTTGGAATGACACATTATTTCATACTATCAAAGGCCTCACAAGGAAATATCCACAACTTCTTTCTACATGCTCTGTCAAGCAGTGGCAAAGGCTCCTACAGGACTGGGCGAGGTTTAATAAAGAGGTTGGAGAAAATGAATAACATATTGAGAAAGGCGAGCTGGCATCATTCGGAGTTGGATATTGGGGGAGAGAAAACCGTTACTATTACTGGGATCCAATAGTAATTGTGCGATATCTTCTATGCCAACGGACCTTTCAGGAGTTATTGGTGTACGCACCAGTGGTAGACCATAATGAATCTGGCGAGAGAATGTACGGGGAAATACATATAGGAGCTTGGTGGTGGGAGATGCAGGTCCGGTAATCCTCACAAGTGCTGTATGAGCAGTCGCTAATGCTTTCTGGACAGAATACCTTAGCGGAGGGTTCGACTCTGGTACCAATTATATTCACGTCAGATGGCACACATTTGACAAATTTTAGTGGGGACAAGAATACCTGGCCAATATATCTTACCATCGGGAACATCAAATCATCGGTCTGGAGTAAGCCCACTAGGCATTCGTTAATTCTCCTAGGGCTACTGCTAGTCCCACCTAAGCTCGGGAAGAATTCACTGGCTAATTTCAATTTACGACATCAGAGTCAAATGGCCCTGCATCGTGCCCTGGGGGAGATCTTTCAGAGCATTCAGGAATGCTTTGAGGAAGGAGAGCTACTCGCATGCACCGATGAGTACGAACGTCTATACTTTCTGGTATTGTCGGGTTGAATTACTGATCAACCTGAGCATATAAACTTACAAAATATTAGTATTAGTTCTTGCCCAAGATGCGAGTTGGAATTCAACAGTTTTGGGAGCACCCTCTGGAGCCTTATGTATGATGACGAGTATTACCAGGACAGGGTAAGCTATTCAGGGAGAATCTGCGAAACCTCGGACCGGTGGAATACCTTGTCACGAGATCAGTGAAGATACTCTTCAATGCTTTCTGGGATATGCTGAGGGTTGATCCATACGATATTAATAAACCGGACATTCAGTACAATATCTACTTAGGAATGTTGAAGAATATGATGGAGTGGGTTCAGGCTTTCTTGAAGAAGGACAATCAATTGGAGCAATTTGACAAGGCTTGGGCCTCGATTGCACCTCACCCTGGACTGGCAGTACCGAACAAGACATACCCTGCCACAACCCAATGGGAAGGTGAGGAGATGAGAAATCTGGGGCAGGCCGTTCTTGAAGTACTTGTGGCTGCTTTGAGAAACACGGGGGTGGCTGTCAGGGGCGACCTTGCAAAGATATTGATATGTGTACGAGGCTCAATTGACTCCCACTTAATAGAGCAGTATGGGAGTCATACGACGAGTACATTGAATTATAGGGAGAGCTATCTCGAGGATTTCAATAGGTGCAAGGATATCTTTTTAGAATTCCAGGCGTATAAGAGGACGGTTAACGAATCGAGAAATCAGACATAAGCCTTAAATTGCCTCAGGCTCTCAGAGTGCTCAGGGAGGCTTGAAGGAGATTCGCGAGATTTGATAAAGGTCTCACTTCAACTTCATCAAATTGCACCTGTTATCGCACTATCGGGAACACGTCGAGCGTTATGGGAGCATTCCCCAATACTACACCGACATCAGCGAACTCGCTCATTTACGTCAGATAAAAGATGCATACGGAGCAACCAACAAGGTTGATACCGGAATGCAGATACTGTACTATGAGGGGCGGTGGTTGGCATTAAATATTCGAATTCTGAATTTGAACGACATTATTGGAGCTCCTGATAGCACTCAGGAAATCCTTTGGAGCCATTGAGATAACCTGAAGGAGTTACTTCAGATTTATAAAATAGAATACTGAAAAAAAACTCCAAATGAACAATCCATAGTAGAAAGAGGGTTGCCTCTAAAGCGTCTTTGCAACCCTTCCACGAAATCGGAAAAACTTTTCAATATTGCGGATGGACTGCAAATAAGCTATGCCACGTTATATCGCCTGATAAAGGAGTATGCAGAGGATGCGGAATGCTCTCAAATCTTTGCTGGAAGCTCTCAGAGCATTTTAGAGCGCTGGATGGAGATGTTCATATGTTTGCAGGTTCCGATATCAATCATCCAAAGACATAAGGTGTACGAGGTTTACAGTATTAGGTGTACGGGAAACGCGGCTTTTAGGAAAGGGGAAATAAGAAAAGATTGGGTATAGGTGTTGGTAGCATCCTCAGAGGAGTGGGGAGTGTTTCGGGAACGCTTACTAGGACGTTCGGAGGCTTTGTTCAAGCTGCGGGACAGTGGGAGGTGAGCACATAGACTATGTATAGTGGAGCTACTCAAGGCAAAGGATCGTGGTATTACTGATAGCTCACATGGGCTCCTGAAGGTTTGTAGGAGGAGGAGGAAGAGGATGTGGGTCGTTAATATTCGAAGTATATTGGGAATAGCCTATTTGTCTGAGGTGGAGAGTGGTAATTAGTTGGTAAATACTAGGATAGACTTGCTTATATAGAATCAATTTAGTTGAATGGTTGTAAAACTGTGAGCGTATTCATGAGTGCTCTAGGAACCTTAGACCCAATTGGACCCCCTAATTCAAAATTCGTGTCGTTTTGCTATGAATGCGGATTCAAATAAGGAAGTAAAGTTTCGGCCGCTCAGTATCTGAGTCTGACTATCCAGCAAGCTCACTCCAGGAGGGCATGACAGTCCATATTTGCTGCTTATGTATGGATATTGAGCTTTTCAGATGAGCCGTACCATGGCTTCGACCTCAATTCTAATTATGCCTTTCACGAATCGACAGAAATATACACTTCCATCAATAGTTGACTAGTTGTCACCAATATACAGGACAGTGCTCGTATCAATATCCCGGGACTAACCAAACAGCGGCATTGAGGATACTCAGGTTGGATATTACTTGAGGGACTGTTACCTTCCTATGCTTTGAGGACGATGTATTAATCCAAACGGGGCAAAGTGAGAGTTGTCTCATTTTGAGTGGGTATGACGAATACCTCAGCTCTGTGAGCATCGGTGAACACTCTGGGAGTGCTCTCAGAAGCATTCTGGTGAGCTTTTATGGGAGCATTTTCGTGAGCATTCGCGGTGCCATGAGAAACTTCGTCGTGCCATAAGAAACTTCGCCATGCCATGAGAAACTTCGCCGTGCCATGAGAGCATTTGTCGTGCCGTGAGAGCATTGGGAAGTACTTGTGTGGTACTACTGATGTTATCAAAAGAAGCAAAAGTTCCATATGTGCTGTAGGCGGGGTCACTCCATTATAGCTTCTCCGGGGGGGTAGGTAATGTCATGACCGCCTAGGCGAGCAGAGCTTTGGGGAGTCCCCTCCGGACGTGAAACATGTCTCCTAGCAGTGCTGCATGATTAGGTGCTCCTGGGGCGGAGCCGGACGCGAGCGGTGTACACTGGCAGTGCCAGATGCGGTAGGCGATCGAGGCACGGAACGCCCCTCAGGATGAAGGGGCTACGCTCTGGGTAATATGGGAGCTTCCTGATGTATCCAACAATTACTCCCTCGTACTTTCCGGCTCATCTCCGATACATATAAATGCCCACCAGCCATAGATGACCACTTTCCGTAGTATAATTAATGCTCTCATATCAAGTCAATACCAGGTAGGCAGTGTCATTCATGTTATGATGCGCACACTCTTAAAGGTGATACGGCGGTATCTGGAAGTGGAACAATCTTGGCTGCAAGGTGAACTTTAAAGCCAATGAGAGTGCTTATTCCTAGCCACTTTGCTGCATTCCTGCCGCAGTTTACTTTTCAGGGGGTATAAATGGGTATAATACTGTTCCACTTCGCTCAGTCTTGGTGCATTTCACATACAAAAATGCTGAATCTCAAGCTCTAATAACTTCACAACCAGAATAGATATCAAAAATCTGAACGATGGAACTAAACTTCATAACTAGTACTTCATTTCCATTGTTCGGATTTTTTTTAACGTTTTTCTACCTTTAAGACTGGGCGCACCATATAACCTTTGATGTGTCGTGCTTACTAACCCACCCCTGTGCTTTCAGCCAATCAAATGCTCAAACGTTTCAGAAAACCATAATCCAGTACATAGTGGATAGTAGAAGACATAACTGTCTCTCAGGGCGTTCCATCACTTATTACCTATCGCTGTACATAGAGTAGTCGTTTGCACCTTACCCCCACCAAGCCTTTCCGTCAATCCCGTCAATCACATTGAATTATCTATCGCTTCATCTGATTAAGTTTGTCAAATCTCAGAAGTCAACCCCCTCCGCCCCCCCCCCCCCCAAAAAAAAAGAAAGAAAAAAAACCCAACCCAACCCAACCAAACCAAACCAAACGTTACCTCCCCAGTATCTATCTCCTGTCACGCTACGTATTCACGAATGCCATCATCACAGATGTCTTCCCCGGAAACACCACGCATTGCTAGTTGCCTCATCACTGCATGCACCACCCACATTCGCAAGCTTTCCAGGCTCTCCGATAAAGGCAAGAAATATCACTACCGAGCACCGCTTTGTCACGAGTTTGGGCGTTTCTTCCTGTGGACGCAGGGGTTCGACAAGTTACCCCCCGCCGAGGGTAATATACTAGATGAGGTACTGGAGGAGGCTACATATCTTAAGAAGGCCACGATCCTACTTCTTGCGTCTTTCGCTAGCTGTCTGCTCGATGTCACACTTTCGAAAGGTATGCTTGTGCTCCAAATCCATGATGACGGCTAGCGTTGACATCCCTTGCAGTTGGAGACGACCACACTCGCACGCTTCTCCGGCGTTCCCTTGACGAGGTGGATAACGCGTACCCGCACTTGGAGGGCAGAATAGAACGTGAGTGGGAAACGCAGGATGCTTCGATTGGGGAGTTGCGCGAGTGTATTGATGCTCTTTTTGACGTACTGCCGACCCTTGACAATGTGCTGGAGGATATGCAGGGGGGTGTGACGCTAGTTCCCAATCCGGTGGAACTGATCACCACAGGAATGGACCCTCTTTGGACAGGCGATGATGCCGCTCTACAGGAAGTGCCGCCGGCATTAGGGCTGATACCGGATATACTAGAGATGCTCCAGGTTGAGCACTCGGAATTGGTGGGGGGAGAAACTTCGGCCCCGGAGGAGGGGCAGGGGAATGTGACGCCAGTGCCCAATCCGGTGGAACCGCTCATCACAGGAGTTAGCCCTCTCCAGGCAGATGATGATACCGCTCTACAGGAGGTGCCGCCGGCATTAGGAGAGATACCGGATGTACTAGAGGTGCTCCAGGTTGAGCACTCGGAACTGGTGGGGGGAGATATTTCGGACCTGGAGGAGAAGCAGGGGGATGTGACACCGGTGCCCGATCCGGTGGAACCGCTCATCACAGGAGTTAGCCCTCTCCAGGCAGATGATGATACCGCTCTACAGGAGGTGCCGCCGGCATTAGGAGAGATACCGGATGTACTAGAGGTGCTCCAGGTTGAGCACTCGGAATTGCTGGGAGGACATACTTCGGCAGGGGGTGCCTCAGTCGCGATGGCAGGCTCTGAGGTGGGAGGAGCGTTGTCCGGCAGTGAGAACCACATATCGCTAGCTGAGGAGAGAGAGCACCAGGAGCTATTGAAGTTTATCCTGGAGGAACGACCAGCATCCCCCATCCCTATTACCGGTATGCACTGGGAGATATACCGACAGTATATCAGGGACAAGTTCCCGCAAGCCATTAAGGAGCTAGATATCGAAGAGTTTGCAAAAGGGAATGCCCAGTGTTATGATTCACTGACACGCAGAGGATCGGATGAGGACGGGGGTGTGCTGGGGGAGGGTGGCGAGGACGAGCATAAAGAGTTGGGGGAGAAGGAGTTGGGGGAGAAGGGGTTGGAGGAGGAGGAGATCGAGGGGGAAGAGACAGGTCTAGCCTCCAAAGGTGTCCCCAAAATCTTCGTAGATTCAGGTCTCGGGAGCTCCGCTCCGCCCCCCACTGGCCAGGCTCGCTCGATCCACCCCCATCCAGTACAATCTAATATGTTGGTCCCTTCGGGAATCCCGGCCTCAGGCACATACCTCAAGTTTCCTCCTTCCGTCTCAGCTGTCTCATATTCTACCATCTGCTCGACATCTTCTGAACCAAACAATAGACGTCTCCTTCCACGAGTTCCACTTCATTCCGTGGGATCCGCAGGTTTCGAGTGCACATTTTGCGGGCTTATGCAGCGCCCAACTACCCAAGGCCATAGGTGGAGGTGAGCCCAAAAACCTATACCCATTACCTCCGCCATATCTTCCAGATCAAACACTCAAGAGTTCTAACTACAAATGTCATTATCAGAAAACATGTTTTCGCTGATCTCGCGCCATATATGTGTATACGCTCGCGCTGCCCGAGCGCGGATAAGTTCTACACCAAGAAGAGAGATTGGGTCGCGCACGACAGCCAGTGCATAAGAGATGGGCGCGAGGGCGCCGAAGTAACCACCACGGAGACGTGTCCGTTCTGCCTAAAGGAGTTTGGCGGAGATACGGGACGGTTCTATAGCCATGTTGCACACCACATGGAGGATATACGACTGTTCGCGCTCCCGCCTGCCGTTCGGGAGTATGAGGTCGGAGAGGACGAGGATACCTCGAGGACGGGGAGCAGCGAGTATGCGGAGAACTCTGGGGCTGACAGGGGTCCAATTGGAAGTTATATCGCGAAGAATAAGGTGATTGATGCCTCGGCTACGAGGCAGTGGGCTGTGCAAGCCCATGGAGAACCTCCCGGCGGGTATCAAGCCAAAATGCCTGGACACATTACGGCGGCCGAATGCCTCAAGAGGTTCCAAGCTTTTATCAAGTACGAGAAGAAGGGGCTAGATGTGTTCTACGGGGGCACCGAAGGCGAAGAGAAACTCAAGGAATGTGCAAGTAAGGCGGAAGTGATGCTTAAAGCGCTACTGGAAAAGGGGTGCACGGGCGAGATAGCAAAGGATTTATCAACGCTTGTGCTTTTTGACGTGGTCATGTTAATAGGCGAGTAACCACACCCAGCAAATGAATTTAAATACGATGGCTAAAAATAAATGTCGCGTGATTCAGATGACAGTTCATCTATGATCCTTGAAGAAAACGGCGAACGGATCAAGACACTCCAGAATACGATGAATGCAATAACCGACGTCTATGACCTTGCTAATGACGACGGTATCTTATCTGTGCAGTTTTTGAATAGTGCGAAAGGGAAGAGAAATATTACCGGGAAGCGCGTTCAAACGGTTCTCAACAATCACTGCTTTCAAGGTCTCACCATGATAGGAAAGATGTTAGAAAAGCGGGTCCTAAACCAATTTGTATTCAAGAGTCCGATGAAGAAGCCGCTCCTGGTCATAATCATCACGGGTGGAGAGGTAAGCCTCCTGAACAGAGGTTCAATCTTAATTTCCCGAAACAGGAAATCTAATAGACTTTCAGATCGAAGGAGAGAAGCAAGGGCTATTAAGAATGGTTTTAAATACTTGCGCTAAGAAATGCGAGCGTGATAGCCAGCGTGGTCGGGATGGTGAGCAGAATACAATAAGTCGAGGTTTCTTCGCTGATAGGCCGCGTAGCTGTCGCATTTCAGTTCTCGCGTGTTGGTAACGACGAAGGTGCAGAAGAACTTCTGAAAACATTGGACGATGATTACTGGTACCATGTGAACTGCCTGCCAGGTACCCAGAATCCAGACATATCTTCGGTTGTCTGCTGAGGCTAATATCGTTTTTAGTGGGGGGAAGGCTCGAGAACATCACTGGCTCTCAGAAATGGATTGTGGTAACTACTGCTTATTCTTCTATCTATATCTCCATGTCTAACATGAATCTCTGTCTAGCTACGTGAACTGCTTTTGGGGGCATTGATGAAAGCTGTGAGTTCTAGCTCCTTGCATGTATTTGAGCCCCCTAATAAATATTTTCAGGTACACGATGACGACGGGGAGTACGAGGTGAACGGAGATAAAGTTTATGACGAGGACGAAGATGACGAGGACGAAGATGTCGAGGACGAAGAAGATGACGAAGACTAGGAGGTGGTAGAAGACTAGAACGAGCCACGGGGGCTGGGTAGCTACAGAGCTGGGAAAATATCACTTTTTAAGTGTAATTCTCATGGGTTTTATGTAAGTTCGGGACTGGGCCGAAAGGTGATCGTTGGGTCATCCTATATGTCGTGTAGGATAAATGGCGGCTCTTAGTATATATTCCGGGCCACCGGCGAATGCCTCGAATTCGCGAATGGGCTACTAGCCTCATACATCTATGGCTAGACCAGTCTATTCGCGAATAGACTGGGGAAAACGTAGTCTTAGTAGAATAAATATTGATCGCAAACAACTAATAATTGATTTAGATCAATGTCTAATAAACCCCGCAGGCTCAGGGGATCTCTGCAACCTCCAGCAACCTCAAAAATCTCAAGGAGGGGAAAAAGCAAGCTGTAGTCAGAAATTGGTACCTCCGTAACGCCTAGTAACAGCCAGCGATGTCCTTAAGAACTCGGTCAGCATCCTTCCTATAATCGATCTCCATTAGAGCCCTGAAAATTCAATTGGCCGTGTCCAAACTGTTGGAGAATAGTTTTGAAAACGATATTTTACTACAATTTAAGCAGTCCATTCGTCAATCGACCAGTGCTGTCACAGACATTGTATGGAGCAAGCAGTCCATTCGTGAATTCGACGTATTTGGCAGTTACCTGGAACATCAAGAAAACTGTCAGTATATTCGCCTGCATCCCGTAACCCATCCAGATATAATTTCCATGATATAGTCTGACTTTTACTTATTCCTCGCCATCATGATTCAATCTTTTGGTTCGGAGTTGACGTACCATACCAGTATACCTCATTGAGCCTTGTATTTGCATTCTCTGCTAGATGTAGCTGCCAGTGTGCGTTCGCCATCATGGTGGTTTTTGTTCCGCTATCTGACCGTAATGATCTTGGTAATACATTTGACTCAAACACCATGTCAAGGTATTGCTTCAATACTGATATACCTGTTCGGCACGATATTCCCAAATGTATCCAGCTGATATAGCTATATATTGCCGTTCATTAAATCTCCATCACTTGAAAGTAATAGAAAATGAGCAGTGAACTTACCGTGAGTATACATCTATACCGGCATACACCTCAATACCGTACTCACTCATTTTATAGTGACCATCAACAGATAACAAACAGCTGACACTGGGAGTCTTGAATGTTCCACGCTGAACTCTTTGTTGACCAAAGGGACGTTCCATTATGCCAACTGGATCTATACTCCTAAGTACTTCGAACATCCTGTCCTGGGGAACCCGAATTCCTCATTCTTTCAAACGTTAGTAGCTAAGTCTTGGCCCATATAAGGCAGTTTGGCCAGATTTGAGTTGTTCTACAATCTCTGCCCTCATTACCAAATTGTGTTCCTCAAATTGATCTCTTTCAATGGGCCTACACATCCTAACAAACAAACGAATTCTTTCTAATCTTCTTTAGTAATTAGTCATATACAAAAATCTAACACAATTTGCTTATACGTTTTGTCACCAATTGAATATCCTTCACGTTGTAAGAACCGTAGGATGTCTGTATCGTCTATACCGAATTCATACAATAGTACCCATAGAGAGTTCATTATATCTTCGTTTTGAGTCCTTGGTAATTCGTTTTTCTTATATTCCCATTTCTTGAATACACGCTCTATCGTACATCGTGAAGGAAAATCATCATCAGAAGAAGATTAATCAAGATAGGATTCCCGCAGTGGAGCAATCGTATGATGAACTCTAGCATTAGAGGTGATGCACCATGAATTTAAAATGAACCTATACGGCTCAAGTGTATTCGTGGATGTTGGAATTATTCAATACTTTGTTGTCATGATTGAAGAAGGAAGAGATTGTTGCCGGCAAATGCTACTTTATATACATTTTCTATAATATCTAACCCTGATACATTATAAACATATATGGTTAAAGCCGTTCTCCACATATAGTCAAAAGAATACTAAGATGAATGATCGTCCATCATACTCCCCCCCTCACCCAAGTGATCCGGTTTGTAAGAGATGCTGGCAGCTGAAACCGAACTTTATACGACAGTACTCTTTGGCGCCACGCTCTGATCCTATGGAATATCCATCTAATATCTCTAAAAAGTGTTGTACAGAATGTTGCCAGACACTGCCTTATGAACTGGTACTGAAGAAAATCACATCAATAGTCGAGAGAGATCAAGCTGAGTCGAGATAAACTGAGGGATCAATGGGTTCAAATGCTTCAGCGATATCTTACGGAATGCGCAAGGCAACCTCTGTCATTCCTTCAATAACCGCTTCATTATCTACAGTTGGTATTCCATCGCCAATGCAGAATAGAGAACATTTTGCGGCATACCAAGCTCTTCAGAACACTGTGAATAAAGCATGGACTGGGACATGGACTGGGCAAATAGGTAGATAGAGAGATAGATAATCGAGAGGAGGACGTGACTGTACTCAGACACCAACTACAGCAAGTGGGTTTACAATTTATCCGCAAATTTCAGAAACAGTTTCAATCTTTGAGTGCAGATTAAAGCTTCTCCACACGCAGCAAGGCAGCGGACGATTTTCAGAAGTATTAGGAACGGAAATCTGGCGACTGCCTGATGAGATACCGGATAAGATTATAGAACCACAAATATACAGATAGAGTCTATTCCTCGAAACTTATATTCTCCAAAAGACTGAGCTTTGGGAAGAGTTTGGATAGCCCTTATACCATGCAAACCCGCCAATACGTATATTCAGCCACTCAAGAGCTATCATCAATGTTATATTCTATCCATACTTATAGTCCCGTTCATTGAAAAGATATATCTTTTCACCTCATCAAGTGGAAGAGCTGGAGGGGACTGGCTTCCAGATAAGGAGTGCAAATGATCAGGGATATTACGCTATCTAATAACTCAGTATTTCAAGAAACCCATCAATCAAAAGAAGAAAGAAAACAATCCCCCTCCTATAATATTCTTAGCTATTGAATATTCATTGCCCTCACCCTTGAACTCTCCAAATCCGGGCACAGATGCAAGCCAATCCGATGAGCTTGGGGAGACTGAAACGAATAGCTCTGAGAGAAGGAACTCACCATACCTAGTGTTCGACACTAGGTATTTTAACAGCACTTAACTGGTGACAAAACTCCACGGTTATGAATCAAATTCTTTGGTTCAAGTTGGTAACTAATTAGTTAGCATTATAAGATTACGACTACAACATAAAATATCGATAACTGTTATCGTTACATTTTTATCTTTTATTAATATACATGTTAAAAAGAGGTTAAAATACCCATATGTCGAACACTAACCAGAACTTCCAGTACTCATTGACGATAGTGAGGACTCTGATACAATGGCAACTGGGGATTCTATCAATGTAATTGGTGGCGTGTTACTCTTGACAGACCTAGGGTCTATACATGTGCAACAGGCACCAGTTAGTCCAAGAAAGGTATTGTACTATAGTTATGTCAATTACCCATCTCTATTCAAGTACTATAATAGGAGCGTCTATACTAACTAGCCTTTATAGTGCCTTCAGTCTCCTGTTACTACTTCGGGCCCTTCGCCTCAAACCAACATTGAAACTATAACAGCCCGTCTAATGACTCGGGCTTTTAAGAGAAGTCGGCCTACTAAAGAGGATGATTAGGTTATTCAAGTCTTAAAACCTTCATTTTCACTCAGCTCGTTCTTTGTATTTAACTATAATACAAACTCACTTTCCCATTATACGTATTTCACAGATTATCTTTTCCGCATTTCCCAAATTTCCAGTTCTTTGACGGATTGTCCACTACAGGCCTCCGTAACTTAGGAATTGTTTGTAACTGGAAACTGTAACAGAGCCTATTAGGAACGTTCCCAATGAGCCGGAGTAGGAAAGTAATGATTTTCTATCCCGGATCGTTAATGATTATGCAAGCTATAAATAAGGTTTACAGAGTCCCGTTACCTTTTAATTCTGTTTGAGAAACGCAGGTACTACTACATAGTGTAGTAGTTTAAACATCTGACATATATCAGAGTGTTTGGAGTTCACCCCTGACCTGTTATGGGTTTTAGGCACTGTTCTGATCCATTGATCAAGACGTACATTTGGTCAAGGGCGCACCCTATCGAGCAAGATGATGGATGGGGCGATCCGTTGGCCAAAAGGGTAACCTGATGAATTGTTGACCCAATGATCAAGCGGCAATTGCCAACCGATGCTTTATTCTAGACAATACATCCGTCCGGCGCATATGTCAATGAGTTCAGATAGGAGAAACGGGCTCAAACCTGTTATAATTCCAGCAGAGTTCAGTCAACTCGAGAGTGGAATCATGATAAGTTTCGCTGTAATTCAATACTCTAAAGACAATGTTGAATCAGAATTTTAGTTCTTTTCTGAGATGGTGTGGGCGCACAATTCAGAGAATGAGATTTTATAGACGATCATTATACTTATTTATAATGTTTTAATAAAGCAACAGGTGGATGAGCATTTTCACGGCAGGTTAATGAATAGCAGAGTGTGGAACCTGCACTTTCTATGTTTGGAGTTGATCACTGGAGTAGAGATATTACGCGAACTTGTTTAATGGAGCACCCTATTCATCTGTAACGGGGATCTCTTCTAAGAGAAATAGAATAAGGTAGAATAGAGACGGCCATGCAAGGTAGACAATTAGGTTGCAGATTATTCAAAGATACTATCGCCAGAACTCAATAATTTCTAAGGGCTCTATTACCGATAAGAACTTGGTTTTTCTTTTTGATGAAGATTGGAGAGAACAGGACTGAAGGGCGAGAATGAGTCTGAGTACTTATACTCCAAAGACTTCTATTCTCTGCTCCCACTCCTTACCAAGTTCCGGTGATGCCTTTTCTCAGTCCGGGAAACAATACCACCACTACCCCGCTTTTCTCTAAGCGTCAGCTGGTAGCTAACCACACTGCCGGTACTTGCATATCACTGTCCAACTGGCTTCTAACAATAACTCTCAACATGTAACTGGGCCCTGTGTGTACTCATACACCAGACAGTTGAAATGGCACCGTTACACTATCTTAACATGGACCTTTTCAAAGGTGCGCCCTATCCGTCAATCTTGACGAGTTGTGTGCGCACTTGGCCAAATCGACGTCTTGGTCAATGGGTTAGAACAGCACTAAGATATATAATTGAGGGCCTCACCGGTGAGTCATATTGTCCACACAGAATAGATAGACGCCATGCCAATAGGGGAAGAGGGTTGTCAGATTACTGTACCATGAATATATTCCTCTAGAGGTAAGGCGTAAGTCTCCAGCTGTTTATCCATTAGCCTAACTCCACATTGCACATGAGTAGGGTCGCGAAAAGGATAAACAGCAAGCGTAAGTCGATGCAGTTTTTTCTACGAACCGACTAATAGGCCATGACCCGCTCTCTGCCATCCTACCAGGACCTGTGCTCGCCCAGGAAAGCTCCGCTTGACCCAGGAGCTATATTAGTAGCTGTGCTCGCCCCAGTACAGCTTTACACGCACCTGCATAGCTAGACACGCCCCACTGGCTGTAGTAGTCTCAGTACTCCCCCCAGCGTAGCTATACTCGCCCCATTAGCTGTATTAGTAGCTGTACTCGTCCCTGGAGCTGTACTAGTGGCAGTACTCGCCCCTGGAGCTGTACTGGTGTCAGTACTTGCCCTGGAGCGGTACTGGTGTTAGTACTCGCCCCAGCATCGCAGTACTCGCCTCAGCAGAGTTTCCAATGGGACCGGGTACTGCTGAGCCGTCCCGGGACTAGGCTCCCTGGGCCGGGACTGGGCCAGCATTTTCTCCCTGGGATTGGACCGGGCTGGAATATGCCAGTCCTAGGACTGGTCCCAGGGAACTCATCTTCGCGAAAAGCATGTGTTCTTTGGGGAAAAAAGGACAAAACCATATCGGGGCCGCCGCTTACATCCAAAAACTATTATGCTTGACCACAAAGGAACACCAGCTACCAGATATGTTAAGCCCCTCTCACTATTACGCCAAACATCACGGTATTTGGGTGTAACCGAACGAGCTCTAAAGCTATTTCAGTCTCATGAGTAGTCCTAGGACCAGTCCCAGCAGATGCTCCTGGGCCGGGACAGGGCCCCTGATTTCCTTCCTGGGCCGGGCCGTAGTTACTCAGTCCCGGGCAGTCCCACTGGAAACTCTGCGCCTCAGTGGCTGTATTAATAACTATACGCGCACCAGTAGCTATGACTCGCCCAGGGAAGCTATTCTCTGCCCAAGGGGGTTTTGCGCACCCCCTGGAGATCTGTGCTCGCCTCAGTCAAGAATATATTGTTTGGTATATCATTACAGTCGGTTCATGAACTGACAGATCATGGGTTAACGTTCGGTGCTCAGTCACTCTACGGACCAGTATCTATCCTCACTCCAGTAGCTATATGAGTACTTGTACCCGCCCCAGTGGCCCTGAGTTTACTCCAGTCGCTATTTCAGTACCTGTACTCGCCCCAGTAGCCCTGTACCCACTCCAGCTTCTCTACCAGTACCTGAGTTCGCCACAGTAGCTCTGGGCTCGGCCAAGTACCTCTATCAGTACTGTATTTGCTCAGAAAATATGTACAGCTACTGCAATAGCCACTGTAGCAAGTACAGCTCTGCTGGGGCGACTCCAGGTACCAATGGAGCTCCTGGGGCGATCACAACTGTACTGGGGCGAGCACAGCTGTACCGGGTCGACTCGAGGTACTAATGGAGCTCCTGAGGCGGGTATAGGAGGTTGGAGTGTTACTGAGGCGAGTGGAGGTGCTAGTAGGGAACTGAGTCATGAACTGTCACTCGGTTTGTACCAAAAAACTGCATCGACTTACGTCGACCAGCTATTTATCCTTAGGCCCTGTTTTTCGAGGATAGCACCGGATATACAGCTGGAGTCTTACGCCCTTACCTCCAGAGGAATAAATTCATGGTACAGTAAGTCGGACAACCCTCTTACTCATTTGGCCTGATGTCCAAATGAGCCCCTCAATTATATATCGTAGTGTCCCTGACCCATTATAGGTCGGAGTTGAACCGCAGACACTCCGACATATGTCAGATGTTCATACTACTACACTAGGTAGAGATAGCTGTCATTCTATCCGGGAAGTACGTGATAAGGTAGCAGCCGCCAAACCTTAATTCACGCTAGTAAAACCTTAATTTTTCACTAAGAGGCTGAAGAAATCACCCAAATGTCATGACATCCCGGCGACTGTCACTAAAATGTCACACAGTTCAGGGACTGACAAAATTCTCCAAATGTCATGACACCCCGGGGACATTCCCCTATCGACTGGTCAAGCGGGGGATGTCTCCGAATAGGCACAGTCGATCCCTCGAATGCGTGGTGCAGGTGCATTTTTGGACCGGGCATATGCATTCGTATTTGTTGTAAAAGTTTGAAAAGGCTCGTCAGGGACGAATAGCTTGAAGAAAACTAGAGGACTATCTCGCTGAATGTCATTTGATAAACAGTGCTGAGCGTGATGGACAGGAAAGTTACTCGTCATAGTTGTAAAGTCCGGAACTGACTCCAGTGAAGGCGGCATATAAGATTACTCATCATCTCCATCAAGCTCATCAACCTCGCTAGCATCATTATCTCCATTAGATTCTCCCACCTCGCTGGGCTCCTCATCTAAACTACAGTCCTCGCCCTCTATAACAGGTAGTTCATCATCTAAAGTCACACTCTCGCAATCTGGAGTCTCCTCTAACTCCAATTCAGGTGCCATAATTTCAACCGGCATCTCAAAATCATTCACCAACGCCGAAGCAATCACTCAAGCTGAAAATCGTTTACTCTTCTGCGGAGCTAAATCTATCAATTCTGATATTGCACGGACCCGCTTGGCTTCTGTCTCACCTTTCGAATCCGTTTGTACCAACACCCGCACCCCACTAAAGGTTGGCAGCAATTAAGTAACAGCGTAAGGGATAAAAGGAATAATGGCTATAATACTCAAAAAGTGTCTCAAAACCACCCAAATTGGACCACTCTTGGACCCACTTATGGGTGTGTTCCCACTTCAATTGGGCAGTTAATGTCACGAAATGTCAAACTACATCTAAATAACACTTTCCAACACCCTATTTATTTTTATTCATTTTTTTTGAGTTGGAACGTTCTTTAATCGGGTTGCAACGCGTTGCAATTGCTTTCCCGGTGAAACATATTATATGGAACTTAAGATTCATTTCCGGATTCATTTCCATGGTTGGTAGATCTAGAGGGCATGGTATCAAATAATGTGTATTCCGGGGTATTAAGTTGCAGTTAAATTATAAAATTCATTGCCCGGTTTATTTCTACATATAAAAAGAATTTATTTCGAGGGAAAATCGGGATGATTTTACTAGCACGTTTCCGCTGCATTTGACAGTGCTAAAGAAGTACGGTAAAGTTCCGATTCGTTTCCTGATTCGTTTACATAGCTGGTAGAGCGTCCTTATACTCGTACTAGTTCCAGTCCTCGTACTCACCCTAGTCCCCGCTCAGACCTAGTCATTGTCTTCCTATTGGTAGGCTTTACTAATAATTTATAATCTCATTGCGGCTCAAGGCATCAGTCTTCTCGATTAAAGTTCCTAGAACCTTTTCTTTTGCCCGACTAGCACCAGTCCGCCGGAAAGCTTTCGCCCCTGCTCTCGACCGGAACCAAATCTCATTAGTTTGCTCGGCCAGCACCAGCAAGCTGGTAGGCTTTCCTATTAAATTCTTTTCCCTTTTCCTTTTTTCGTTTTTGCTCGACCAGCACTAGCTTGTTGGTAGGCTTTTATTATTACCTTCCTTGTTTATTTTGCTTAACCGGAAGTAGTCCCCGAGTAGGCTTTCCTAACTTCCTGTCCATGGACAAAGACTAGCTCGCTGATACTTGATCTTTCCTTAAATTCCTAATCAGCCTTTCCCTCGACCGGAACCAGTTCTCGATCTGGTAGGCTATCTTAAAGTATTTCTCGCTCGAATAGCACCAGTTTTCTGGTAGACTATCTTATTAAGTTCCTAACCTCACATTTCTTTTTGCTCGACCAGTGCCGGGGCCGGGGCCGGGGTCACCGTCACCTTCACCGTCACCGTCACTGCCAGCTGACTGATAAGCTTTCCTTATCTCCCTTTTTTATTTTCTCTTCCGGAACAAGTCCGCTCGTAGGCTTTCCTAACTTCATTTTGACCGGTCAGCACCAATCATGTCTGCTGGCAGGTTTTCCTATTGAATTGTTGATCTCGTTTTCCTTCGACCAGAACTAGTCCGCTGGCAGGCTTCCCCTCAAACCCCCAACCTGCTCGACCAGCACCAGTTAGCTGGTAGGCGTTCCTATTCAATCCTTAACTTCCGTTTCTCGTGGCGAGAACTAGCTGTAAGTATATCGGTAGGCTTCTTTAACCATCTGTCGCTCGATCAGCTCCAGTTTTCTGGAAACCTTTCCGATAATTTCCCACCTTCCATTTGGATTTTGCTCGATCGGTACCAGTATGATGGCAGACCTTCCTATTATATTCCCAATTTCCTTTTTGCTCAATGAATCAACCGGCACCACCGAGTATCTGGTAGGCTCTCCATCCCCCACCCAGTTCTTATCTTCTCTGATAATTTTGATCGCCCTGGTGGTAGGCTTTCCTATTTAATTACTGACTTCCCTTTTTTCTTTTTTTTGTTCAACCGGCAACCATAGGTAGGCTTTCCTATTTAATCCCTACTCCTGTTCATCATAGAATATCACTTGCTCGCTAGGCGTTTAGATAATGCCTTTGCATTTTGTAGTTATGTATGAGGTGAGGAGGTGACGATGGGAGGATGTTATAGCTTTCTATATGTGTAGTTGGCTGAGAAGGGCTTTTATTGGGTTCGATTTCTGTGCTGTTTGTATATGTAGGGAAATGTGATACTATGATAATTAAAATTTCAATGTGTTAAAATCATCGACTACAATAAAACTAAATAAAACAGACAACTCACGCGCACTGGAGAACCTGTCATAACAAATTAGGACAAACTCTTGATTCCGTTCCCGCCAAACTTGAACGCCGAAACTTCTGCTTTTCATGAGTAATAATGACGCTACAGCATGTAGATGTAGGGAGCACTTAGTAACGAGAGGTGGAGACAGTGTGGTAAAGACAACCAGCTAGATTAAGCGAAGAACACGTAGCTAGTACATTTAACTATCAATAGAGGAGGAGGACCGAGGCTTTTATAGATCAAGGTTCGTTGATCATTCATTGGTAGGAACGGGAAGAGAGTTGTAATCCTAGTCCTCAAGGGTGTTCACACTAGCGGGTGTATTGCTGTATCTACTTCTCTTTATCTGTTACCCCTCTTCCCTCCTAATAAATCATCTATCCATTCGTGCCAATAAACATCAGTAATTGCTCTATAACGGGCCTACAGCATAATCCCAGTTCAGAGTAAACAGTTGATAATTAATCGGGGAGTTTTATAAGCACTAGACACCGTCTTGGCACCCAGGGTTAGGGCTTTCGCCACACTGCGGGCTAGTTAAATGATATCTTCTTGGATTTGGACACAAGAGTTTGAGGAGTTGGGCTCGTTCAATGGAGCATGAATTAATTTTAAGACTAGCTACATAAGAAATGTGGATTTTGAGAAAAATCACAAACGATCGGGGAAGCATCTCCACAGCTGCTTCTCAGTGCGCCGTATAGCACACAGTGTATTAACAAAACAATCTCCACCACCACCACCACCAGTCCGACCACACCCCACCAAGCTGCAGAACAATACTCCATCCTCCAAACACTAACAAAGCTCCCAATCATCACCCCCCAGCCCCCCCCCCCTCTGCGCCCACGTCACAAGCTCCACATCCGGCACCTCATCCGCCCACCCCGTCCCAAAACCTCCCATCAAGTCCCCAAACGCAAACTCTACCCCCGCGCCGCCCGCAGCTGCCACCCCACACATCACCTCCGCTCCCATCCCCGCAGTCGCCCCCCTCCTCAGAACCACCTCCTCCCCTCCAGCCCCCTGTGTCACCATCCTTACATGATCTGACCTTACCAAATACAGCGGCCCCTCCCCCGCCGCATCCACGGCCCTTACCCAAAACCTCGTCTTCCGCTTCCGCGACGACACAACCTCCCGCTCCGCCCCCGGAAGACACCAATACGCCTCCGGCTGCCTAATATTCCTTACATAGTACGCCTGCCCACTGACCCACTCCCTCCCCGCCAGCGGCGCCGCAACCGACCAGGCTATCCTGATGTCGCCGTTCTGCAGCCAAGACATGATGATGGACTCCTTGGTCTTGAACGGCAGTGATGCGTCCTTCAGGACGGCGTGCAGCCCCATCTCGCCACCGACGGTGTACGTCCACATCTGGGGAGAGACTCGCCCCACCCCGAGGCGCTTCTGGTTCGCGCGGAAGAACTCGTCTGCGTGGTAGCGCGAGGCGCAGGTGAGGAGGTAGCGGCCGGCGTTGAGGTTGGGGAGCTCGGCGGGGCGGGAGAGGCGCACGTAGACGTAGTAGAGGGATTTGGGGAAGTTGTCGGTGGTGGTGGGGGTGGTGGTGGTCATTGTGGTGGTTATTGTGGTGGTTATGGTGGTGGAGATCTTGGAGGTTGGGGGTTGTGCTGAGAGAGCGTGCTATATATATAGGAATATTTGACAATGTCAGAAGTAACCAACTCATAGCTTTTGATACAGACTCTAGTACTCAATGAATCCAATGAGACGAGTCGGTTTCTAAAAAGGTACGAACCGTCCCACGAAAACCGTTACCACTTAAGTGGAGGGTAAAACTGTATTAACTGAATGAACTATATAGCTATACGGTTTATGCTGCAAGAACCATGGTGTTAAATGTAGGGTGTAGGTCTTATTAGAACATGGAACGACTAAGAACAAAGAATAATATAACAATGCCGCCCCTCAGAAACCCCTATACCCGGCAGAGGTCCCAAGATTTCAAACACTCTAACGCCTCAATAGTTTCATGACACAGACGGTTACGCCTTGCTGTAATCGTCTGCTTTGCCCAGAAAAGAGACGTTCAGGTTCTGCTGACATTGCAGGAATAGACAAGATATCTAATGCCATTCTCGAGAGATTGGGGAACAGAGTACGCGATCTACCAGACATCCAATAGCTTCTAGGGTCACTGATATCGGGCTCAGGTGAGCAGGCACAGTACTGGGTGTATTCATTCATACCTGTGGTGTTATCAGCGGACTAATCAATGCGTGTAGGATCTCTTCAGTACTCACCAGTGGCAACAGCTACATAGTCTAACTGATACCATAGATCAAAATCACTTCTGTCCCCTGCCGCATATGGTGAATCTCCGGGCATCTGGTTCCTTGGTTCTCTGAAATCTTTATATAGGGTCTCCCAGTACTGTTTCAATCTCCTTCTTGCAGCGATTACCTGTTCACGGGTCCATCTGGTCTGGAAATACTCCCACTTCCAAGCTGGATTGAGCACTACTGCCGCAATATAGGCGGGTGCAGAGTCTGTTTTGTTGAAATACTTCTCCAACTTTCGCAGTCCAACCTGAAGCATTGAAGAGAGCTGTGGATTATCATGATACTTCTCAAGGGAGTTATTGTAGTGGGCGAGGAGGTAATCAATTGACGGTAGTACATGTGTCAGGGTGGACATTCTGCTCTCTGTACCCAGAGTAGCACGCTTGAACAGTCCCAGGAAATCAAATGTTGTTTGAAGAAAGTTCCAATCTTCCCGGAAGATTCGATCCACCTCTAGGCCATGGTGATAAGCATGAGAGTCTAGAGCTTCACGGACTGAAGGGCGGAGGATACTCTCTATCAGAGAGCACCATGAATTCCATCTCGTGTCATTGTCAGGATGAGATACAAGTCCCCCAATACTTTTTTTGAACTCCTCCTGCCATCTAACGGGGCGTGGCGAGGGCAAGGATGGACTCGGGATACGTTCGAGTTCGAGCTGGACGCGGCTGGGAAAAACTAGAGGTTGGATCTCGAGATGGTCTCACTCGGTCCGTAGATTGGGCTGGACCAGTATGTTCGGAAACAACAGAAGAGTCTCAAGCGAGGAGAGACAATAGTATTGTTCTAACAGGTACAGGAATGAAAGAAGATGTTGCGTAAATAAGAAAGAAAGAAAAACAACAAGAGCGGAGGGCGGGCTTCCTATCTTAGTCCCAAAGAAATCCTGATGACTAATCTGTACCACTCGCATCAAAGAATAAAATAGAAAACAAATCCGAAATCAGAAACTTCTTTACGCGTAACAAAACAAAATCAGCCTAGCGCTTACAATCAAGCCCAATGGTAATCCAAACATGTTAAACAATACCGAAGATACACTGATCCTTCACCTAACAATGCGATTCCGAAGCTGCCTTGCTGGTAAGCGAGTTGGTGGTGGTCGGGCCGTCATATACTGCTGGGGATTATATTTGATGTATACAATAAAATTGTGCACTTTGCCCAGAGATCCAACCCATTTCCACTCAGTCAGCTGCTTTTCGGTCCTTTCCTCGTATCCATCCAATCCAGTAGTATCACGGTCACCAAATAGGAACGCCTTGACTGACAAGTTGATAACATGATCATTGCATCTCAGTTGATGCTCTTCTGCCTCCCAGAAATCCCCAAGGTTTGATTTGTGGGCGGCTATTGCTCGATATATGGTAGTGTTGTTGGACGCATTATCCATCATACCGTATCCCATCTTGTGCATGATCTTGTATTCCTGGAACTGTTGGATAACCATAGAGGCCATGTTTTCCTCACTATGTGAGACAGAGATGGATTTCAGAGATAAAATGGTATGATCCAATCCTCCATCCTTGTTGATAAAGTGCCCAATTATACGTAACATTGCAAGATTGTTTTGTGATTTCCATAAATCGATGGTGAAATGCATTCACGATAGAGCATTCTGAAGTTTGCAGGCAACTAAATTCTTTTAAACAGAGTATGTACGCATGATCCAAGACTTGACGGTGCTGACGGAGTTTGGAAGAAAGGATAATGTGGGCTATGATATATAATTGACAAAATTGTGAAACTCCTCTGAGACAATCAAGCCAATAGGTAGGTTTCTACATATCATCATTTGTACTTATATATAAATTAGCAAGCTACAATAATATGTAGATATAGGATCGCTTACCAATAAGTCAGCAATCAAACTTCCAACAATAATATTTTCAGTCTTTACCATCTCTCGCTTCTCCTTCTGTCTCCTCCGTACTTCTGTGACCCATTTCATTGCTTGCCTAACAGTTTACTCACTTCGCTGAAAATGCCGCTGATGCCTGCTTATGTGTTCCGTTATCTTTTGAGCTTTTCTTATATGCTCAGTCCATACACGACTACTGCTGATGACTAAATACTTCTTCGCTTTTCGATGATTAGGGCAATGAGTGCATTGCCAATAATTGGTAATCAGTTAGTGACCATCTACCCAGATCTAGCGGGGCGGGGTTCTCAGAGAGAGTTCTGTATCAGGTACCGAGACTAGGATCGACTCGGATACGTCTTAGACTTGGATGGGGGACTGGACTGAGTACCGATCAACTCGGATATATTCTTGGACTTATACAGGGGACCGGGCTGAGTACCGATCGATACAGGATATATTATTAACAAACAGAATGAAGACCTTGTATAAAGAAGGAAGAAAGAGATGTACAGAGAGTGAGAATGAAGCCCTGAATATAACTCCCAAAAAGAAATCTGATGACTAACTCCAGTAACCACACCTAAAGAAATCTGAAATGAATATAAGAAAATCCCATAACCGATCCCGATCCTTCTTCCCGCAATCTTAACCCGGAGCGCCTATCGTTTACTATATCTTCTGTACCGGGTTTGCACGTAAAGTACGAAGACACCCCATGTCCATTTTTTTCATTGGTTGATTTTGTAACAACGCCATGGGGTAGCAACCATAGCAACCAATGATGCAGTATGATTTTTACTTAGACTTATGTGGGAAAAAAATACCGAGACGTTTTGATATATTTACACTTAAAAAATCGAATTAAATTGTTAAAAATACAAACAAAAAACCAATAGTATCTCCCCTGCTTACCGCATCATCTGCATATCATTTCAGGCCACCAGACTCTGTTGAGGGTTGTTATTTGATGAAATTGTGGTTGAACGGGAGTCAAATTGAGGTGATGGAGGTTGCGTTGCAAAAGCTGGCAACGGGCTACCCCAAATACTTACTTGGCTGCCAAGTGTCACTTTAATTCATATCAGCCCAATCAGAGTTCTTTCCAAACCCTCATTTTTAAAAATTCCCCAAAAGGGGGTTCTCAGTACTTACCCTTAACCCCCGGTACACCTTCCTATCTCATCGAACATAACCAATATTATCCCGATCCTCTACCCAACGATACGATTCCATAGAGTTCTCGATGACAAGGCAGGTGGGAGCGGTCCGGCCGTGATACCGGAGGTCTTTAATCTTACCTATTTTCCCCAAAACTGATCCGGATACCATGTATAGTATCATCTTCTGCCCACATATAAGAGGTTGTAGTTCTGGACATACAAGTATGGAAAATAATGGTGTCAGGAGCTTGAGAACTGCTCTCCTCGAAATTGTCAGGACTAGCAGCCACCGATATACTTTCCTCATAATCCTCATCTCTATCAAATTCAATCCTGCTTAGTGTAGTGGGAGCAAGGGACATCTCACTGTGGTGGAAGCTGGCAGCACGTTGAAAAACATGGATATCAGATAAAATGGGTGGGGAAGCGTGCAGAATAGGTTCTTCCTCTGAGCTCGCAGAATTATACTCCGTATCCAATTCCATTGTGGAAGTGATCAAAGCAGATTACGCTTATAGAAATCGAATATGAGAATAGTATAAAGTGATTGAGAGAGGCTTGATGATTGGGAGAGAGTTGACGGGAGGAGGATGGGATTTCTATACAAATGTTGCTCCCTTTTCGCCCCTACTCTTTTTAGTTATGGGAAACTATAACCTGTGGCGAAGAGACCCTATATTAGATGGATCATTAACTCAAGGAGAATTATAATCTGACATCCAACACCCCGCGGGTACCTATCCTCTTCCCCCCGCTGTTATTATAATCCTTCAAAGTCCAGATTCATCTTCTCTGCCGTGCCTTGACTGTTTATATTGTTGGTATTAACGATATACTCCAATTTCTTAGATCTATTTAGTTTTATATTAGTCCAACAACCGGTTCTATATAAGGTGCCCAGAGTTTTGAAATTATATCCAACATTCGGAAATCTCCGTCCTCTACTCCTTTCCGCAAATAGAGTAGAATTCCCTACCAAGACCGCCACAGCTCGGATCAAATTCCTAAACGGTGAATCAGTAATTACCGGTTCCGTCACCTGCATGCATCAGTTCAACGGTTTCTCCTCGGAGCTTAAATTCTATCAACTACTCGCGACAGGCATGAAGTACCCGAATATGCAGCTGCAAGTTTTTGGTGTATTTTTGACTTCTACTCCAATGGAAATTGCAGATTAGGACGTGCATTTTCGGGTACTTGTTACCTGCTGCGAGTACACCATTATCGTCAAGCGTTGTACCGGTTCAAACCGCACAACCGTTTAACCATCGGAATCGTTGCTAGTACTTACCTCTTGCGGCATCTCCGTAGATCATCAACACCACACTAAAATAACCAGCTGAAAGATAGCCGAGGAACCAGTTACCAGGTGTCCAAATATTAAGCAATAAACATCACGAACCGGGCTGCATCGCCCTGCATCGCTGAGAGTGGAGACTTGGCCGGGGGATGGTGATGAGCGAGTCCCGAAGGGGAATGGCCCGGCCGATTGGGCTCGGAATAGCGCAGATCTAGGGCTGATTCTTGCAGTAGTGCGTGCCGAGTTGAGAATGGACGGTATTTGTGCTGCGTGACCGGGAGGAGTTGAAATAAGCTCCGACCGGTGCCCAAATAATCGACACTCGACCTGCATTAGCTGACCCAAAGGCGGCATCTCTCGTCAGGTTGCGTTCGTTACTTGGATTCAGATCAGGTAATGAGAAGTTATTCTGGGTATTGCCAAGAACACCTGCTAAGCTAATGCTGGATTAGAGTACCATCACGGACGTTACCATTGGATCTCTCTTCTGCACGACTTTCTTTTCAGCTCGCCTGAATGAATAACGTGAGGTTTCTGAATCCCGCTGCTGAAGTCAGGATCGGAATCGGGGTTCGGAGAGCTCATGACGACCAGACGCTAATGCATCAAAAGGATTTTGCAGTGTCTCATACAGTTAAGCGCCACGTAGATAGAATTTAGACAGAACTAGTTCTGTACTCTAGAATATGTGGAGTACTAGGTACTCTAGTTCGAATCGTCACCACAGTTATTCAGAAAACTTATTTCTCTAGAGTCCTATACTGTCGCGCCTCGCTATGCCGGATGGCCAAGATTCACCAGATCCCATACGGGATAGCAAATTGATTTTGCAATACATAGTAAAAATAGAATTTCTAGAGAACTTCGTACAAAAGGGCAAGGGATCCGGCATATTTGGCTCCGCTATGGCAAGGCGCAACCGTAGTGGAACAAGTATCAGGATCCGATAGGTATATTCAGTGGTACAACTGCTTCTACGGCAATCAGCGCAAAATATTCAACCACGCATAGCCAGCCGAACTACTGGCTTATTATTGTAACAGATCGTGATACGATAGTATTGAGACAGATCCACATAAGCGGGAAGACAGATTGGCCTCTTCCATCCGCTGTCAAGCCTATATTGCCACCTTAAGTACTGCAACCGGCTGTCTTCTGAGATTACCTCCGGGGCGCAATAAACAAAAATATATGAGAGAACGGAACGAAAACAGTGTTGTACATCTTCAAGCTGTTGGTGATGGATGTCCTAGTATTTATCCGAGGCCGGGAAGGTTGGTTCCTCTATCATAGCTTAGATAACGTCGATGAGAGTAAGAATGGATTAGGCGGGTTGTCCAGCTTAATTTTATAACTTCTCCAAACTAACACCTTTCTGATAACGTGTCCCACCACGTGTGAGTAAGCGTGAGAGCACATAGGTATACATTTAAGTACAGTAACTTTAAAAACTGAAGAAATACCTCGCAGATGTCAGGGGCCAAATAGTACCTAAGCCAGCTACTTAATTCGCCTTGCATTAGCACGGGAAAAGATCTCTTGTCTTAATTCATCAAGTAGATAAATAAAAAGGCTGTACCTGTGCTTATAGGAGACATTGGTAACGTAGTTCAAAACCAAGGCATTGATTGTAGTAGATGACACGAGCCAGCTCGAGCTTCTACCACCGCTTAACTTCAAATCTTAAGAGCAACAAACCTAACCCTAACCTAACCTAACCCTAACCCTGGGAACATGAGAAGAATACAGAAAAGCTGCCATTCAAGTAATGATGAGCACAAGGCGAAAAGACTCGAGACTTTCTCCCAAGGTGCAGGACAAAAAGAACATAGCCAGAAAAGAGAGAAGACAATACAAGGCAAAATAAGAAAAACTCTAGTCTCGAGACATTAATTCTATCGACTATGATTTACATATAAGCATTAAAATCTAGTTTTGAAAAAAACCCTCGCCCAAAAAATATCACCTATACCAATACAAAAGATCAACCAGGGGACCCTAACCCTAAGTCTCGAGACTTTGCACAAAACACGGCTTAAGTATTGTCAGTTCCGAGACAACCTACTGTACTTCACGAAACATGCTCAAATATCGTCTTGCCCTACACTACGCCCATCACCACATTCGAGAACCCGAAACTCAAGTAGAATCGAGCACCCATCCTACTCGTCAAGAACGGTAGTTAGTCGTTCATCCAGTGACTTCTAATTTCCTACAACGCCGGAGGAGCTACTCATAGCTAATAGTACTTATCCGGAAGACAACTTGTACAGACTTGTCCTTTAGGAGGAGAGGTATAAAGAAACGGACACGGCTGCGGAGCCGCCGCCCTACACAGACCACAATCGCAAGACTGCTTAGACCAACCCCAAAGCCCCAAACCATAAAAGGAGCCTACAAAACTCCCACAAAATCTACAAGCCTTTATCAAAGCCGGCACCTTGCCGTAACGGAACTGAGCACTCTTGCTCTTGGAGCACTAACGAAATTGTCAGGGTTAGGACTGTTTGCACCTGGCAGTTGTGCGGTGGATATGAAGATTGCAGATACGAATTATTGAAGGCTATGTGCAGAGCTGAATGGGACAGCCTCAGCCACTCTTTTGGGGGGATTCTCTGGTGCGCTCTGTTCGGTTCATCGATTGTAAGTGCAGATATTCGTTCCTACTAGGCTTGCACCTCGTTACGTGTACACACGACAGATAACCAATAATGGAGCGATCACTGCCCTCAAAATATTTTGCTACCGGATTACACCAACTACACGGCACTCGGAATGGTGGAAAATAATCAGCCTCAAAGCAGGCTTCGCAATGGTCATCCCCGATACGACGGCTCGCCAAATAAACCGAGAACTAGCGATGGGAACAAGACGAAACGTCTTGACACTTTATCCAGAGATATGAGACAAAGCAAAAGATAGCCAGAAAAAGAGATCTAGAAGACAAAACAAGACAAGACAGAAAAACCCTAGGCTCGGGGCTTTTCGAAATTTGCGAGTGATCGTCTATGACCTCCATATAAGTATTAAAATATAGTTTTGATGGCTTTCTCTGAAGTCCCTCGTGCACTATCATTGTGCAAAGAATATCATCATGTAATCAGGTCAACTGATATATACAAAAGCTCACTCAGATGATCCTAATCCTAAGTCTCGAGGCTTTGCGCAAGACATGGCTCAAGTTTTATTAATCCCTAGACCGCCTTTTATAATCCACGAGGAAAGACCAAACGTGCTCAAGTATTTCCCATCACTACTGAGGACCCGATCCAAGGGCCTGGCCGTGTGCCCGCGGCCGCGGCTGGGCTTTTCAGGATGGACACTGTCGGGTTAGTGGTAGAAGGAACCAGGTTAGCCATGAAGCACACCATAGTCTCACGAACATAGAACGATTAGTGATTTTAACGACAGATTGTGCTTATTTGGAATCATGGGATATCACTCGATAAACGAATCCAATCATATGTGGTGCCCAAAAGGCGAAAACGTGTACGTAGGTCTTTACAAAAGAGAACTATATCACTAGACAAAGTCCAAGTAGTTCCTAGAAAATAGAAGATCGGGCCTAGGATAATAGATTTTCTTGGCGGGGGAGTAAATCATCAGAGCCAATGATCCTCGGGCATGTTCTCCTCACCAGCAAGATTTGTCATCATGCATGCTGCTTTGCAATCGGAAAATAATAGTCCATATTATTAGAGAAAATGTATGTAGAGAAGTGTAGTATTCCAACTAACTAGAGGGGGGAATACCCCGTATTTATACTAAAGAAAGGTAACACAAAAGATAGTGAATCATAGCCGTATGAGTAATAGGAAAACATGACTAATAACTACCGGAGAAAGAATGAGTCAGAACCCATGACTCATGATGACAAATGAGAATCCTCCAATACTATGAAATGTGTCGAGCGTACTATTTCAAGAATTATGACAGTCCCATCTTACCTAATTGGTCGGCATCAATGAGCGCAGGGCAGGCGGGGCTTTTATCACTCTCGGGAATGGACCTCTTCCATAATAAGGTCTTAAGGCTCCCTTTCTCCGCGAAGTCATCTTTGATACCCCCCCCCCCCCCAGAGGTTTACCCTGTTCCTTCTATGGCAGCGCCTACTCCCGAAGAGAACACCCCCGTGCAAAACGTGAATAACAACCCACATCCACCCATATCATTTTATAGAGAGCTCTACCGAAATCACTTCAAACGTGAGAACCACGGCCCCGAGATCATCTATAATGAGACTTCTCTCGACGAGCGTGCTGGACGCGCTATGACTATGGTGGAAACCCTGCGTGACAAGCGCTGTCGGCCAGAAACATACAATATGCTATCTCTACTCACTCTTTACGATCTGACACTACTGATCGTTTACTCTCGCCACACCCCAACACGCATTACGTCCCACTAACGAATACCACAGATGATAGTGCATCTATGACGCCTCCTCGTATCAAGATATTAAAAGATATCTTAATACCAATCGTGAGTACTTATCAGCTCGCCAACCCCGACGGTATCACCTCGGTGCGCTTTATCAACGACTATCATGAACATAAGAATGTGAAGGAGGAAGGTATAGGACACATGCTCTCGTCCGTAGGGTGGTGGGGCAACTCTAGGATTGCCTTAGCTCTACGACGGAAGGTTTTAGAACCTTTGGGATTAATGAGGGGAGAGACAGGTAATATAGATAAGATGCTGCTGGTGCTAGTCGTTACAGACGGAGAGGTGATTATACTAAGCAGCTATACTGGAAACAAGGAATGGCTGATTGCTGTGCCGAGGTTCATAGATTGAGGGAGAGGACCCAAAGAATCTAAAGGAGTTGATAGATGACACATTGCTGGGAATGAAAGAGAGGTATTGCGCCGGGGGTGAGTTGTCGTAATACGACCTTATTTTTGCCCTTCTGAACTGTCTCTTATTGTGACTTGTAGTGGGCGCAATAAAGGCTGACCTGTAAATCTAAAACCAGCTGTAGCCTTTCAGTTTGGGCGCATTGGAATGGACGACGATCCTAACAACTACCTTTTAGAGCTTGATAAGAACACTAGTCAATACGTAGATAGTGTTCCACGTATGTTCCCCTTCTTTAATTGTCCGGGAATGATATCTAACACCAGAAAATTGTTCAGTGGATATTAAACTCGAGATGATAGAAAAGGGAGAAGAAAGTAAATGGGATGCGGTATGAGCGGTTTGACGCTTCCCATAGAGTTAAGGTACGAGTATATGGTTCAAATACTGATGTTCGTGTGTTGTGTGTAGCTTCGAAAAATACTATGTGGTGCAATCGATAACTGGGTAGGTACTTATTGAAATGCTTTCTGATACGGTTCTAACACAGATACCCATTCCAGGTTAATGATGATGACGAGAGAAGCGGCGACGAAGAAGAGGAGGAATATGACCAAGATGTTCAGCCATCGGCGAGCTAAGGAGGAGCGGTTTTGGTGCATGAAAAAAAGGAATGCTGTTAGGGAGGACTCCGAGGGAGGTTGATGACTAGAGGAAGCGGTGGCATGAATTATATAGATGGATAAATTGTGGTACCATCACGAAGTATTTCAGATCATTGCCGAAGTAGTATAATTCAGAAATGAATGAATAGAGTTTGAGCTAGCGCTCTAGATACATATGTATATATTCTGAAACCCCTACAATTACGCATCTGACGATTAGCATTAGTTTAAGTCACTAGACCAAAATCCTATTTTGTGTATTGTATGCGTGCTTATAAAAGCGAGTAGCGAGTAAGATTGGCAGTGTTTTGGTTTAGGGTGAAGATATCTATCTCAGGGCTACTCGAGAAAGAATGATTGTCTTCAGTTAAGAGTAACCGTTCTAATAAATGACCTTTTGAGGTCGTGATCTATAACAAAGTGAATGAAATGATAGTATAGGTGTTAAGGGTTCTAGTAATGAATTAAGATGGTGTGATTTCAACCCCAGAAACCTATATTGTTTTGGAATTTGCTCACTGCCTATATATAACACCTCATCTGTCTGGAAAGATAATTTCACTGTGGGGTTATGAGGTGTAATATTCCCAATTTGACTTGTAAACGCTCCAATGCAGCTCGAACTACCCGAGCCATCCGGGGATCTCAAATATTCATCCTTGAAGTCATGCTAGATCTCCCTATATCTATGGTACAAAAACGGTGCTTTTAACTTAAACGGCGAAGTTGTGACGCAGTTTAAGATTAACTGGAGACCTGCAGCCGGTAAACTGTGGAGAGGTGGTTGTTAAACTTCAGAGAGTTTAGTATAAACCGTGTGCTATTTGTTTGAGGTTTATTTGAACCCAGAGGACGACTTGGGCCGGCCCATGAAACGACGGCCCCGGGCCAATATTTTGTGGGCCGGGCCGGGCCAACCTGTTTCTTTCATGGGCCGAGCCGGGCCCTAGCTATTTTTGGCCCGGGCTATTTGGTGATTAAATGGGCCCGGGTATTTGCTATATACCTTTGATTTCCGAAAGTATTCTTAGGGCTAAAATGTCATTCCCATCGGATCCTAGTAAGTCTTCTTGTATATCTCATCTTGAAAAGATTATCACAACCTTTTCAAGGCCCAGATATATTCGCTCCATGGCCGGGGCCACGGCTAAATGGGCCGGGCTGGGCTGGGCCTTACCTTTTGTTTGGTGGGCTGGGCCGGGCCCTACCTATATTTGGCCCGGGCCTGCCTAAGTCGCCATCTGTTTCAACCCTCTGAGAGTTTCACATCAACTATATGAGGTTTATAATAACCTGTGTGCCGTTAACTTAAAACTTTTGAGAGTTTGAGATTAGCTGTACCCTGTTTAACTTAAACTCTACACCGTTTTTTTGAGGTTTATTTCAACCATTGTAGGGTTTAACATGCGCGGAAATGATGTTTACTCCAAACCTGCTACAGCCCACCTCTTATAAAAAACAAGGTCGTGCTACTCACTTTAAGAGTGCAAGTGCACTTGCAATCAGAAATCACTACCAGCGAGGTTGCTTGTGAAGCAGCTCCGAAATATATCACCGATTCGAACCGACGACCTTACGGAATGAAGTCTAGCACCGTTCTCACTAAGCAACAAAATATTTGATGAATGTTTCCTATACCCACCTCATTATCTGCATACATACCTCCGCGCATGACTGCGTACAGCCGCATTCGAAAGTACTAGCACCCTCCTATATTGAGTCGTTCATGAATTGTGCCAACCAACATTCATGGCACTCGCGCATACTCAACTTATTGATAGGTATGACCGCAATAGAAACACCGCAGCCCCCTGTGACAACGGTCTTGAATACGAGAATTGCAAAGCAGAAAGGACTGCCTCGTGAGTTTGGCCCGGAGGTGTCAAAACCTTTCTAATTTGGCTGAACCTACCATCCTACCTGTCTGGATCCCTACCTAACCACCTGCGTACCTGCCTATATCTTTGTCTATCTTTGCGCCTGATTTCCTGCCTGACTGGCTAACTGCCTACCTCCGCTTCTACCTGCCGAATCTGAGGTCGATTTGGTACTAATTCCGGGATCGAGTATCTGTCGATCGGGTGCTCATTGGGTGACTATTTCGTGACGATTAGCAGTCTGTGGCGGTGTTATTACAGGTCTCAAGAGGTAATAGTCGTACTAGATAGGTTAACGTAAACTACCTCTTCTAGTCATAGGTTTAACGTAAAAGGGGCCATCATAGATATATGTAAGTTAGTGAAGATAGGAGTTTAAAGCAAACCAAGCATTCGGGTGTTTGACATCAAGGTATTAACGTTATGCATATTTAATATAAAAGATGTCAACTTAGAAAGGTTTCAGTCAACCCATGTAAAGTTTATCATAATCTAAACAGTGCATAATTCATGTTAAACCACTCCTAAAATCCTCTAGGTTTAAAGATTTTGGGAAGTTTATCTTACCCCTTTTTTGATTAAGTACAGCAAGTACGGGGTTTCGATTAAACGCACCCACACAAATTTTGTACCATATATCTATCGGAAGGAATATATGTTCATAGGGTTACGGTTTCTTATTAGTCCAAATTCCAACAAAATCAGCCGCCGAGGATATTGTCGATATTTTCGTACGATTAAGAAGCTCGAGCTAACTCGACTCATGTAGCTGCTCGTGCTTTGTGCTCGAGTCAACTCGCATCTCGTTGACCACACTACAGATATCTTTTTCACACCTCGCGTCACCTACTATTACAGATAATATACCTTTCCTCAATTATGCTCTGGGGAGAAGGCTGTGGCCTAGTATCCTCTAACCTTGTATAGTTACCATCTCTAGTAATGGTATTTACTCAAAACTCCAGCAGCTCGAGCAGAGCGGAAGGACTTTACTCAGGCATGCTCGCGCGCCTCCTGCATCCTTACCCCTTCAGCTGCGTCGAGATAGAGGCCTCAACCGGTAACTCTTTATGAACCACACTGAATAATGTCTTTCAGTTCAAAAACTCATCTGCCCTCAAAGGAAATCCCTATAAGCTAATATCTTTCTTCGCTCGTATCATTGCTGTTACGGCCCTGTCACGAAGTCGGTTCAGTGACGAAGTTTCGCCACTGGGCCAGTTCATTCACGAAGTTTCATGACTGGACTATATTCTTAGTCATTAAACTGGGCCTGCTGTATGCCAGTTCAGTCACGAAGTTTCCTGACTGAACTGACCGCCTCACAACCCTAGAACCCCTGAGCATGGACAGCTATGGTGGTGCGAGCACAGCTATCCTGGGGCGAGCCCAGGTGCCACCTATTGACGACTAGGGCCCCATCCAGCAATAGTACAGTCACTTAAAAAAAAATGCGCGGGAGAAAATTACAACAGGATTCTGTGACGCTTACAGAGATATACTAGCGCTTGCACTCAATTTCAGCACTAGTCATATCACTAGAGCAGCTCTACGTTATACTTCACGACTAGACTAGGGTTTAGATGAGTCCTTCGTGACTGGACGGAGAGTCTACATTGTTAGTTCGGTCAAGAAGATTGCGGTCCAGTCACGAAACTTCGTGAATGAACTGGCCCAGTGGCGAAACTTCGTCACTGAACCGACTTCGTGGTTGAGCCATAACAACCCTAACTTTACAAGGCGAGACAATTCTAGGCTTTAGTCTCATCTCGTCTTGTATGGTGCCCATCACTAATTTCTAATGGCAAGTAAATCATGTAGATCCAGTCTAGCACCAACCATACTCAGCGAAACTCCCTGGGGCTGTACTCGTACATCAAGACGTAGAAAACTGACTACTGGAAGAAGTACTCATAAAGGGCAATAAATTGAAAATAACAAAAAGAATGTTACATGTAGGCATAGTACGGGTGATTAATGAGAATCAACATAAAGGAAATTACTTGAAGAGAGAGGTATCTCCATCTAGGTTCGTTGAAGGGGTAGGCTAGCGATATGGTCTATTTTTTCGTAGTTTAAGAAATTGTAGTTATCCTATTAGGCGATACCTTCCTGAAGAGATCTATGCAGTATTTGTGGACCTCCTTGAATTGAAGACCTAGGTTCCGAAGCCCGAGTCCAAGGTGGAAACCAGGGTTGTTCGGGTAAAGCCTTGCAGAAACCTTTGAAACGAGTGCAGACGTGCCGCGAGGAGCGGTATGCCTTCTTTATTCGAGCCTTGAGAACGCTATCAGGTAGATATAATAATATCGCACAGATAATGGTGATTCCTAACGTAATAGGACCAGCCCGAATCCAAAATTGTCTATAGGACTTGACGGTGCCTTCCTTATCTGGCGGGTCGATTCCATAGTACTAATTACATTTTTTGTATCTTATCAGTCAAGTTGCCTTTCTTCGTGAACGACACATTCACATGACTATATGGGAGAATACTGACCGAGGACAAGAATCCAAGCGGGAGGAAAACCGACGTTAGGAAGGTGAAAAATGTTATTGTTTCCCCCTGCTTCTTGACAATATCAAAAGCTTGGTTCTGGAGCCCAGCTGAAGATTTATCGGAGAGCTACAATCCAGCAAACGTTAGAACTGTAGTCATTTCCTTAACAATCTATAATGGAAGACAAACCGACGACTGCCTAAACCTCACCTCTCCCAACCTGAACTTGAGGTCGTCCTTGAGTCGTTCCCGGTCCTTGATCAATAATTTTATGGACTGCAAAGCCATCCCAACAGTCTCCCCTCCCTTCTTGGCACCGAGGCCAATGATATAGGGTAAGTTAAGCATATTCACATGGGGGTAATCTTTTCCAGATGGTCCCTGAGTAGCGCAAACCTCTTCGAGGCTCTGTAAAATATCTATTTGCTCTTCAATAAGTTCAATCACAGAGTATAGATCCGACATTAAAAACTCCAGATTTTGATTCGCAATCTCTTTTGAGGCTGTATTGGCATTGACATCAGAGAGATCATGTAGCGACCCCTTGATTTTTGCTAGAAGTAGCTTGATGGGCGATCTTTCAGAGGGGGCGAAGATATTCGATAACATTTGTGTAAGGGCATGGAAGGCACTGTAGCGCGCTTGGTAATGAAAAAGAGGAGGTCGAGCGGAATTCGGGTCGTCGGGTGATTTGAAGACAGCCATGCGCACTGAATGAGTACGTTAGCATTAATTATTCAGGTTATGGAGAATGGGATAGCGTACAGTCATCAAAAATAACAAACCAGGCTTGGTGAACTCTGAGATCCAGGTTCTCGTTTCCGGGTGTGCTCGGCGGGGTCTTCACAGTGCTGGGAGCAGGAGTTGTGCTACCGCTACCCTGCGAGATCTCTCGCCCTGAGTATTGGTGGAGGCTAAGACTTTGACCTAGCGTACCGGCCTTCTTTTGACCCAGATAAGGCATTGCTACAACGAGCACAAAATCCTTTCTTGGGAACCTTGCGTTGATGGAAAGACCAGTGATAAAGTCTCTGTAGTTCTGGAGATTTGAAGAAGTCCTTGTCACCACCTCAACCTCCTCTGCATTGCTGGCCGCTGGTGGATTGACGGCCGCTGGTGGAATGACGGCCTCCAGTGGATCGACGGCCGCTGCGGGATCAACGGCCGCTGGTGGATCGACCGCCTCCAGTGGATCGACGGCCGCCGGTGGAATGACGGCCTCCAGTGGATCGACCGCCTCTAGTGGATCGACGGCCGCCGGTGGAATGACGTCCTCCAGTGGATCAACCGCCGCTGGTGGATCGACGGCCTCCTCTATGAGAACGAGCTCTAGGGGGCTGTCATGCGAAATTGTCTCATTTTGAGATGGAATAATCCCGGTCCATTGAGTCTTACGGGCGCCGTCTCTATGAACATCGGCTATGAACCCCTGGAGTTGAAGCCTTTGGTAAGTTTAACACGGCTTATTATCTAATATGTACTGGAATATCATCATCCGTTGATTGTTGCAGTCTGATTGGTTGACAGCGAAAGGGGTGTTTTGTAAGCACGACACATCAAATTCGTGTCTTTGGTGCAGTTACCCTGCCCGATTTTGTTCAGTTACCCTGCTTATTCTGAGATGGTTACCCTACCCGATTAGTGCGGTTACCCTGCCTGCTCTGAGCTGTTACCCTACCTTTTTTGTGCGTTACCCTACCTTTTTTGGGCGTTACCCTGCCTGCTCAGGGCCGTTACCCTGCCTATTTTCCTGCCAAGCCCAAACCATAACCCTGACCTTATCCATAAGACCAGCCCAATCAACGGAACCCTTTATGATTAAATAATAAATATAGCTATTTAGTAGTCAAATGTGAGCAGAATAGGCGAGTGAGACGAACAGTAGTTGGCGGGGGGTGCGAAGAGGGAGAGGGAAGACCAGTAAGAGGGGGAGAGGAGGTGCCAGTGCGGTGGAGGAACGGTGAAGGGAGCTGGAATATATCAGAGCTGGCACTGGAGCCTGTACTGGAGCTGGCAATGGAGTTGGTACCGGAGCTGGCATATAGTGGAGCGGGCACCGGAAGGGGCATTGGAGACGGCATTGGCGCTGGCACAGGAGCTGGCATCGAGGCGAACGCTGGAGTAGTCACTCGAGCGGTCACCGGAGTGGACACAAGAGCGGGAACACGAGCAGGAACACGAGCAGGAACAGGAGCTGGAAGCGAAGCGGGCACTGGAGCTTGCAGAGAAGCGGGCACTGGAGCTTGCAGAGAAGCGGGCACTGGAGCTGGCATGTATCTGAGCTGGCACTGGAGCGGGCATCTAATGGGGCTGGTATCGGAGTGGGCATTAGAGATGGCATTCGGACGGCTCCGGCTAGAGCTGGCATATATTTGAGCCGAGACCGAAGCTGACACTGGGGCTGACCTTGATTTTAGCTCGAACCGGAGCGGGCATTAAAGCTGGCACTGGACCTGGCATTGAAAATCTGAAATAGATCTCCAGAGCAAGATCTAGGCATTTATTTGACATGGCCGGGAAAACAAACCATGAAACGGCTAAGACAAAATTAACTAATTACTGGAGGTGCCTAAATACTATAGATTGTGGTAGAATTAATGGGAAAGTGGGATTTCCGTAACCCGATAGTCCCATTGGCCCTCAAAGGAATTTTTGCAGTGAGCACGAGCCAAGAAACTCACCCTTTTAGTTCTGACTTTCGCAATAATTCTACCGCACACTGTACACATAGGTGGGAGAGAATGGGACCTCGCGGTCGCGAGGTGGCGCACCCCTAGTCTACTATGTACTGGAATATCATCATCCGTTGATTGTTGCAGTCTGATTGGTTGACAGCGACAGGGGTGTTTTGTAAGCACGACACATCAAATTCTGTTTCTTTGGTGCGGTTACCCTACATGATTTGGTGCGGTTACCCTACCTGCAGTCAGCGCGCGCGCGCGCTGCGAAAATTGAGGTGTCGCGCCGGTTGCACCGGTTGCGGAGTTGCGGAAATGCACCAAAAAAAAACCCGTTTTCGACCCTGAAAATAACCCCCGGTGCGTCAAGTGGCCGGAACCCCCCTATTTTGCACCGGTGGGTCTATGGGAGCTGGGTGATAACACACACAACTCCTTGGGACCGGACTCTTTGCCAAAAATTCAATCTACTGAACAAAATCTACTGAATAAAATCTACTGAATAAAATTCTATCACCACTCTAACAATCAATATATTTGATTAAATTATCTGCTCTCTAGCAAAACAAATTCTATAAAATACCGTTCCATAGTGTTATCACCCAGCTCTCTCGACAACATGTCGACGATTAAATGCACAAACTGCAAATGTTATAAGGATATCGTGGATTATGATCTCGATAGGAATGGCCGGCACCGTAAATCATGTCGACCATGTTTGGTGAGTTTACAAATTACTCAATTATTTGAGTTCTACTGATTCTGATCTTTAATAAGGCTCGCTTGCGTGAATATACACGTCGTCGAGCAGAAGCCAGACGGCGACAAATTGCGAACAATGAAGAGGTGAGCTGGCGAATCGTTTTGAATACCATTACTTGGGGCTATTATTCTAATAGATACTATGGCAGCCATCTCGGCCGCCAATTCAACCTGCGGTACCATTAGCATTCCAATCGTCACGGGCCCGTTGGACGCCATTGGGGTTGGGCAGAATGACAGTGATTTGTCCTTCATGTCAAGCTTTACATTGGCTAAACGAGCGCGTGCAAGGGAGTTCAATCACGTTACCGCGGTTTGAAAATTGTTGCAAGAAAGGCGATGTTCAATTGCCGGCATTGGAACAAGCCTCCGAGTACCTACGGTACCTCCTCAAATCAACTGATACAATTGCTAGACAGTTCCGTAGCCGCGTTAGGGAGTACAACTCCGCTTTGACCTTTACTTCCGTTAAATATACCTCAGATGAACGCATCGACCATCAAGCTGGGGGGGTTACATGCTTCCACATCCATGGCGAGTTATACCACCTTCAGGGGCCCGTGACTGCAGCAGCAAACGATATGCCCGCTTTTGCTCAGTTATATTTCTATGACCCACTCTACGCTGCACAAATGATGCAGCAGGGACATCCAACTCTAGATATTGCGGTTTTGGAACGGTTGACACAAGAGATACACACAGTCAATCCATTTATTCCATTATACAAGACAGCGAAGGAAAGATTGGAAGCGGCATCCTCACAAGATGGAGATGTATGTGTCTTACTTAATCCGCAATTGCGGTTGATAGTGGAGAGTGGAGCGGACAAGCGGAGACACAATTTGCCTACAAGCAATGAAGTCGCTGCGATTATCCCGGATGAATATGGTGAAGCAGGATTCCGGGATATTGTCTTAGCACATAGAAATCCAGATGCCAATAGGCAGTTTAGTATAATTGATCCTAATCATGCCGCTTATATGCCCTTACATTATGTTCTGCTATTTCCAAATGGTGAAAGGGGTTGGCATTGGGGCTTACGGCTGCAGGATGAGTTGAACCGACGGAAGAATTTAAGGTTACAGCAACGCGAATTTTACAGGTTAGTTATAAACACCAATGGCTCAAAGACTTTTTGATATGGCTAACTTTTTGATTACTATACATGGTGTGCAGGTACCGACTACATACCAGGACGACTGAACCCATGACTTTGTTCCTCTCGCAACGCCTATTTCAGCAGTATTTGGTAGATGCTTGGGCTGTTTGTGATCAGAATAAGTTGAATTGGCTTCGACTGAATCAGGCAAATAATCGGGCTGATCTGTACAATGGGTTGGCGGATAATATGCGGCAAGAGGACTTCAACCCGGAACAAACCGGGAAGCATATCATTCTACCACGAAGCTATACAGGAGGCGACCGATACATGCTGCAGTTGTTCCAGGATTCCATGGCTATAGTCCGTCATTTTGGGCGTCTCTCACTATTTGTTACCTTTACCGCGAATCCAAAGTGGGAAGAGATTACTGTGGAGTTACTACCGGGGCAAACTGCTGTTGATAGGCCAGATTTAGTTGCAAGGGTGTTCCATCTCAAGCAACAACAACTCCTCCAAGAAATAAAGCGTAAACACATCTTTGGTCGCTATCTTGGGTCTGTATGGACCATTGAGTACCAAAAGAGAGGGCTGCCACAGATGCATCTACTGATATTCCTTCATCCGGATGATCGCTTTCTGACAGCAGAGAGGATCGACGAAATTGTGTGTGCAGAGTTACCGGACCCCGCAACTGATCCTACGGGGGAACTAAATGCAATCATTCCAAGTTGTATGGTACACGGTCCATGTGGAGAGGCCAATATGCGATCACCCTGCATGGCTTCAAAGGAGAATGGGGGACCAACTGCATGTTCGAAACGGTACCCTAAGGCCTATCAATCAGAGACAGTTGTACAGGAGGATGGCTATCCACTGTATAGAAGACGTAATGATGGCACAACCTTTTCAGTGGCAGTAAGGGGCTCAGGGTTTAATCAAGAGTATCAGATGGACAACAGATGGGTGGTTCCATATAATCCTTATCTTTCTTTACGGTATAAAGCTCATATCAATGTCGAGATCTGTGGTTCTATCCACGTGATAAAATATATACACAAATATATATATAAAGGTTCAGATCGAACAACACTTCAAGTAGGGAGTGACTCGGATGAAATTACTAGATACCTCCATGGGCGTTATAGAGGACCCACTGAGGCTGTATGGCGTTTGTTCGAATACGGGATGCATGAAGAATACCCGTCAGTCATTCACTTGGCTGTTCACTTGCCTGGCGAGCAACCGGTATACTATGGGGATAACTCTAATCGGGAGGAGTTGATACAGAGGATGCAAAACTCGAGAACTACACTGATAGCTTATTTTGAGTACAATACAGAGCACGAGGATGGTACCCAGTATCTCTATCAAGATTTCCCGGTGTACTTTACCTATGACGCTAAATCGCGGAAGTGGGCATCCAGGAAGAAAGGTGTGGCTATTGGACGTATGTGGCATTGCAATCCTATGATGGGGGAGAAATACTATATGCGTTTACTGTTAACCGTGATCCCTGGCGCAAGATCTTTTGATCATCTGAAAACTGTCAATCATGTGCTGTTTCCTACATTCAAGGCTGCATGCATTGCCCTTGGCTTATTGGACGATGATCAAGAGTGAGTGCAGTGCTTTACTGAAGCAAGCATATTCTCGAGCGGATATTCCCTCCGTACACTCTTCACTACTGCCTTACTATTTGGCAACGTGACTGAACCTTTACAATTATGGGATAGATTCAAGTCAAATATCTGCGATGACTTGCCCCGAGTTATGGAAAGAAACACAGGTCTCATTATCCCCCCTGAGCTTCCGGATGCCCACCTGGACTATGGCCTCTACCTGATATCACAGATTCTTGCCGACTCCAATAGAACGCTTAACGACCTTGGATTGCCCCTCTATACAGTGGATTGGAACCGAACAGGTGGGAACGAGATGATTGCATCAGAACTACGATATGATGTGGTTGCGGAAGCGGCAAGTCTACAGTTGAGGATCTCACAACTCAATTCAGATCAGTTGGAATGCTTTAATACTATTACACACAGTATTGAAGAAGCTGCGTCAGCCTTATTATTCATTCAAGGACCCGCAGGTACTGGAAAAACGTTCCTATACAATGTCATCTGTAACCATTTCCGCTCCCAGGGTAAGATCGTGCTTTGTGTTGCCTCTTCTGGCATTGCGGCACAGTTGCTCCCTGGAGGCAGAACATCCCATTCCAGATTCAAAATTCCGATTGCTATCCATGAGGGCTCAACATGTGACATCAAACGGGGCAGCCTGTTGGCCGGTTTAATTCAAAAGACCGCGCTGATCATCTGGGATGAGGTACCTATGCAGAATAAGTATTGCTTCGAAGCGGTTAGCCGGACCCTGAATGATATATGTAGTGTGAGTGATGATTGCCTGTTTGGAAATATTCCGGTCGTACTCGGAGGGGATTTTGCACAGATTTTACCAGTTGTGCAACGCGGTAATAGGGCTCAGATAGTGCAGGCATGCCTACAACGGTCTTCTTTATGGCAGCACTTCAAGATATTAAGACTCAAGATCAACATGAGGGTCCGAAATGGTGTTGAGAATGAGGCATTTGTGGCTTGGCGTGGGCAGATGAGCCATGATTCCCGATGGTATGGTAGAATATCTCTACCACCATACATCCAGAGCTATAAGACAATTGAGGACCTTTGTATGCATGTATTCCCACGGCATATAATTGAATCTGCTCCAACAAATTACACCGCATTCTCAAAGCGGGCGATTCTGGCGATGAGAAACGATACAGTCGCTGAGTTCAATGATAGAGTTCTACAGCAAATTCAAGGCGAGGTGCACATGTACTATTCGGTAGACACTGTTGACAGCGGGAATTCAGAAGAGAATGCAAACCTGCTACCTCGAGAATATCTGCAGGGTCTCAATCCATCTGGCCTCCCACCATCTATCATCAAACTAAAGGTAGGGGCGCCCATAATTCTACTCCGTAATCTATTTCCGAAGGAAGGTCTCTGCAATGGAACACGAATGACGGTAACTAAACTGAGTGTACGGTGTATCGAAGCCAAGATTCTGGGTGGTGAGTTTGATGGTGAGCCAAAGGTTATACCACGTATACAGCTTTCATCCATTGAGGGAGATCTACCTTTCACATTAATGAGGAGGCAGTTGCCTATTCGGCTATGCTTTGCGATGACCGTCAATAAATCGCAGGGTCAATCACTGGATGTTGTTGGGGTTGACTTGAGGTCTGATCCCTTCACTCACGGGCAGCTCTATGTAGCACTCTCGAGAGTCACAGATGTAGCTGGCTTGATGGTGCTGCAACGAGATGAGACACCGCCTCAAACAGACAACATTGTATACCGTGAAGTGCTGCTGTAAAGAAGTAAGTCCCTTTAATCCATATTTTTATTGATACTGACTGTCGGTTAGGACATAAAGGATTTGTGCTGGAGGCAGTTGAAGGACTCGGAGGTATATGATTGGAGGAGTTAGATGGTGGATTTCTGAATAGATGGTATGTATATGCTGCGAGCTGACAGATTGGTATATTACACTAACAATTATTATAGGTTCTTGGTAAGGGAAGGGAAAGAGAGGTGGGTTACGGTATTGGGTGTAGGATGGGGGAATGGAAGAAGCCGGAGGACTGGGTATCGAATGGTAAGTATATATCTCAATAACGTACTCCATGGAACTGCTAACCAAACGTATAGATAGAACAAATTCGGGAAGTGGTGGAAAGGATCAGGGCATGGAGGAAATAGGATAGAAGGATGGACTTGCAGGCGGGAAAAAGGGCTGGAAATGGTGAAGGAAACGGTGGGATACGGGATAGTGGAGGAAATGGGATGGCAGGTGGGAGGAAACTTGATAGAAAAGTGGAGGAAACGGGGAGGAATTGGAGTTGGATTAAAAGCGGTGGACTGTATTTAGTTAGCACTTTGTATTTCTTTAGCGTGTATGTTTCCTTACATTTACCTGTCTTATTCCCTGTCTTATTGTTGTTTTCTAGAGTGCTCTCTTTGTAATAGAAATATATAACACTGTTAAAAAAAACATATAATTAGTAGAAAAAAACTGCATCGAGCTACCCCGGTTATTTACCCCATTCCCCGACTATGATCGTGTGAATTTATTAATTTTGTCACAGACTGCCGGATGGAGTAAATAACCGGGGCATTACACTCTTGGATCATTGACTGTTCCCAGCCTCCCCAAGCGGACAACTCTCTTCCCTATAAGAGACATAAATGCCAACGTTATAGGGTTATCAATGACACATCCTCTAACTAACGTCTGAATTTCACAGCTCGCGCTCCCGCCATGAGTTGAACCCATAGCATTGAGGACATGTATCAGATATTTACCACTAAGCCAAGTACCTTTGTTGCACCAGCAACTCTTTTGGACCCTAAATACCTTGCAAGTATTATTTTTTATTTTTTTATTTTTTTATTTTTTATTATTATTTTTTTTTTTTATATCTAATTTAATATAATATTTCCGCTGCCTAAATTGCGCACACAACTCGCGGTCGCGAGGTGGCCCACCCCTAGTATCAATGAAGACTTTACTTACATTCGCCCATTCCCTTTTGCATTGTTGAAAGTAACTATATATCTAACATTAACAAAGAAATGATGAAAGCGATTGTAGAAGAACAGGGAACACACGCTACTTGTATAAATTCTGCTTGATCCCCATTAGCGCCCCGGGTAAAGCCTTTAGCAAGTTCCGAAATACTAGCACCAGCGCCATCAATGTCTAACACCATACATGTCTCTGGCCGGCCGCCGCTGTACTCGTCTGCACCATCTTCCCTATGTTGACGCGAAGTTGAATAGTTCAGGGACGTAAGTTTGTCCGGTTTATGATCACCGATCATAGGCAATCCTTCAGGGCGGCGAAGATAATGTGCTTCATTGAGATGTTTCGGTACTGACAGTGTGTAGCTAGCCATGACGACACGTGTGGAATGAATTTCAGTCGTAAGAATCAGAGCCCAGGACATGAGATAAATACCTCCCACTGTTTTTAACCCCTGAATCCCGCACTTTTAGGGGACAAATCTAGCGCAAGGCAGTGATGACACTTCATTTTCTGGTAACTCGTACTCATTTGTCCTTCTCCTGAGCCGCCTCTAGGTGAGTCTCAGCCTTCAGCCTATCGTTGTGTCGTGCAGGACTACCGTCATTGTTGGCCTCATTGCCCCACTTTATCAAGAGGGGGGTACTTGCTACTTACTATCGGGCGATGGTTTGATTGAAAGGGATTATGTCCGCGAGACAGGAAGGAGACACATGCTATTGCAGAAGGGGATCACATCAGTAATTCAATATTCCTAATTACCACTCTTTGTTATACCGCCTAATGGGCTGACAGATGGTACCTATATCCACCAATCCATCATTAAATGTATGAATCCCCTAAGAGCAAGTCCTATGCAAGTTTCATCCTCTCATGTCAGCAGCGGCATGTAGCGTGTGCCTTTCGGGCGTCTCGATCTGCCCTTGATCTACCCTTAACAACGCAAAGAATGAGTTTCCAAGCTCTGTGCAATGAGACAAAAATATCTCCGTGCAATTGAATTTAAGATTGGAGACGTTGCCACAAGATTGAACAATCTTTAAGAATGCCTTGGGCGGAGCAATAAAACATTCTTTAATGTAAAACAGCCCGTTTCTTTCATTGATAAAATGTTCGAGAGGGGCAGAAACTTTTACAGCCCCCGATTAACTCCAGATTTACGGGCACCTATGAGAGGGGATAATACGGTCAGATATTTTGTTCAATCTATTCTAACCTGGGGGTTGTCTTGCCACATGTATGATCAAAATATGTTAAAATAACTCTCAAATTGTACTTTACGTGTTTCGAGGTAAATGAATCTAGTAAGCTATGGCTGGAACTTACTCTTTCCTCCAACGTTAATTCAGCCAATTTACAGATATTTATCGCACCTATTGGAAGTATCCATGATAAATGTCGATTCAACCAGAAAAAGACATTTTTTTTTGATGTAGGAGAGGAGGCGCAGCCATGCCAATGGAATATTATACCTGCGAAGCATGCTATGCGTAGCACAGTACAGCAAATAAACTCTCCTATGGGGCCCCTTCGAGAGGAATTGAAATCTTGGAACCTTATTAATATTAGAATAGCTCCCTGGCAGGTTGACTATTTCTCGTGGGGCCCAAAGGCTCCATGGGATAATCCCGGGAAAGATTGGCTAGAGTCTGCAGATCTGATTTATAGAGAAGATTTGCTAAATTAGCCACCTTTGAAAACTTACGGGTATCAAATAAATAATGATTCATCTTACCTATTGTCTGGCAGATTCGTTGCAGAGAGGCTTGGGTCGAGTGGAGCTAAAGGTTGGTCTTACAACTACAGATAAAATCGTCATCAAAGTGGATAGGGTATTGTTCCTGGGCCGCTTAAACTGTATTTCGCCCCGATCGACATATTGAGAGGAAAGCACGAGTGCACTTCTAAGTGACGCATAATGCCTGCTTAGTGCAATTTCGGCTGGATAGTAAGCTTCCGCGGATACTGTGCTAGACCATGTGATTGGCGTATATATGCCAGGTGGCGGGGGCGAATGTAAGGGAAATGCAGCACGGATCTGCCCAAGGCTGCGTCTGCGATAGCCGATCTACCACCGCCTTGCGTGCTTCGCCAGTCCTGTGTGGGGAGCGGAGATTGCCGATCCAATTTGGGCTCACCTGGCATCGCCGAATTAAATTACTATTCGGCCACGAGTTAGTAACAAGTAACGCTGCGAGCCGGATATTGCGGTTCTAATGTGAGTGTGTATTTGTAGGATTGTCCCCTCACTCACCAGTCCTTGTGTCGGCAAACCGACGAACTCCAGTGGTTACATAGAGGTAATATGAGTTCTTGTAGTGCTGCCGAATGATGTTTGCCTTATCGAGACGTATGGGAGGTTTCACTCCGCTTTGAATTGATAATGGATATCTACCTAGCTCTAGACGAATGGTTGAGCGGTAGATCTGAGCTGGCTGTACAGGCCAGAGGTGTGGCGGGACACCTCCCACGTGCACATGGTGGGGCTACTTAAGATTGATCTTTAAGCTTTCTTTTTCTACAATTGTCTCTGCCGATATTGCTATTGGCAAGCATACGTGCTCCACGATCCCGAATAAAACTCTCAAGGTGATGGAGGGTATCAAGATTCAATTGTCATCAATAATAACAGTAGCGTATCTGTTGGTAAGGCCTTGTCGTCCAGGTTTAACAGCAATGCGTGATACGTGTAATCGTGAGGACAGAACTCTCGGAACATCGAACACGTCGCATGACTGTCCGGCTTTATGCCTGTATCTATTGCCGATCGCGAGAGAGGGTTCGGTTTGACCGCTCTTCGCACACCTCGCGATTCTCCACGCCATTAAAGCGTGATGAGATGAAGGTAATTTGAAATTTGCCTGTCTATGACTTTCCCAGGAGAGGTTGGACAATTAAGGGCCCTTTTGGGAGCCAGAAGGCCGTTGCAACGACTTATCCACCAAGCGACTTACCTACCCCATTAAGTCAGTCCCAAGAAAAGTTGCCTTCCTGTTGTTTGGCAGTCATGCATATGATCATGCAAACTGCAACCCACATCAATTGTCCACATAGCGGACCAAACTGCAAGAAGAGTTTCCCCATTTTGAATTTAAAAAGACAGTGGGGATTGAACCGTTTTACAAATCTATAAAATATTATGGTTTTAATAAGAGATTGGTAACAATTGATATGAGAATGGTGGTAGTGATACCGGTGGTAAAGGTTGTTGTTGGAAGCGATGTTGTGTGATGACTTAAAATAAAAGCAGGTCAGAGTAGATTTTGCTTTCAGTTGATTTTGGGCCTCCTGACTTAAAAAATAAGTCGACTTAAGGGCTGGCCAAACAGCCAAAACTTTTCAATAAGTTCCTTTTGCCAAGGACACACTGCAATAAGTCATTCCCCACCAAAATTCAATAAGTCGACCCCGTTGCCAAACGGACCCTAAAGTTATTTAACCTCATGTTCTACTAACACTCGTGGTGTTGGACAGCGCTGCAACAAATATCTATCTGTCCAATCGCCTGCGCAATCTAGCAGAGATGATAATATGTATCATGTAGCTATCATCCTCTAAAGAGGGACCTGCTCTAGACCTGTAGCTGAAGAAGCAATTCGTTTAATACGTGATTTAACAGGGATCTTGGCCCGGTAAACTGGTAAAACCTTGGTCGCACGCGACGCAGAGCCTCAACCGAGAGATCGCGGGAGTATCCGTGCCAAGCCATGACAGGGATCGGATGCGGCTCAGTTATGTACTAGTATTTCGCTGACGTTTTTGAACTGGGCCATTATTGCATACACCCAAAATCATGAGCTTGGCGTATTTTTGTATGGCATGCAATATCAGTCGCGTCCACAAACGTCAGAGAAATACGAGTATTATAATGGCATTTCAACACACCGTGCGTATTCGAGATGTGTGGGTATGGCGAACGCAGCCTGATTGGAGGGCGGTTTTTGCCCAGACTTTGAAGCTTTGGAAAACCCCGAACAACATCAAAGGTGTTTGGTGTCTTTCGGGGTGTGCGAGTCCAAACTGAATACGGATTTGAGGCCTATAGTTGATATTAATAAGTGGCAAAAGTGATAGATTAGGAAATGATAAGTGCATATCTTTACTCTTCCTGCTCTTGTAACCTTTGCTAGAGCTCCGCTAGATTTCTCTACATACCATGAGCGGTTGATACCCAAAATATCCTGAATCTCCGAAAGAATGCAGAGCTTGACGGAATTGAGGATTTTGAGATGCAGCAAAGGTTATCCGAGATAATGATGGTGGCTGGAGACAGGAAGATGTTCAAAAGAATCTCTATGACCTTTCGGAATTGGTTGGCTTAGGGAGGGAAGTGGCGGGTTATACTGAAGGGTACAAGATGGATAATTGGTACACGATGAGTGATTTTGAGGAAGGATACAATGCTGAAAGAGTTATTGAGGACCCAGAAATTGGGGCCCCCATCCCTATTTCCTATTCCGCTCTCTCAGTACCAGTCGAGTCCGGCAAAGACCTGAACTATTTGACGATGTTTGACGACCCAGACGCTCTTACGATTCTGATTGAAGCTGCGGAAGGGAGGAGGTACTGGGCACCGCGTTCCATTTTGGTCCCGTTGATAATCGACGGTACAAGAGTGGTTTCATTAGTCTAAACTGCAGTCAAATTCACGCAACTTCAGGACAGTCTTTCGAATGTCAGACACTTCTTTCTACGCGCTTGTTCAACAGCTGGAATGTCATCCAATCATTCAAGCATGTTACATCACTTGTGTCTCCTGTTAGTACTTGCACCCTTTTTCAACACCCTGTAGTACACAATTTCTCACACATTTCCCTACCAGCCACAGAAATGAATCAAATAATTTGTTTCACAGGGGCGCTTGTGGAAAAGGCACAAAAGATTCATTTCTACAGATACTTACAAGCAAGCGTCGTCATCCTAAAGTGTCTTTCTAATGCCTTTTCCTACCCTTTCTTTAAATCTCATTTTTAATGCCTTTTCTCGGCCTGTGCGGGTATCAGAAATATGTTTTTTGATGCTTTTTCTGATGCATGTTCGAGGGCGACTTGGGCCGGCCCGGGCCAAATATAGGTAGGGCCCGGCCCAGCCCACCAAACAAAAGTTAAGGCCCGGCCCACAAAATATTGGCCCGGGCCCGTCGTTTCATGGGCCGGCCCAAGTCGTCCTCTGCGACTGAGGGCATGGAATGGATAACGCCTTTTTAGTGTCTTTTCTTATGTTTTTCAGCGTCAAATGCACTGTACTACATAAACCAAGTATACAGAGCATAATATATCGATTCATAGTGTAGGTGATAAAACGTGGACTGTGTAATCGCCGTCCCCCAGGTTCAATACCAAACCATCTTTTATTTTTGATTCATTTTCATAGTTGATCGAGGGTATGTGTTTGGGGAGTTGCCAATGCTAAGCGATAATTCTGTAGCTTTTAAACTTGTAATATTGTAAACCGGATTCCGCTCGCTGAGTGACTGATGATGCCACTAAGACGAGGCGGAACCCTACCCTATTTATACACATTGGAACCTATGCCAAGGCCCGCTTTCTAATACTAATGAGATAACGATAATAGAATACGACAATTAACCCGAAGATAACCCCAATAGAAAAGCGCCCCCGCATAGTCCCGGCCATCCATTCTAATTCCGACACGTAACCATGAACCCTGCAATTGCCAGTAACCGAGCTGTATCGTACTATTGTCCCAGAGCTACTTCCCTAAGTAGAACGGCCTGCAGCCGTAAGCCCCGCTTCTATTCCGTTCCGGGCGAGACGCCCAATAGTAAGCGTGCCCTCACCATAGCCTAATACTAGTGTGGTTACACCCGATGCCCCCACACCCCTCGGTACCTTTCTATGCTTGTTCCTTCGTTACCCGACCGTACTCGCATCACCACTCATCACTCATATTATCCCTGTTCCTTAACTTAGGAGCAGTGTTCGTATTTCCTGTAACAGTATGATATCAAATAATGTATATTCTGATGTATTAAGTTGCACTTAAGTCCTATTTCCGGATTCATTTACACATATAAAAAAGATTCATTTACAGGGGAAATTTTATTTCATTTCCGAACACTTTTTCCGATGCATTTTACAGTAACGGAGTGGGGAAGATTTTCGACGCATTTCCTGATTCATTTACATAGCTGGTAGAGATATGGATTCTGCAATTTGTGCAAGTACATCTGCGAATGGTCCTCCACCCGATAAATGTAAGGGCTAGTTAGGGATTTACTGCCTTAACCGATCAGTGTAGCATGAAGAACTTCTGCGATCAATTTATCTTAGTTCATACGGTATTCCGCATTTGCTTGATTTACGAAGTTAATCAGTTCTACAGCTATTCCTTCGTCTGTTCCCGGTAATTACAACATTTTAGACACGACGGCGCCGTGATAGACACAATTTTAACGAAAAACAGTATGCTCCACTACCTTTTAGAGCGATTTTGCATGACAAGTTAGTCTTGCACCGCCAGTCGACAGTTGCAGCTAGCGAAGCACCAACTTCTGTGTGTGTAAAGTAGAAAGGTCATTCAGTAAGGGTCATTTAAGCAAAGAAGTCTTATATTAAAATCGTTTAGGCAAAATGGCGATTTAGACAAGGTCATTGATCGAGCCCACTGAATGGCAAAGTCATTCAAAGTTGTCCTCTAGAGCGTGGGAAACACTATGAACTAAAATTCGATAATAGTATATTTCTATACCCTTGCAGATCGGTGGTTTTACACTAGGTAATAATAGAAAAATTCAATCTGGAATCCGTTAGTCATATCGTAAGATTTATGAAATGTAGACCTTCTTATATTTATTAGATCGTGACAAACAATGATTACTAGTAATACTAATCCGACGCGATGTATACCTAGAACTCTGCGCGTGTGCCTTTCTTACTGGCTGTGACCAGACCTTCCAATGGGCTCGCCCGGGCCGGAAAATACCCCAGCCCTGCCTATCCCAGCCCATGAAAGCGGCGGCCCAGCCCAGCCCAGCCCATTTAACAAACGCCCGGGCTGGGCCCAAGTGGCCCATCAATAGGGGAGATGAATTTAAAGAGCATGTCACTGATTAAAATAGATGCAGTTCGACTTTTCTCCGCAACTTTAATCTTTTTCCTTCAACAAAAATGTATTTTGGTGTTCGAAAAATGCCAGGTCTCCTGCCCAAGCCCAGGGAACATAGCCCGGGCCTGAAAAGACACCGGCCCGGCCTGGCCCATGTATCTAAGTAGAGGCCCAGCCTATTAAGACCCCGGGCAAGCCTATAGAAGACGGGGCCTATTGGAAGCCCTGGCTGTGACCAAATGTGAGACTCTTCGGCTGCTCGGACTATGAATTGCCCCTCCTGGGAGCGGGGAAATTTCTCCTGTTCCCCTTATAACTCCATGCGTTTTGGGAACACTCAGCGGGAAATCATCAGATCAAATATTCTGGCCGTTCAACATTCGCGATCAGGGTCTAATAAACCATTGAGCAATGACAATCTGTTAGAGTAGAGTACGATTGAGTTCTCCGTGTATGCTCGATGATGTACCTACATGTGCAGCTGCAGAAGCTCCATGTACAGATCATGTACTCTAGACTTATTGAGTCATTAGGGAGCATAGCCGAGTGTGGCAAGGAGTGATATATGCGGGGAGGTTAAGCGAGTGTTTTCATAGATATTGCGGATTGAGCTGCCCTGAACTAGAGTAGGTACTGAAGAGCTCCCAGTTGCCAGGACACGTGTCACTGGCGGTGACGTATTCAAATCCGGACAGAGTAATTGGAGTTTCCCTCCTCAACCCTGAATAACGCAATCTTTACGCGGAGAAGAAAGTCGTCGGATTCTAACAAAATACTCGCTTCTATGAACAAACTGATGATGTGGTTAAGTATCTAGATTACTAGTAATCCCCGAGTCTAAAGCTTGGTGTTTACCCTCTCTAATCTAATATGTACTGGAATATCATCATCCGTTGATTGTTGCAGTCTGATTGGTTGACAGCGACAGGGGTGTTTTGTAAGCACGACACATCAAATTCGTGTCTTTGGTGCAGTTACCCTGCCCGATTTTGTTCAGTTACCCTGCTTATTCTGAGATGGTTACCCTACCCGATTAGTGCGGTTACCCTGCCTGCTCTGAGCTGTTACCCTACCTTTTTTGTGCGTTACCCTACCTTTTTTGGGCGTTACCCTGCCTGCTCAGGGCCGTTACCCTGCCTATTTTCCTGCCAAGCCCAAACCATAACCCTGACCTTATCCATAAGACCAGCCCAATCAACGGAACCCTTTATGATTAAATAATAAATATAGCTATTTAGTAGTCAAATGTGAGCAGAATAGGCGAGTGAGACGAACAGTAGTTGGCGGGGGGTGCGAAGAGGGAGAGGGAAGACCAGTAAGAGGGGGAGAGGAGGTGCCAGTGCGGTGGAGGAACGGTGAAGGGAGCTGGAATATATCAGAGCTGGCACTGGAGCCTGTACTGGAGCTGGCAATGGAGTTGGTACCGGAGCTGGCATATAGTGGAGCGGGCACCGGAAGGGGCATTGGAGACGGCATTGGCGCTGGCACAGGAGCTGGCATCGAGGCGAACGCTGGAGTAGTCACTCGAGCGGTCACCGGAGTGGAAACAAGAGCGGGAACACGAGCAGGAACATGAGCAGGAACAGGAGCTGGAAGCGAAGCGGGCACTGGAGCTTGCAGAGAAGCGGGCACTGGAGCTTGCAGAGAAGCGGGCACTGGAGCTGGCATGTATCTGAGCTGGCACTGGAGCGGGCATCTAATGGGGCTGGTATCGGAGTGGGCATTAGAGATGGCATTCGGACGGCTCCGGCTAGAGCTGGCATATATTTGAGCCGAGACCGAAGCTGACACTGGGGCTGACCTTGATTTTAGCTCGAACCGGAGCGGGCATTAAAGCTGGCACTGGACCTGGCATTGAAAATCTGAAATAGATCTCCAGAGCAAGATCTAGGCATTTATTTGACATGGCCGGGAAAACAAACCATGAAACGGCTAAGACAAAATTAACTAATTACTGGAGGTGCCTAAATACTATAGATTGTGGTAGAATTAATGGGAAAGTGGGATTTCCGTAACCCGATAGTCCCATTGGCCCTCAAAGGAATTTTTGCAGTGAGCACGAGCCAAGAAACTCACCCTTTTAGTTCTGACTTTCGCAATAATTCTACCGCACACTGTACACATAGGTGGGAGAGAATGGGACCTCGCGGTCGCGAGGTGGCGCACCCCTAGTCTAATATGTACTACGATAGAGCAGTTTCGCGCTCGGTTGAACCCTGACCCTGATATCTGCGTGGCAACCAATCCGCCCCACCAAATCGCCCGTGGTCAACCAACAGCGGCCAATGCCCAGTCAATCAAAACAAAATGTAGGAGTATTAAATTATATCTTAATAATTAAATTATATCTTAATAATTAAATTATATCTTAATAAATAAATGTGCTATCTACTATCTTCTATAGTGTACCTACTGGAATACACTTTAAGGGGTACTTTGGTACATGTATCTTTGGTGCAGTTCCCCGCTGGCACGCTGGCCCATAACCCTAACCCTGACCTCTGTGTGGCAACCAATCCGCCCCAACTAGGCCGGTCAACACCCGGATCAATACTCGGGCCGGTCAACACCCGGTCAACAGCCGGGCCTATTCAATTAAAACAAAATGTTGGAATACTATAAATAGGGACTGCCCCCCCCCCCATCCCACCATCTTTTAAAACAATTCTGATCAACGAAAAACAACAATGAATTCCATAATGTGCCGTAAATGCAAACAGGAGAAACCTCTTGAAGATTACGATCAGGATAATTAAGGAGAACCATGTAAATCATGTCGTACATGTTTGGTATGTATTGTTGAATCTTTCCGGGTAACAGTTATACTTTACTCTAACAAATTGCATAGCAACTAGAGAGAGAACGAAGAACAGCATGTAGAGCTGCATGATTAATAGAGGAAAAAAATAATATAGAGGTATTACGATTTTGGTTATTGAATATTTTTTCGGATGGTTTCTAACAGTAATCCAGCTCCGTCCGGTTTTACCAGTTGCAGCCCCCCCTCCAATCGCATTTCTATCTTCCCGAACAAAATAGTCACTATTAACACTTGGGCCTATGACAATTGTTTGCCAATCATGCAAAGCTTTACATTGGCTAAATGAACGTTCAAGCTGCACCGGGAGCTCAATTCAAACACCAATCTTTGAGAATTGTTGCAAGAAGAGAGATGTTGTACTTGAAATTCTTAAACCCCCTTCTGATTATCTGAAGTACCTGTTGGAATCTTTAGAAACTGTCCGAAGAAACTACCGGAAACATATACGGGAATATAATTCAGCACTTACATTTACCTCAGTCAAATACAATACGGATACAAGAGTTGGTGCAAATGGCGGTGGTATAAGTTGCTTCCAAATTCATGGTGAATTATATCATCTTCAGGGACCATTGGTACCAGCAATCGGAGCAACTCCTTCCTTTACCCAATTATATTTCTACGATCCAGAATATTCGGCCCAAGTACGACATGCAACACATTCAACTTTAGATATTATAGTACTTCAACGTCTCACTATAGAGTTAAATTCAATAAATCCGTTTATTGAATTTTATAAAACAGCAAAAGAAAGATTGGATAATGCTTCAACACAAGATGGGAATGCACGCATCATACTTAATCCACGTCTTCAATTGATAGTTGAAACAGGAGCAGATAAACGCCGAAACAACTTACCTACAAGTAACAAGGTGGCGGTAATAATTCCCGATGAATATGAAGAAGCTGGATTCCGTGATATCATATTGGCACATAGAAATCCATTGCCAAATCAAATGTTCAGTATCATCAATCCTAACCATTCTGCGTATATGCCATTGCATTACGTATTGCTTTTCCTAAATGGGGATACTGGTTGGCATTGGAGTTTACAACTTCGAGATTGATTGAATAATCGGAAAGTATTGCGTTTAGGTCAACGTGAATTTTATCGGCATGTTTAATATATTATCATAGAAATCATTACTAACTTATTACAAAGCTATCGTATTCATTCACGTTCAACCGAGCCTTTAACACTATTTCAATCTCAAAAGCTTTTTCAGCAATATGTGGTTGACGCATGGGCTGTATGTGATCAGAACAAACTAAATTGGATACGTTTGAATCAATCAAGACTCCGATCCGATTTGTATAATGGCCTGGCCAATGCTAAGCTTCAAGAAGACTTCAATCCAGCATAAACCGGACGGAGAATAATACTTCCTAGCAGCTATAGCGGTGGTGATCGTTATATGCAACAATTATACCAGGATTGAATGGCTATCGTAAGACACTTCGGAAGACCTTCACTTTTCATCACATTTACAGCGAATCCTAAATGGTCGGAAATCGTTGCAGAGTTACTTCCAGGTCAAACAGCTGTCGATCGTCCAGATCAAGCACTTCGACATATGTCAGACATTTAAACCACTACACTAGGTAGCAATAGCTATGCAATATAATTCCGGAAGTTTATATTAAAGCAAACTCCATTAAATTACACATACTTTCAGCTCACTGGCACTGGCATCGGTACTGTAAAAACTGGACTCACTACACCCACCCGCCCTTCCCAAAATTTGGTCACATTCAAGCTCACACTTCGCCTTGGCGAGGTGGCTAACTGCTAGTCAGACATGTACCTATGCTGGCGTGGTATACATCAAAGTCTACATGGCCTGTCATATCATTGGGATTGCTTAACCTGCTTGACATCCCTCAGATAGCTAGACAAACGAAACATCTGTATGCAGGGTAAGCTCAGCATGATCTTGACATTATGCTACATATTGATTTGCTCAGACGGCCTCGATTGTAAGATAACATTTATGAGATACTACAAGTAGCCACGTGCATTTGAAAACTCCACTTTGAAGCTGGCAATGTTTTAAATTGAGCCGCATTTCGTTTTATGAGATCGACTTTACCAGATTCGAATACCAATGATCCGCTGTGTTCGTACTCAACCATCGCTGCTTCCATAGCACATTTTGGTGTGTTAGGGCATCCGTGGTAACTTTGTAGGAATAGCTACCTTCTGAACTGGAAATAGCAAGAGGTTGAGGAATTAAATTCTTCGGGTGAGCACAGGGGGGAAATCATTACAGTAATCCGAACTGTAAGAATCTGTCGCACTAGTTGGTACATAAGCGTAATCCTAGTTTACCTAGCTAGGGAGTTCCCATATAAGATTTACATGTTCCTGAATGAACTGGTATACCCAGGAGGCTTCTGGTACGGACTACATTTATTCTCGGCTACGTTCGAAATGTTCTGTTTACCATTCAGGATGATCGATCCATATACAGCCGGCCAAAGCGTTTGGTATAAATGCGTCCCCCACACCCCTTTATTGCACATATAACATATCCAGAGATTTCCACGCCTATAAGCCCGTTTATTGTCACAAGAACCTTATGGATACTCCGGTCAGGGAGACCTTGTTCCCATATAGCCTAGGAGAACATATCTCTATAGATAAGCTATGCATGATTGCTTAGCTCTATTGTACAGCGGTGGGTAATAAGTGATGGAACGCCCTGAGGTACAGTTATACCTGTAAATACCGTATGTTGGTGGCGCCCTACCTAAAACAGGTACCACCGTGTCTCAGGGCGTTCGATCACTTATTACCTACCGCTCTACAAACATTTTTATATAGTTCAACACAAGGAAACCATAGGGTAAACTACACACCATAACTGTGTCATTGAACACGATTTGAACACGCAAAATCTAATTTTTCAACATATGTTTTACGATTATAAGTGTAAAAGCTGTGAAAGATACACATTTGATAGAAATTAATATAAGATATCTCTTGCTCATTATTACTAAACAAATAACACCCCAAATGGGATTCCAACTTACCAAATCTTAGCTTTAAGGTTAATCTCGGTATTCCCCCTTGCACCACAGTCCAGACTGATGAGAAATCTATCAATTGAGATTCGTAGCCTAGTTAGTTGTTATTGATTGGGTGGCTTACACGATATTGTAGGTGGTAGCACGAAATCGTATGTTCAGATGAGACAAATTGTATGTGTTTATCACACAGAACAATGTAGTTTACACAGCTTCTTTGTACCATGATTTTAGCCTAGATTTTTCAATAGTGCAGTGAAATCTTTAGATGCCCAAGCCACGAAAAGAATATATGTCATAAAACCCCCAGGGCAGCTTCATTTGTGGAAGAAAAAACACATTTTTCTCTAGCATATTACATATAAATATTGTGTAACATGCACAAACCCCGTCGGCTTCATGCAACATAGTTTTAGTTGATAATTCACTAATCCTTCTGAACTAGCTAAGGATATTAACTACATAGATGCTTCCAACCGACATTCACCATCTCTTCTATCATCTATCATGTTTCATACAGAAAACACTTTGCCTGATATCCTCAGCTATCATCGCCGGAGTTTGAATTTATGTGAAATCTACAAGAATGCCTTGAATCTGGTTGGCATTTGTCCAGTGCTGTAGTCATTCGGCTCATGAGGTTGCTGCTACAGCCGGGAGCTCATAATCATCTTCGTATTCGTCGTCGTCCTCACTTTTCGCAGCCATATCCCCTACGTTTCCATCCACCACATGCTCTTTGTCGTCATCGTTCACCTAAGGATGATTAGTAGGGGTGCTCAAAGACGTCCGAGGAAAACATACATCTTCCATCAATGCCCCTAGAAGAAGTTTATGTAACTGCGGAGAGACAGATCTTAATTAGCCATACGTGATATGACGAGCTGCGGTTCTTACCACAATCCACTTTTGTACACCATCGATGTGCTCGAGCTTTTTTTCCACTACTCACGATATTAGTCTCCAAAAATATCGGAACGAATTTCTGGGCTCAAGAAACCTGGTAGACAATCAACATGCTTTCCCCCACGAACATCCAGATCTCTCAGAAGCTTTTCTGCACCATCGTCGTTCCCTACACGTGAAAAATGAAATGCCACAGCTATGCAGTCTATTAGCAACGATAAATTATATTAACTAGTTCAATTATTCTCACCATCTTCCCCTCTGGTGGGATCGTCCTTGCATTTCTGAACGCAAGTATTTATAACAGTTCTCAATAGCTCTTCTTTCTCGCCTTCAATCTACAATGATGTCAGATATCCCGATACAGGAGTGCGAACATTATAGTCTATATCGGGGACCTACCCCTCCATCAGTGATTATCATGATCAGGAGTGGTTTTTCCATCGGACTCTTGAACACGAATCTCTTTATAATCTTCCTATCCAAAACTGTACCTATCCTTGACACCATGGAAGTAGTGATTTTGCAGCACACCTTTAACATTAAGCCGGTTTATATTCTTAGGACCACTTTTAAAATTCAAAAACTGAACAGATTGGATACCAGTGTTGTTGGCATGGTCATAGACATCTGTTATCGCCTCCATCGTTTTTTGGAGTGTGTTGATACGTTCACCCGCTTCTTCCTCTTCCATAGAGGAACTATCGTCTAAACCACAAGTACGTAATTAGTTTCCATACATTATTTTGTGCACTGGATGTAGTTACTCACCTAATAACATGACCACGTTATAAAGCACAAGAGCTGATAGATTCCTTGCTATCTCTGGCGTGCATCCATCCATTTTCAGCAGCTCTTGGATCATTACTTCTGCTTTCCTCGAGCATTCTTGTAACTTTTCTTCGCCCGGTTTGTAGAAGACGTCTAGCCTTGGTTTCTCAAACTTGATATAGCGTTCGAACCTCTTGACACAATCGTTTGCCGTGAAAATCGTCTTCGCATTTTCCGCTGCTGGCGGTGGAGGGGGCGCTAGCGAACTAGGCACAGGGTCAGGAGAGCTCATTGAATGCTATATCTATCTTGCTTTCGTGCGAGTGCTGGGTGGAGGTGCTCTTCTAGGAAGCGTCTTATGATGTTGCCAGGGAGAGTGACTAGAATTGACCTAGTATGGTGGTAGGAGGTTGATAATGGTAGTTCTCAAAGGTTTACTCATACGATGAGGGACAACAAGGCGGTATTAAATGTTGACCCACCTGAGTAGAATATTTATTGCGGTTGCCGCGTACTGGTTTCATCAATTTCCACTACGTTTATTAAGGCGGGAGAATTTGGTTCTGATATGGTTTGTGGCCGACGCAATGATATGATTAGCCAATTCTAGACAGAACCTCTACTCCTGGCAGGATTTGCAGTATTTAGTTTTAACAAGAATGAGCATTGATCCTAAAGCCAATCATTCGTCCGGAATACATCGCACTGCATTTTCTTACCCCACATTATAGCAATACCCCGCAGTCGATGCAACAACGAATAGATTACTCAAAGATTCATTTTCCAACGAAATTCGAGTAATACCAGGCAGGTATCACGTCTTTTAAATCTAGCTAACAAATCCCTCGTCTACGATTAGAGTGTTTCAACGCACTCCAGTTCTTCGTTTTCAAAACTCACGCATCAACGCATGCCCCTACCTTTGCATCTGATATGTCACTGTATCAGAAATACGAAGTGTACAATCTTCATCCTCAAGGACCCTTCGGTATGGGGTTGCAAGGTCTTTTTCTTCTACAGCTTCATGCGTGTCACGGCTACATAAATTTCCATTTTACTCCGAAAGTTGATTACAGGGGTGCACTGAAAGACTTCATTGTCGCAGGCCGCTCATCATATCTAGTGTGGTCCACGAGGCCGCTCGAGGCGAGCAGTGACAAGTGCTCGAGGTGCCTCTGCCTCGTGTTGTCCATGCCTTTGCTTGCTCGTGTAAAAATGGGGGATGTCTCGAGGTGCTCGAGCTGGCTCGAGGCAGATAATTACTATATTTGGATCTATCAAAGTCGTATTTTATTGTAATACTGGAACGCAAATGTAGGGAATGCTTCCAATGTTCCGATCAGAAACATCAACCCTACTGAATATATGCCACTAGTACTATGATTACCTAAACCTCGAGCATGATCGCCTTGTCGATCCCCATGCCTTGAGCTCCCTCGAGGCAGTGGCCTCGAGGCAAGTCCTCGAGCGTCGATGCCTCGTGGACCACACTAATCATCAGTGGTTTTAATAGGCCAGCCCGGGCCTGAAATATGCTTGGACTGGCCCAAGCCCAGAAAACCCACCCGGGGCCTGGCCTGGCCCATATATACGGGCCTAGTCCCGGGATTTTTTGATAATTCTAAAAAAGTATATTTGACTGTTTATTGGGGCAAAATCTCATATTTACTTGAAGATTTTCTTTTCATAGAGAGAAATGAGGATTGAAGATGATGGATATTCTTAAAATATACACCATTTCAGCCCATATGAATAACCCATAAAGCCCGGGCCTCAATCGCCTTAGGATCCGGCCTGGCCCGACTTCAGATACCCAGGCCCAAGCCTGGCCTGAAAGGCTGAATCCCGGGCCGGCCCATATAACCTGAGGCCTATCAAAACCTCTGCTAATCATACCTAGTTTAACACATTATTTGAGCGATTTATAGCCGGGAATTTGATTCAGCAGTTCGCAGATGTCAGGTGGTCACCCACACCATTTATTCCGTTGGAGGGTCGGGTGCGCAGCTTCTCCGATATGCAGGAGCGTTTCAAAACGTAAGGCCGAAAGTGCATTGTTTACAAAGGGACAAACCGGATGTAGTTTCCTCCATAATAGTAGAGGCGTTCAAATGACTCGAATCTTCATTTCAAGGTGAAAGGAAAACCTACGCAGGTGGGGTTGCATCGGCTGGCATGTCACTATCTCGTCGTGCTCAGTTTACACCTGTAGGGTGCTCTGTTCGTCGGTAGTTCAGACCAGCCTCCTAGCTACAGGATTTTCCTTTCAAAGCGCGAGTGGCTCAAGCAGTGCTCAAGGCTTTCATCGGTCTCATATATATGTTAGGTCCTTGAAGTAATTCCGGGTCTATTAGCTTACCAGGACTTCACATCCGATCTTCAGTCGATTCGGGGCGATACTAGGTACTGCCTTTAATGTAGTAATAGTGGCGGTTAGTATAGGTAAACCTTCTTGAAATAGTACGCTCGACACGTTTCATAGTGTTGGAGGATTCTCATTTGTCATCATGAGTCACGGGTTCTGACTCATTCTTTCACTGGTATTTATTAGTCATGTTTTTCTATTACTCATACGGCTATGATTCCTTATGTTTTGTGTTACCTTTCTTTAGTATAAATACGGGGCATTCCCTCCTCTAGTTAGTTGGAATAACACGCTCAATTACTACACTTCTCTACATACATTTTCTCTAAACCTTCCTAAATTCCCATTTCTTCTTGCCTTAGTCTCTTTCTTTATACTTTCTCCCTCTCCTCTCATTTCACATGGACCACATATCTCTTTCTTTTACTGTCATTCTCATCTCTTCCCATAATCGTACAAATAGGGTACCAATCTGAACCTTACTTGACAAACCTAAGGTTTTCAGTATCTATCATCTAATATTTTCATGTCTTTCTTTCAGACCTTAGAATCATCACAAAACCAGCCAAGTGTCCACAGTTACGAGTTTCGAGAGTCTTGGGTATAGTCGAGGGTTAGGGTTAGTACATAAGATGATGGGGCATGCAATAGGATTAATGTTAAACGTAGCTCGTTCCTTATTCTTCTCAAACGAGAGCGTAATTCAGAGTTTGTATGCTGGTATCTATACAATCGGTTTATAAATATCAATAATATTTCCAAGCATTGCAGCGGGCGGATTAACAGGACCACTAGGCTTGACGCCAAGGACCATACATGCATGTATGGAGCCCAGCAACTAATCCCTACACCTGAAGTGAAATGGTCTTGGCGACAATAAATCGATAAGCTAATATATCTCCTCCTCAACAGTAACACATATTTTTAGAGGAACAAAACTATATTTACCTAGGCATAGTTCGGCTTCATGAGAATATCGTTTTTGTTTTAACTCTTTGTGTTGTTGTGAAAAGCCTTAGGGATTTGAAACGAGGTGTAAGTTTTAAACTCCGGGCGCCATACTCTAGAGCACAAACCGAACATGAGCTTGGTCAATTGGATGAAGGTCGTATAGAACGTTACGCTTTGCTCGTCGTTATGTTTTCTTTTCAATGGGACCCGGAAATGCTGTCAATCAGGCCAGTGATAGTGAGTAAGTAATAATCCAGGGTTATAGGTAAATTAGCGTCAAAGTCTTTTCTTTTCTTCAGTAACCTTGGAAGGTGTAAACACAAAACGTAGTTATACGTGAAATAGCTACGTATATTGTAAGTAAGACTAGTAGCTAGGGTCTCGTCTGGTGCAATAACCTTCCGGAAAAGTGGTTTCGGCCTGGCAAACCGGAGTTCTTGGCCAGTCAGTACCTATGAGAATAAACGCTTTACGACGGTGGGAACGATTAATCCCTCCCTCATCGATCACAGATGTATTCTCAGGCGCTATGCCTTTCCTCTCCACCGCATAGGTAAACCCCGCCGAAAACTACTGCAGTGGTAAAAAATACTGGAGCAAGTTTCAGTTTCGCTGGTATGGTGCTGGAGAACCCCTGCGATCCGCTGGCTTGGCGCGGATACGCCTGCCTCGTCTCGGTTAATGTTGCAAGGACAAGAACAGGGACGCACCCTGTCTAAATAAATAAGCTTAAATCAAGCTCTCTTTATCATAGTACATAGGTAAGCTTTCTGGCCCATACGCCGGAAGCTACGATTGTGAATGGGGCCTCGATGCCGTTGTTGCTAGGTGTACCCTTAATGGGTAGCCTGTATTAGAAGCGTTCTTGAATACCGTTAATTCTCGAATAATTATTTGTATGTGGTAAATCCGGACCAAGGCGAATTGGCGTTTGGATTCGTGCAGATACACACTTTTCTCACCCGGAATTAAGATTTCACGAAGCGGAGATAGTGGATTTCTCAAGATAAGTGGCCTTAAAATCCGGTACTCACCCGATAAGGCCGGTTGAAACCGCTCTATATACTGGAAGTCTCTGTCCTCCAGGTACATATACGAGCTAAAAGTGCAGCGAGGCTTTATGTGACGTCACAGCTGGGGGTACTGCTGACAGACCAGAAACTACAATAGGGGACAGAGAGGATGAAACATAAATGGAGGGTGGAATGAATTTGATATCTTTTCCCAATCTCCACCTCGCCTCATTGGACAGAATAGAAAAATTAATCCCCCTATTTAGCAAACGGATCGATTCCCACCTTCAGCATCGAGAGAAAAGAAATCGATCTCAAGTATATACATCCAGTATAGTATCAGGGTTATGAAACACGTCAAACTCTTGTTCTTTCGATCAAACCACCCACAATCAAATCCCTAATTCCTTAACTACAGTTAACGGCACAAGACCTCCGACTGTTACTACCGAAGCCCCCAATAAATTAATTTTCGATTTGCTTAACCCAAATTTTCCAACCTATTCCCATTCAATAAAAGTATCAACGCTCCTCTAGTCCTTTGATGCGCAGCCCATAGCAGTGGCACCATCTTTCTGATTTTTCCCTGTTCCACCAGCAGCACGCCCCTCTTTGCATCTGCATACCCCCTCTACTCTATCCATATCCCCTGCAGCTCATGAACACCGACAACCGACTGACAAACCCAAACCACACCCTAAGGTCCGCCCATACAGCGACTGAAAAAAAAAAACATACACCAAAACACCGCTACCACAATAAACTCTCTTTACCCACGTCAACCCAAGCGATCACATCGCGCGACACCACACCACACCAACCCATCCCTTCCCTCGTCGCACCACACCAACCCACGCTCCCACCGCCGCGCCGCCAAAACCGAGACTTACCAAGGTTTTACCCGAAGAGTACAAACCCCGTGCGCGCCAAACCTCAATCCAACCTCCAGCCGCCACCCGCTAG